ATTATTGGAAGGGTTTAGGGGGGCTACTAATATGGATGGGAGGAGGGGGGAGGTAGAAAAATTATTGGAAGAGGTAAGGGGAGTACTAATATGAATGGAAGGGGCAGGGTGGGTTCTAATATGCATGGAAGGGGTTAGGGGGTACTAATATGCATGGAAGGGGTAGGGGGGTTAATATGCGTGCAAAGGGGTAGGTGGGGTTCTTTTGTTCATGGAAGGGGTAAGGGTGGTTCTAATATTCATGGGAGGGGTATGGGTGGTTCTAATATTTATGGAAGGGGTAGGTGAGGTTCTAATATAAATGGAAGGGGTAGAGACGGGTAGTAAAATGTATAGAATGCATTTCTGACAGTGTCACTGAATGACAGTTAGGAAATGTGGTCACCCTAAGTCAGGAACAGTATTACAATCTGTATATGTATAAAAAGTAATCTGCAAAGTACAAAATGTTTGAGTCATATGTCGTGCTAAAAATTAAGCTAGGAATATGCATATTTTTTTATTTTTTTAAAATAATTTTTAGAATAATGATACAGACATTGTATTTCTTACATTTGTGATGATTCTTTTTTCCTCTCTATATTCAAGGGACACTATAGTCGCCAGAACCACAACAGCTAAATGTAGTAGTTCTGGTGTCTATAGCATGTCTTTGCAGGCTTTTTAATGTAAGCACTGCCATTTCGTAAAAAGACAGTATTTACATTACTGCTGAGGAATACCTCTAGTGGACACTCAGATGGCCACTAGAGGTGCTTCCTAGTCGAGACATGAATGCCGCCCTATGAAGTATCTGCGCATGTGCGGCAAAGCTGCGCATGCGCACCAGAGAGCAATGACGCTTCTGAATAGAAGCGTTTTATTGCTCCCTGCTCGCACCCTCCTATTTCGTCATTTTGACGAAATAGGGGGCGCGGCATCAGGATCCCGGCACTGTATCCGGGTAAGTAAAATTCCTTCCCTGTAGTGACCCTTTAATGTTATTATTTAATCATTTATATAGAAACTGCAAATTCCGTAGCGCTGTACAATGGGATAAACAACTCCTAGTTTACGGAATAAGAATACACCCGGCGAGTAAAAATGTTATCCCCCCCAGATTTTTTTGGGTTCCTACGCCCATGCATTCCCGTAATGTGATTAGTGAAATCTATATGCCCTTAAATGCACTCAAGAAACCTTCTTCTAAACAGAAAGGGTTTATAAATAGAAAATAACTCGACTCCCTAAACATCCAGTTGGTATGTTGCATCCATTTGTGCATCATTTGTGTGTAGTCTTACAATCCTGGCTCTACCCGTGACCCCGGGATCCTCCAGGGGTCATACCTTAATAACAGATTTGGGAATGGCCAAATGATGACAGATATCTCCTGGTTGGGTAAGCAGTGCACTCATTCATTACCTCTGTCACACGCATGCAAATGTACCATTAGCACTAATTATTCCATGTTTCTAATGTACTAAGTGTAATAATGGATATGCCTGTCTTTCTTAGTTAATGATCCCTCTTAGGAAAGCAAAGACATGCATAATTACAAGTTAGGGTTACCATACGTCCAGCTTTGGCCAGACATATTCTCTTTTTTTCTTCTGTCAGGCTGCTTTATTTACAAGAAATGTTCAGCCGAGATGCATTTTAATTTTTTTTTGAAAATATAAGTGTGTACGCCAGTGGAGCCTGTTGCCGAGACCACTTTATAGAAGTTGCAGGGAAGGTCTTTGTGAGGGGCCCCTGCAGCCTCCTTCTACACTTTTACCTTCGCCCTATTACACTATGCCTGGGAGTTTACACTATGTCTCTTTTCTTCAATATAGTCACAACCAATTACATGATGTGCAAAGAAGATTCTACATTGCAACAGCTGCAATGCCTCTGGAGAGGGAGAGTGAGAGGAAGTCCTCATGATAGCGCTCTACCAACAATACACTCCTGCATTTACACTGACATTAAATACTTCACATATACCGAACAGTTTCAGTATGTTACAGCTCTATCAATGTGTCCACAACATATTTCTACGGGTAGCATGTGATTGGTCATTGCTAATGTTTGCGCTGGGTAAAAAGGGACAAATCCGCAAAAGCGAACTCTGAAGCCAAGAAAAATATTTTTTTTTTCTTTCTTTTTTAATCGTTCGGAATGGAATCTTGACAAAAACTAATAAATGCGTACTTTTAACTGCATTGCTAAAATCCATTTTCATTTTGTAACCTAAACATTCCCTTTAACCCCTTAAGGACACATAAAATGTGTGACATGTCATGATTCCCTTCTATTACAGAAGTTTGGGCCTTAAGGGGTTAAATCATTAAAAAAAACCTAGCAAAGACTGGTCAGAGATTCTGTTTTAATCTGTCATTGCTATGACACAATTCTGCCACTTGGGGAAGTCTTTGCTTGCTAGACAAAGATAAGCACAGACACTTAGAGGCAGAGGAAATTGGGAGTGTAGGTAGTCTCTTGAAGAAAAGTTTCACTTTCTGTTATAGTTCTGGGAATGAGCCGAGAGGTTTATTAAAGCTTCCAGGTCACTTTGTGAACAATTAATATGGAGGTATGTTTCCATAAAAGCTGTGTAAGTATTGAGCTGCTGGGCCTGGGAGATATGTTGCAGAACGTTCTATGTATGAAAGAGTTTAGTAGAAACTGCAGGGACTACCCTACTTGATCTGCCAATGGCCAGCAACAGTTAATTTGTAGCTCCTGAATGAATATTGTGTTAGCTTGTTATGCCTGTTTAATTGGGAATGTGTGTTACATGCAGTATGCCTGTAAGGGCAGTGCTAGCTGCAGGGTACATGTTCTATAAGCAGATTATGAAACGTGCAGCAATTCATGTATGAATGAGAAGTATACATATAGCTTTATTAAAGTTCCATTTTTGCTGTGATAATTGTTACTATGGAGTATCCCTTGCTAACAGGTGATTTACGTGTTTAGCCATCAATACAGCAGGTAATATTAGGGGGTGTGCACACAGAGAAAAATACCATCTAAACTTTACGTTAAAATAAATACTAACTTAAAAACAAGGTGCAAAATAATGTTTTTTGCACTAATGACCAGGTGTAAATGGAGAAAGTCATGATTTTTTTTAACCCAAACTCATTTTCATATTCAGGGCATTACTCACAGTTGTGTACAGTGTTTAAAGGGACACTATAGCAACCAGAACAACTACAGCTTAATGCAGTGTTTCTGGTGTGTATAGTAGGTACCTGCAGGCATTTTACATAAGCACTGCCTACTGAGAAAAGACAGTGTTTACATTATTGCTTCGTAACACCTCTAGTGACAGTCACTCAGATGGCTACTAGAGATCCCTGAATCAGCACTGATGTTCAGGATCTCCACGCTCTGCATGGAGACGCTGAACTCTTCCCAGAGATTCTATATATCTCTGTGAGGGGATGCTGTTTGGCACAGCAATATCCTTTTCCTATGGGAAAGCATTGGCCATCAGCCAAGGAGATGGAGCAGGGGTGAGGCTAGCCGCAATGCAGCCAACACCGCATGGGAAAAAGGTGAGTAAAGCACCTTTTTAAAGAGAGCCAATGGGGGCCGAAAATCTAAACTGTGTTTTTGTAGATATGGTGCCAGGAATACATATTTGTATTCTTGAAACTATAGTGTTCCTTTAAGTGCTTCACAGAGCTACACAGCAATAAAACTCAGTTATGTGCAAATTGTATGAATCTATCACAAAGTTCCTATGACTGAGAATGGGGTATGTGTGGGCTGTTGTAGGTTTGCCTAGAGCAGCGTTTCTCAACCTTTTACGAAGAAGTACCCCTGCCTTGAGAAAGTCGTTTCTATTGATTTAAATTCCAAATGAAACGTGTAGACACAGAGAACACTGGCAAACACACATTTACACACAGCGGACACCAAAACAGCCACACACACACATTTACACCCAGAGGACACTGACACACACATGCACATTTACACAGAGAACACTAACACAGACATTAACACACAGAGAATACTGACACACACACATTTACGCAAAGAAAACTAACACACAAGTATGTACACACAGAGGACACTGAAACACACTCACTGATTTGACATACACATACACACTTACTGACACACATTCACTGGCACAAACTCTCATTGATTTAAAACACACTGACAGACACACACACACATATTTACTGACTAATACATACACATTCTTTCACAAACACTCACAAATTATTATTATTTTTTATTATTTGTATTTAAGGCCACCCAGCCTCCCTAGCTTTGGGAGAGCTGGGATGGATCTTGTCCCTGGTGTCCAATGTGGCTACTGCAATCTTCGTACTCTTCCAGCACCATTTAAAGTCGGAGTGACATCATAACCTGGCTCCTAGCATCACTGCAGAACGCACAGGGGAGCAGTTCTGGAAGATCATGAAAAGTATAGCACTCTGCCCGCTTCCACCTTCATTCTCCCCCTGCCAGCCACTTCTTGGCATTCCCCCTGCCTTTAGTGCATGTACCCCCTGGTACACAGTACACATACCACTGGTTGAGATACTAGGGCCTAATGTATGTGGGGTTGGCTGAGTGTAATGTTTGCGGGTTACATGTGTAGCTGGTTGAATGTGATGTATGAGGGCTGGCTGAATGTGATTGTGAGTGGTGGATGAGAGTGCCGCACCGCTTCTGCCTGCCACCTGTACGCTATGGCTTTGGTGGCTTTCTGGGAAATCTGGACAGTTCAAAGGTACTTTAGGCAACATAACCTCTACAGGGAGAAGACCCATTCCAATATTTGTTTTGTTTCCTACACCATATCATCCTACTTCCAGTTTATCTACCTCTTCCGCCCACTATTCCTATCTTTCGTGGCATTCCATTCCTTTGGGCATCTACTCATTTGTCCTCAGATGATGTCTTAATGTGTATGTGATATTCACAATAAATGTATTTCCACATTTAGATCCAAGTAGTGTATGTGACACTACTCCTGTCATCCTGCTTATGGATTGCAAATAGCAATAAATATGAAGAAGATTTTGTAGATCCAACTGACATGGTGAATTATGACGCTGTTACAAAGACAATGAGAAAGAAAACTGAGGTAAGACATTAAAACAACTTGGAATTCATCTCATTAATTTTCTTTGTTTATAAATAGATCCCAATGGTTTTTGTTATATTGTACCTGTTAAAGGACCACTATAGGTACCCAGACCACTTCAGCTTAATGAAGTGGTCTGGGTGCCAGGTCCAGCTAGGGTTAACCATTTTTTCTATAAACAGCAGTTTCAGAGAAACTGCTATGTTTATGTTAGGGTTAATCCAGCCTCTAGTGGCTGTCTCTTTTCCTTTGGGAAAGCATTGGCCATCCGCGTGCTTCTCACTGTGATTTTCACAGTGAGAAGACACCAGCATCCATAGAAAATCATTGTAAATGCTTTCCTATGAGACTGGCTGAATGCGCACGCGCTCTTGCCACGCATGCGCATTTAGCCGAAGAGGAGGAGAGGAGGCGGAGAGGAGGAGGAGAGCTCCCCGCCCGGGGCTGGAAAAAGAGGTAAGTTTAACCCCTTCCTCTCCATCCAGCCCGGCGGGAGGGGGACCCTGAGGGTGGGGGCACCCTCAGGGCACTATAGTGCCAGGAAAACAAGTATGTTTTCCTGGCACTATAATGGTCCTTTAACATTTTAGCCCATTGCTAAAAATTGTCAGACTATCACTATTTGCATTAGTAGATCTGCTGCTGTGAAGGCTTCATTTGAGGTCAGGTGTGAATTCCATTTCCAAGTTATCTGTCATACTGAGCAATTAAGTGAGTGATTACAGCATCGGCAGATGGTGCTACCCAGCTGGACATAACCTTGGTATCTTGCCTAGATCCCAAGCCAACAGTAACCAACAAACACTGTAACACAGAAATGTATTTAAATTAGCAATAATTGCCAAACCTCACACTTCCATCTTCTAACCTAGATTACTATTTTATTTTAAGTCAACGGAGTCAATCTTAAAGAAGCTTCTGCAGGACATATTGGATGAGATACATCAGCTCGGTCCGGTAAGTGAACTATTTATTAAACAACCAAGTTGTTCTTAAACCTATAAGACATAACACCTAGACAGCCACTTCTTGTCTTATTTGTGTGAATGCTTTTTAGTAGATTTTGAGATTTGTTACGAGCTGCAATTTGCCCAAATTTGGGCTGATCAGTTGATCATACGAATTCCTGAAATCTGAGCCAAAATGTAGCCGAATCATAAACCAAACGAATCACTATGAATTTTGATTCATGATTTGGAATTCCACTTGTGGCGCTGAAAAAAGAGATTCTCAATGGGACAAAAGATAATTGATGGCCAGGGCCGGCCTTAGGCCTTTGGGCGCCCTGTGTGAAACATCTTTGCAGCGCACCCCTCTCATCCATGTATAGTGTGTGTATAGAAGTGTAGTGATTGTATAGGGGATTTATTAAAAATAAATATTCATTACATACACATACAGAGTTACAGGCAGACAGTCACACACACACATACACACACACAGTTACAGACAAACAATTACAAACACACACAGGTACAGATGGACAGTCACGTACGTACAGCCACATATACAGTATCACACACATACACCGTTACATGCAGACAGTCACACACACACACACACACAGAGGAAGACAGTCTCACACACACAGGTAGTCATGCACACACAGGAAGTCACACACACACACACACGCAGGCAGGCAGACAGTCACATACACACACAGACACAGGCAAACCGTCACACACAGGCAGAATCACACATAGTTACCTCTATTCATTATGGAGGTGGAAGTAGTGCAGTTCCTAGATTCTAGTTGTTGGGGAAGCAGGGACTCCTTCCTGCTTCCCATGCAGCAATTACCTGGCACTTCTAGCCCCGCCCCAATGTCATTTAGCCCCACCCCCGCCGCATTGTTTTTTGGGGGTTTTTTTTATCCCGGGTGAAGAATAATGATATCCTCCACCCGTGTAGCCGGCAATCTGTGAGCTGTGTCGGCCGCAGGGCGCCCCCTGCTCCATAGCTCCTTATTGTTTACTTTTTGTGAGGTGATATGTGAACCAAATGAACGAAAAATGCGCCATCAGTAACTGCAAAATATATTCATAATGTTTATATATATTATACATATATTTTGCAGTACATTTTTTGGCCAGTGTCATGCCCTTTTGGTTCATCTGATTCGTTTCACCCGAATCTGTTTTTGTTAACGAAGATCTGCAAAGCCAAACCACCATATGGATGAAATTAGGTTATCCCAAATGTTTAAAAATTTTGGGGTGAATTAGTATGGCCTTTTTAGCATAAATCCAATGTTATATTGATGTAGCTATAAGTTGTTATATAACATGTACAAAAGGACACATCTAAAAGATGATAAAGCCAGTAGCATTACGCACCCACAGACCACAAACAATTTACCAAAGTCCCAAGAATTGACAACCCAATTACATATTTTAAGCCAAAATAACCAAGCCTTGGCAAATTTTCAAGTTATTTTGTTTAACATGTAAATTCAATTGTCAGTTCTGTAATTCCTCTAACCTTCTAACTCTGGAGCCAGATTTTCCATTAGGCATATCTAGGGTTCGTTGTTGAATGTAGGGGCCTGGCAAATTTGTGAAAGTCATGCATTGTATCTGTGACATTGTGCAGCTCCCTGGGCATAATTTAGCACTACACATACACTCGGTATCAGAATTCCACCCAGAATTAGCTGCAGTTCAATGGGTGTAACCAGCAGCACTAATCATACTGGAATAAAAAAAGATGTGATTGTCTGTTAGTGAAAGGCCCCTTCACTGCCTACATACCAAATCAGTGTAATGCATGCAGCCCATTCCCTCAGATGTGAATCCTCAGCAAGCTCCAAAGTAAATTCGGAATTCCTTCCCTGTGCTCTTCTTCTCTCAAAGCTCTGTACAGGAAATAAGGGTTTCTGATGTTCTTATCAGTGTGTGTGTGTGTGTGTGTGTGTGTGTGTGTGTGTGTTTCTTCTGCATGTGTGTCTGTGTTTTTCTATGTGTGTCTTTTTCTATGTTTCTGTATGTGTTTGTATTTTCTTTGTTTGTCTATGTGTCTGCATTTTTTTGTGTTTCTTTATATCTCTGGTTTTCTTTGTTTCTATACATGTCTGTGTTTTTCTGTGTGTCTGTACACATTATTATATATCAGAAAGTTACCTGTTTTTGGGCACCAGTTAAGGAACACTGCACGAAGAAGGGCTGGACCATCTTCTTATTTTACTTTTATTACTAATTTTGGTGAAACCGGAATCTGGGTCAGTCTTGGAGAAAGTTCTGTTTGGAGCTTGTTTGCTTTTCTCTGTGTTTCTATGATTTATATACATGTGTACATAGTTTTGTGTTATCATATGTATTTTGTTTTTCTATGTGTTTCTGTATGTCTGTACTTTTCTATGACTGTGAAAATAGGGATCCAGATTGCTACCCTATCTATGGCACTCTCATGAGTTACTCTGCCTGATAAAGCTTCCATTTTTCCATTTTCTCCAAACTTTCCAACTATTCCAGCATAAAATAAATACATTATTCAAAGTGGTTCATGGTTTTAGAAAGTGATTGTTAATTCCAGTGATTAAAAAAAAAAATGGTCTGATGGTCTGATTTCATACAAGATCAGTCTGGGCCCTATGCTATTCGCAGACAGCTAGAACACGTTCTGAGATGTGTTTATCTTTTCTACAAGCATACAATGCAGACGAGAGGAATGTAAATATTTAATTTACAGTAGCAGTGTAAAGGCAATGAGAGCGATTTTACAGAATGTTGGAATGAACGCTAAATAAACATTATCATCTAAACAAACAGATTTGAGTTTGTTTATTTGGTTGGAAAATAAATCCTTAAACGGTTATACGTCACTTCTAATAGGAGACCCTGAGCTGTGAAAGAATGGGGATAAGATCTGGATATCACACACCTTTATTGAAAGACATTAAAAGGGGAGAAGACAACAGCTCAATGTAATTATTGGTGATATAAAAAATAAAAAGTCAAGAGTGAGTGAAGCCCAGCTGTAAGATGTAAGATGGGTGTTAGATATAAGAAAAAAAGTGGAGTACTTACTCACGAATGCGTGGTGCAGACTGCACAGGGTGTATAGCCCGAACCCACAGGCGGCTAACAGTTCATAAATCACGAAACATCCCCAATAAAATAATGGCTTGGCATGGAGTCCAGAGTAAAAAGAAAGTAAACTCGCACGTTAAAGATGGTTATAAGATTAGGCAAGAGAAGTATCTGAGGTTACAGCTGTATTCACCTGTATTATTTCCCACCACTAGTAGTTTACTGGCCCTCGGACTAATGAGTAACAGGAAGGGAGACACCAAAAGAACCCCTAATGTAAAAACCTTCCTAATACAAACACTTGCCTGATACACAAACACGCAATTATGGTCTACAGCAGGGGTAGGCAACCATCACCACTCCATCTCCCCAGATGCATTATGGCTGTAAGAGCATTATGGGCAGGTTAGATCCACCATGTTTACAGGGACAAATATAAGGTTCTTATATTTTTTTAAAAAGCATGAAAAGGGTTGCCCTGCAGTGTGTATAATGCATATTCTGCATTATTGCCTACACCATGATTGCTTAATTGCAGGATTCTTCATTGCCTAATTGCTTAATCTCATACACCTTCTTCTGAATTCTGCATACTACAAGGTACCCTTTTCATGTGCTGCCCATCAATATGTATATATGATATGTGTCCCAGAAAACATGGTTGGTCTGGTCACCCTGATTATAGGGGATGTAGTTCACAGTATCTGTTGTGCCAAAGGATGCCTACCCCTAGACTCCGAGGCGTAACTAGAAACCACGGGGCCCCAGTGCGAAAATTGCCTTGGGCCACCCCCCATACATCTACGTCCTACCCCACATGTCCCCGATGCAGACGAACAGATATACAAGCAGACACATACACACAGAGACCCATACATACAGATACATGTAGAGACACACACACATACACTCAAATACACACACGTACACTCATAGACACATACAGACACACACTCAAAGACACACTCACTCACAGACACACATACACTTACAGACACATACACTTACAGATACACACACACACACACAGACACGGCGAGAAAGCTGTGTTCTCTCTGCTCTGCTAACTCATGGGCTGTCTACTGGTGCCGGGAGCCGGAATATGACATCATATTCCGGCTCCCGGCATCAGCAGTCGGCGCGGGAGGGAGCAGAGCAGAGAGAACACAGCTCCCTCACCGCTTCTGACAGGAACTCTGCCGCCCGCCGGGGGGGTCCATTAGGCATCTAGGCGGCCAACGGTCGCAGGAGTCGTGGCTGCGACCGGGCCCCCTGAAGTGAGGGGCCCAGTCGCAGCTGCGACCTCTGCGACTGTGCTAGGTTCGCCACTGCCTGGACTAGAGACTAATGCATACAAATATGTACCTCCATACATGAGAGTGTACTCTTCTACCCAAGGCTTTGTCACACGGTTATTTAATTGGGAGCTCTGGGATTGCAGGCCCCAAATAATCTTACTCTATTCTTTGATGTTAGGTATTATCTACTCTGTGCTTGTGATTTCTAATTGCCCTACACATTAATTTTCAATAGGGTGACTGTTTTCTCAAAGGTGGATAGATGGGTGGACACAACACCTCAATATTTCGAGTAGGCTATATAATAAATTGCATTTAGTGGAGATTCCTCACAGTACTTGTAGGTAAATGTCCAACAATTATTATCTGCTTCAAGGTGCATTGTGCTGCATGTTTGATATTTAATATATTGGGTGTGGTGATGCAAATATTTTTAGTTGGAATTATGGCTGTGAATTTGTTGCATTATGGCTGTAAGAGCATTATGGGAGATGAACTAGTATGGAATAATCTTTTTTATATCTTTAATTAGTGTGGAGAAATAAGTTAGCCTGTTATCAATTTATTAGTGTCTATTTACATCACATTGTTACTTTTATGGAGTTATTTGTGATGAGAAGGTGCCAGTTCTATGCAGACTTATCTTACTATTTCTGACATTTATACACACTATATAAAACTGATTCTCTTCTATAGCTTGGGGACAATCAAGAACAAGACCGTCTAAACATGCAAGAGCTTCCAGAGATGTCAAGGTTTCTAGAAGACAAGGAATGGGACCCTCTTCCACTGAAAATGGATATCAAGAATGTTCTGTTTCTGTTGAAGCATCATATCGACAATAACTGGGAAAAGAGATCTGAATACATTTTACAGCTGGTTCTTGAGAATGCATTCAAGGTAATATGAAATATCTTTATTTTGTACATATTAAAGTGAAGATCCCTTTATATACACATGCATAATTCCAAATGTATATGTGTGTATGAACTCTGATCAGTCACAACATTAAATTCAAGGACAGGTAAAAAAACAAAGTAAAGTGAATAACATTTATTATATTGTTACAATGGCACCACCTGTCAAGCGGTGTGATGTGTTAGGCAGCAAGTGAACAGTCAGTTTGAACTAAAAGATCTGAGTGACTTTGACAAGAGACAAATAGTGATGGCTAGACGACTGGGTCAGAGCATCTCCAAATTGGCAAGTCTTGTGGGGTGTTCCAGATATGCAGTGGTTAATACCTACCAAAAGTGGTGCAAGTAAGGACAACAGTTGGCATCAAGGTCATGGGCGTCCAAATGCACATTGATGCACATGGGGAGTGAAGGCTAACAACAAAAACAACATAGAGGCATCACCTTGCAACTTGCAAGACTTAAAGGATCTGCTCCTAATGTATTAGTGCCAGATACAACAGGACAAAGTCAGAGGTTTTGTGGAGTCCATGCCTTGATGCATCAGAGCTGTTTTGGCAGCATGAGGGGGACCTACACGATATTAGATAGATGGTTTTAATGTTGTGGCTGATCATATTAAAGGGACACTATAGTCACCCAGACCACTTCAGGTCAATGAAGTGGTCTGGGTGCCAGGTCCCCAGGTTTTAACCCTTCAGATGTAAACATAGCAGTTTCAGAGAAACTCTAGTGTAGTCTTCCTGAGGATATTTATGTATATATATGTATGCGTATATATATGGTTTTATATGTGTATATTGTCATGTTTATATGTTCATATTATTTGTTTTGCTAGATTGCATATATGCTTCCATGTACATTCTGGATTCTTGAATGTGAGTGCATTCTTAATCTGTGTCATTTTTTTTTTTTTAACTCTCCCCCTTCTAGTACCATATCCTGTTTGTTTTTTTCTCTTTTTTGTCACTCTCTGGTCGTTACACAGAATATTTATGACCCTGTGGAATAATGGTTTCTATATTCTTTTTTTCCTATTAGTCCAATAAATAAGGTATTATACGTTATTAATTCTGTAAATTATATATATAATTTTGTTACCTGTAAAATACAACCTGATCTTAATTATAGAAAAGAGAGAAGATGTAAGAGAAAACATATTTGCTTATATTAGACTAGTAAAGAAGCAGTTGGGGTGATTTTACAGTCTGTTAGAAAATATGTCACTCACATAAGGGTGAGCTAGAAGCTTGGTATGACTTAAAAGGGGAAGAGTCCCCTTGGAATATAGTTAAACAGACCCAGGTAAAGTAAGATTTCTGACTGGAGTATGCTTTATACAAGGTGATTAGGGACAGTAAAGAGTAGACTGGTATGTAAATAGGCAACGTGGAGAACAACCAGGGTTTTTCTTTTTTTGTATTTTTATCCCTATATTTAGTTAAGGAAACTATAAACTAATAACGCAACGGATTAATAAAGTAGTACATCACAATTGTAAGTTAGTTCATTATAAACTAATAATATGATCAGCACAACTAGGAGTTGAATGGTATGTATTTACTAAACTAATGTATTAAGGCAACATGGGAATGTTTTAGTACGAATGCTTATAATGATAATGAATAATATAAAGGCTGTTACTGCAAGTGGCTTGAAGGAAAAGGATTTTATTGATGAATAATGTGTAAAATGTGATGTACTGCCTGTTTTCATTTTTTTGGCATTAATAAAAAAAAAAAAAAAAAAAATATGTCACCAAATTATAACCCAAGTAGACTGTCTGTTATAAGGTTTGTGATGTTGATTTTTGTGCTTGTTGAAAGAGCTTTGGTATCGTTTCACTTTGTTATTGTTCACGTTTAACTTGTGGAGAGAGGCCCATTAGCCATTTAGGAATGCCTGCCTACTTACTTACATGCTATTATTTACTTATAATGCAATGTCAAATGAAGTATGATCTAGATCAGGACTAGGCAACCTTCAGTATTCCAGATGTTGTGGACTACATATCCCTTGATGCTTTGCCAGCACTATAGCTGCAAAAAATTATGAGAGATGCAGTCCATAAAATTTGGAGTGCCTAAGGTTGCCTACCGCTGGTCTAGTTTAAAACACTAAGAAGACTTTTGAGAAAACTGGCCTTCATAAAATAATTTTTACCATATAATTTGATTTTCTTCTGTAGTTTGGGGACGATCTTGAAGAAAGTCACTTAAAAGCTAAAGACCTGCTTAAAGCTTCACTAACCGAAATTATAAAGTGCTTAAAGGTCAAAGTCTGGAACCCGGGGGAATTGGAAAAGGATCTCAAGAATATTCTCCTTAAGATCAAAAAGCATGAAGACCAAATCTGGAATAAAACATGCAAATACAGTTTCTATATGGATTTTGAAAATATAGTTATGGTGAGATTAGACTCATTTATTCTCTTACTTCTCACAATTTGCTCTCTTCACTTGCAGGATAACTGTTTTTTTGTTTTTGTTTTTTCAATCACCTACAGGTCGTAGTTATCCTTATTATGCTCCTGCTTATCACCTTGTGGAAACTATTGAGTACTTTTGCTATACTAAGCTGTGTTATAACCTTCATCATCGACACTTGTCTTTCGTGCTGGATACCTGCCTATAAGGTAAAATACACAATGGACATATGGAACCACAACCAGAACCAATAGCAGAGTATATCAAATATGTGATTTCACAATGTGAAGGAACTGTGGATTCTGTAAGCATACTGCTAAAAGAGTCTACTCCGTGTCACAGGCTGGAGCTCATGTTCTTCTTTCTTAAAGGAACACTATAGGGTTTGGAACACAAACATGTATTCCTGACCCTATAGTGTTACTAACACAAAATCTTTCCTTTATTACAGTCTGCTGCTTCTGGCTCTGCACTTGATCTGCCTCCTTGGCTGACATCATCAGAAGTGGTGATCTCAGCCAATCACAATGTTTTACCATAGGAAAGCATTGTATTGGCTAAGAATGTCAAGGAGGCAGATCAGGGGAAGAGTCAAACACAGCCTTGGCCAATCAGCATCTCCTCATAGAAATGCATTAAATCAAGGCATCTATATGAGGAAAGTTCAGTGTCTCCATGCAGAGGGAGGAGACAGTAATGGGATTCAAAGATTTTAGTAACCAGTTCCGAATTTTCATATGTTTCCAACTCCACAGGGTCGGCCCAAGACATTGTGATGCCTGGGACCAAGACTTCACACCCCACCCCTCCAAGTCATGCGCGCGCACACATGCACGTCGACGGAGTCACACATACAGGCCCTGGTTGTCAAAAACACATGGGCGGCAGGGTAATTCTATTAATGCAATAAATGCATAAACCTTGTATATCATGCCAATGAGCAGCAAATGCATAAACTTGATATATCATGTCATGAAGAAATAAATACATAAACTTGGTATATAATGCCAATGAACAGTAAATGCATACATCCTGAATATTATGCCAAAGAGCACTAAATTCTTAAACTTTGAATATCGTGCCAATGAGCCACGTGTGGCTCTAAAACGTCTGCTAGTGCCATGTGCCCCCAAACAACCTGCCAGTGCCATCTCTCTGCTCACAGCCTCTGAATGCCATCTCTCTGCCCTTACCCTCACTCTGTCATCTCCCCCACCAGCCTCTCGGTGCCATCTCCATGCCCCCAGCAACTCTTTGCCATCTCTCTGCCCTTTGCGCCATCTCTCTTCCCTTGGCCTCCCTATTTTTCTGCCATCAGCATCTCTGTGCTATTGCTCTGCCCCCAGCCACTCTGTGCAATCTCTCTGCCCTTTGCCTCTTTGTGTGGGATGGTGACAGTGTGTTTTGGATGGTGACAGTATGTGTGGGAGGGCGACAGTATGTGTGGGAGGGCAACAGTATGTATGGGATGGTGACAGTATGTGTGGGAGGGTGACAGTGTGGGAATGGTGACAATATAAAAGGTGGTCAGGGTGACAGTGTGGGAGGTGGTAACAGTGGGGGGGGTGACTGTAGCATGAGGGGATGCTGACAGTGGGGGGATGGCAGGGGGGGCAATGGTAACAGTGTGGGAAGTTAAAATGTGAGGGGATGGTGACTGTGTGTGTGGGAGGGTGACAGTGTGTGGGGTGATAGTGTGCAAGGGGGATAGTGTGTGGTTGACAGTGTGGGGGGTGGTGACAGTAGAGGGATGGGGACAATGTGGGGTGGTGAGAGTGTGGGAGGTGGTGACAGTAGGGCAGATGGTGACAGTGGGGTAGAGGGCCTACACCTCAGTCGGCCAGGTTAATCACCGGTTCCGCAAAATTGTTACATTTTATTAACAGGTTAGCATGAACCAGACATGTGTGACCTGCATAAGTTAGAGGTTGAGATTGGACAGGGAGCTTAGGGATACAATGGAATGGGTATATAAGAGGTTACTCCAACCAAGTGTTTTTTTGATTGTAGTAAACCTTAAATGCAGCACCCCACCCCCCACCCTGAAAAAAAAAAAGAACAGAACAAAGGAAAACTTACCGGAGATCCCATGCCACAGCAAAGTTCGCCCTGCGGCCTGATCCACTTCTGGTGATGTAACTTTACTGAAGGGGGAGGGAAGTCTGGGAGACAGGCTGAGGGGAGGATTTGGATGCCACAAAAGGAGGCATGCCAGAGGTGGCGTTACACCTATGTAAAGAATGGATTTTAATTTGGTACGAGCACTGTTTCAAATTAAACTGCTGCACATACAGATTCCAAGCACCATGAACACTTTAAATCTCTGAAGTGGACATGGGGCTTGGAGTAACCCTTTAATGAACTATCCTTCATAAATAAAACAAATAATTCAATTTCACTCATAAATATCAGTAACAGTAAAATTCCCAGTTATGTCAGGGAACAGTTGAAGGGGGTGATGCACAAGGTAATTCACAGACAAGGTAAGGTCTCAACTGACATCTAATCCAGGTGAATTTGGCAAAAGACTTACAGTCCATGGGAACATTCTTCAAAATTGCATTGTAATGCCACCAGCAGTGACTCAAGTGGTTGAGAGCAGGTAGATTTCCATCCATCTAGTTCTTGGCCCTAATGGTATATATAACCTGTCACATCTTGACGACTATAGCAGACTGTAATACTTTTGTCATGAATTCCACGTACTGATGTGTGCATTGGTTATGATATTTGTAATTGTGCCATGAATGGTTTTCCCAGTTACGACCACCCCTCTATTACCTAAAAAAGGGGCTTCGGGCATTCACAGCGTTAAAAAAATAAAGCATATTTATTGGATCAAAAATGCAACAGAGCAATGTTTCGACACAAAGGTCATTGTGAAGGTCACCCCTATAATACCTAACACCCGATCCCTCTCTTATTTTCAGCTACCCTGTGAGTATGTTTTGTTGCTTTCTAACATAAATTTAGGGTTTTATAGATTTGAAAGTAAATGCTGTCTGGGGCATGTTCTCCTTGTTGCAGTGCTGCCATGTACCCTATTTGTGCCCTATTGTTTTTAGGGGTTCATAAGAATATTATTTTCTGTCTTGTAAGAAATTTTGCCTTATAGTTGAAACTTATTTATCTCTTTGCAAGATTTAGGCTGGAAAAATAACTGTAAAAAAATACAAGTTTGTGTTTAATGGAATCGGAATTTAAAACCTCTCTTCTGTCCTGATGCAGGCTTTTCATATTGTGACTATAATAAAAATGGATTTGGAACAGGAAGACTTACAACTGTCCTTAATGAAGCACTTTGCAGTTTTAATAGCAATGATGTTTTCCTTATACTTTGTGCTGGTAAGTAGGATTTATAGTTAACTTTGCTTTTTTGTTTCATTTTTTTCATTTGTACATGTTTAAAGTGAGGGGTCTCTCAGGGTGATTCAGTAAAGTAAGAATTCTTGGAAACACAAAATTAATTTCAAGTTTTAGAACAAAATGACTGAATTGGACGCATAGCGGACTTGAAAAAAATTTCAAACTCAGCAAGTTTTGCTTTAAATTTTAAATTCCTTTTGAATTCCCCAAATAGCGCTGCCTACGAAATATAAACCTCACCCACATAACAGTTTATTGACTACACAACTAGTTTTAATGAGTTGATAGCTAGTTTCCAAAATGTAATCTACATGACTGATTGATTTTAGAAAAAAATATCCAACTTGGAATTTTGTAACTTTTGTAAATTTTGTCTAATCATCTAATATTCATGTTATAGGTAGTTTCTTTTTATAGGTAACTGTATGCATCTTTAACATCTACATAATATTCTTTGTGGACTTTAATTGTACTTTATGGAAAGGGACCATGCCTTTACCATCACAACAATTGTAAAACAAGACAAATAAAACAAAGTATTAGTTGATTTTTATTTAAGAATGTTATATTGCCAACAAAGTATGACAATCTGACTTAACTTCGTTCAGGACAAAGGGTTAGCAAATCTTATTATATCATTACTATTGTGGCACGTTATTGGTCATGTAGGGGGTTAATATTCTCTTCGCCAGCAACAAAGAACCTCACTGTTGTTTTGTTTCAAATCAAATACATTATTGCATCTCTTATATTATAATTGTACTGAGAAATCGATATGGCGAGTACCGTGGATTTGTGTGCAGTTCTCTGCTGTGTAAAATACAATGATCACTTTATGATATGCCAGCAATGGTTTATTGATTTAATGCATATTTACTGTCCTGATATCAACATAAATATTGCTCTGACTTTGTAATGTGGATGCTCCAGCACTGGCTCAGGAGAGAGAATCCAGATGCTGAAGAAAATGAGGATTGTGTCCAGCGAATACAGAGGGAGCCTGGTCCAGATGATCATGAGTTGAATCACAGAGAGCCCATGCCTGTCTTGCATGAACAATTTTCCAATGGAAATAATGCATCTAGCAATTCACTAGAACATGCCCCTGAAAAGCCTTTTCCTTTATCACAGCAGGAATCAGATCCACGTGTAAGTAATTTTACAGGAAAAATGGTTCTTGGATATGTATAACATACATTGTGGGGCTTCTATTCCTGATCCGGAGAGACTTTAACCCTTTCATAGATGATATGGTTTGAGCATGTGTATTTTATCACATTTCGATGGTGTTTTCTAGTTAAATCTCTGGTATACACATACACACATGTGCTTGTATGTATTAATATATTAGATGATCTGCCCACTGTTATCAACGTGCATTCATGTGTTCAAACCCTACATTGGGTGGATCATGGCAGGTGACTTGCTCTATACATAATTTGTTATATTTCATAATGTGCGTTACAGATGCTTCTCCATTTCCCAGCATTCTTTAAATGCCTGTAAATTTTCATGTTGCTTTAGTGGTTATGGTGCCAGAAGGGTCAAACTCTTTGGTTGAAAGAATCAGCTAAAGTATTCTTAGCCAATGAGCACAGCCCTGCATCCACAGTGGTTTATTCCAAAGAGAAATTTGGTCTTCGTGCAGGAGAAAGCCATAGAGGCGTACGCACCTTGGGGAGCTAGGTAAGTTATCAAGCACTCAAAAAATGCTTGAGTACTCACCATGCAATGTCAGTAATCTGTAGTGGTTATGGTGCTTGGAATATTCATAGTAAATCATGAATAGTTGTTTTTTTATCTGCTACTAGCACTTAAAAAGATTTAACTGGATGCTCCCTTTCTAAATGTTGATGTATTTTACAGAATTATGTGCCTTTTCAAAATACACAATCCTATGGACATGCATCAAATTCAGAGATTACTGTACAAGAGATATCGTCATCCGAGATGGATCCTGGAGACCAAATGGAATGCAATCTAGCTGATGTTTCTAGTTTTGGAGCGTGTGCTGATGTGCAGGAAGACCAGACGCCAGCTGATCAGAATGTATTCTGGGTTTGTATATCATTACTATTAAGGCTAGAGTTTGGGAAAAAAAGGTAAACCTTAAATATACAGTTGAATGTAAACATTTTAGTATTTTGGCTTGGGTTTGGAGTGAAGGATGAATGGAGACTCATAACGGAGGTTATCTCCTGTTTTATATTTCCAGATTCAAATTTATTAGGTAATTGATACTTCTTATAGCAAAACCATGAGCCATCTACCAAATCCTGGAGATTAGGTGCTTGGTGAAGTGATTTTCAAATCTCCTAGTTGTACTGTTTCACTTATTTGGAGACGGGTTCCAACTCTGAGTTGTGTGTTTTTATATACGTGTGTGTGTGTGTGTGTGTGTATATATATATATATATAAATATATATATATATAATTTTTTTTTAGTAAGGTGCTGGGTTTTAAATGGTGTTAACTCGGCTGGTCTGCCAATCAGGATCAAAAAGACACAAAATATACTCAAGTAATCCATACACTTTTGTACACTGCATTGCATGATAATTGTTTGCAAGTGTTACTTATGTTGTGATAGAATAAAAAATAAAATAAAAACATGAAATATCAAAACTCGAGAGAGTGGCAGAAGAGACACTTCGAACCATATCCTATGAACTTGCTTAGGTATTTATTGTGCTGGGAGTAACCATTTAGACAAAATACATATTTATAGATCTGTGTTGTCTATTGCCTATTAGTGAGAAGTTTCTAGAACAATTACAACAGATTTATATGTTTGCTCGCTTTTTAAAAAAAACATTATTTTGCTTAAATGTGTCTACAATTGGTGAGTTTTAATTTATTTAGAATTATGCCACTCCCAAGTTAGTGTTATGTTAATACAGTGACTAATTTAAGGCCTGAGCTTCTCTAGTACTAGCAATCGATGGCAATATCAGAATGGTAAGTGCCTTCCGTGCTTATGCCCTCCTCTTTTTGTCTCAACCCTGCTTAACTTAAAGCAACACTATAGTCATCAGAACAACTAGAGCTTAATGTAGTTGTTTTGGGGTCTATAGCATGTCCCTCCAGAGAAAAGGCAGTGTATACATTGTTCCCTAGGGAGACTTCCAGTGGAAGTCACTCAGATGGCCATCGAGGTGCTTCCTGGGTCCAGCACTAACCCAAGAAGCATTGTATTCCTGTCACTATAGTGTTTCTTTAAGTTAATTTCAGCCGTATATCAATTTACACTTTGTGAAGGCAGAGAAAATAAAGCTCAAGTAGAGATTCACCATTAACATTCTGATGCTGCTATCAGGAAGAAAAACCTAAATGGAATTTTGACGGTTTACAGAATAATTTTAAAGCAGGACACATTGGGTAAAAAAGAAGCATATAGGCAAAAATGGGGGAAGAATGGTGTCCTACAATAAATCACATGCTAATAGTACTTCCAGCAATTTCACTTGTTTTTTTTAACCAGATTTTAAGTGTCCTTTAAAAATGTGTTTTACAGAAAGATCTGAATAACAAAACACCAATTCAACGTGCATCATATTTAAGGAGTGCTCTAGGAGCTGAACAAGAGATATTGATATCATCATCAAATATGGATCCTGGAGACCATAACATTTGTGATGATTCCAGGTTTCCTGCATGTGTGGGTGTGAAGGAAGGCAATGTTCCCGCTGATCGGAATGTATACTGGGTGGGTACAGCATTACCATTAAGGTTTTGAAGTGGTGTGATTGTGCTGTTGAATGTAAATGTTATGGTATTTTAGTTAGGGTATGCAGTGGAGAATACATGGAGACTCATGACACACCAATATTAGTAGTCAAACCATTTGCTAAAAAAATTACAACTTACCTGCAGTCCACTTTGCGATGGTCACCTCCTCCATCAGAACTGGAAACTTTCTCTATTGAGCTAAGCTTGGTTGAAAGCAATCAGCTGTCACTCAGAGCCAATGAGCTGGTCCTGCACAGCATGGTTCAGCTCAGATGGGGTAACAGAAGCTCTGTACAGGAGCTTCTGTCTCTCAATAATGGAAGTCACTGGCACCAGCTACCCCAGATAGATTGTCAAACGGTTCGCAAACGGTTTCAGTATGTCACAGTACATTAGAATCCTTAGCAAGATAAAAGGCAACAATCCTATCAAAGGTAAATAGAGGAGAGATACCAAGGTTTAATACTGGACCTTAATGAAAGGCAAGAGTTAGAAAGTAACAGGACTCATAAATTTAAGTTTATTCAGACCAGGAAGAGAATAATGAAATCAATAGTAATAATAACACTGGCCCTGAATGACTGGAACTCAAACTCACAAACAAGCCAGATCTAATTATTAATATTATTATTATTATTATTATTGCCATTTATATAGCGCCGACAGATTCCGTAGCGCTTTAGAATATTATGAGAGGGGGGATGTAACTATAAATAGGACAATAACAAGAAAACTTACAGGAACAATAGGTTGAAGAGAACCCTGCTCAAATGAGCTTACAGTCTATAGGAGGTGCGGTACAAAACACATTAGGACAGTACGGGTGCGAGCAGCGGTAAGGAGATGGTCACGAGCGGAGGGAACGAGGATCAGTGAAGAAATATGAGGGGACAGAATTGTTCAGTGCTTTAAATGTATGGGTTAGCACTTTGAATTGACTCCTATAGGATACAGGGAGCCAATGTAAAGACTGGCAGAGGGGTGAGGTGTGAGAGGACCGACTAGAGATGAAAATCAGTCTAGCTGCAGCATTCATTACAGACTGTATCAGGGCAATATGGCTTTTGGGGAGACCAATCAGGAGAGGGTTACAGTAATCCATGCGTGAAATTACTAGAGCATGGACAAGCTCCTTGGTAGCATCTTGTGTAAGAAAGGGGCGGATGCGGGCTATGTTTTTAAGTTGGAACCTACAGGATTTGGCAAATAACTGGATGTGAGGCTCAAAGGTGAGGCCAGAGTCAAGTATGACGCCAAGACAGCGTGCTTGCAAGGATGGACTTATGTGGATATCACTGACTTGAAGGGAGAGCGAGAGAGGAGGATCAGTATTAGGAGGAGGAAAGACAAGGAGTTCAGTTTTAGAGAGATTGCGTTTCAGAAAGCGTGAGGACATCCAGTCAGAGATGGAAGAAAGGCAAGCAGTGACACGTTGCAGGACGGCAGGGGAGAGGTCCGGGAGGAGAGGTATATCTGAGTGTCATCAGCATACAGGTGGTAGTGGAATCCAAAAGAGGCAATAAGTTTGCCAAGAGAGGCAGTATAAAGAGAAAATAGAAGGGGACCAAGGACAGAGCCTTGGGGAACTCCAACCGAGACAGGACGAGGGAAGGAGGTATCCTTGGAAAAGGAGACACTGAATGAGCGTTGGGAGAGATATGAAGAAAACCAAGAGAGGACAGAGTCACAGAGACCGAGTGATTGAAGAGTTTGAAGGAGGAGAGCATGATCAACGGTGTCAAAGGCAGCAGAGAGGTCAAGGAGAAATAATATGGAGTAGTGACCTTTTGGATTTAGCTGCGATTAGGTCATTCGTAACTTTGATAAGAGCAGTGTCAGTAGAGTGGAGAAGGCAGAAGCTAGATTGAAGAGGGTCAAGGAGAGAGTTGGAATTGAGGAAGCGAGACACGCAGGTAAAGACAAGTCTTTCCAAAAGCTTTGATGAGAAAGGGAGCAGGGATATTGACTGATAGTTAGAGGGGGAGGATGGGTCAAGAGATGTTTTTTTCAGGATAGGTACTACAGTGGCATGTTTAAGGTCAGCAGGAACAGTGCCAGAAGAGAGAGAGCAGTTAAAGATGTGTGTTAGGGTAGGCACAAGACAAGGGGAGAGAGATCTGATGAGGTGAGATGGGACAGGATCGAGCGGGCAAGTGGTGGGGCGAGAGGAATGGAGAAGCGCAGCCACCTCTTGTTCAATAGCCATGGAAGAAAGTTTGAAGGGTAGGGGAGGCATGATTTACGTGTGGGTGAGAAAGAGAACGGCAAGGAGGGGAGAATTGTTTCCTTAGCTGTTCAATATTGTCGGTAAAGTAGCATGCAAGCTATCAGCTGTAAGGTTAGTTTGGGGGGTGGCCACAGCAGGGCGCAGTGAAGAGAATTTAAAGGTGTCAAAGAGACGTCTGGGGCTGCGGGAACATGAACTAATGAGAGAGGAAAAGTATGACTGTTTGGTGAGGGCTGCGCTGTATGAACGCAATATGAATCTATAATGGAGAAAGTCTGCCTCGGTGCGGGACTTCCTCCAGGAGCGTTCAGCACAACGGGAGCAACTCTGTAGATAACGTGTTGATTTAGTATGCCAAGGTTGGGATCTAATAGGCATAAAGGAAGAGGAGAATATCAAGGTCAAACTTAGCTGGAACAAAATAATTGTTATATTAGCCAGGGTCTGGTACACAAAGACATACTGTAAAAATCAATGGCAGGCCGGGTCAAATAACAGGGAATCAGGAACATTTGACAAAGTAACACGCCTAATGGCTCTGAGACCATAAAATGCCACTGGACCATATCAAAAGTGGATATATAGTACCAGGCCCTTGCATCAATTTAACACCTTTGACATATGCACAGAGCATCCCGAAGGATACCAATCAATTAACTTATAAATAGGCGCCAAAGTCGCAGCTGACATCTTTTAAATTTAGGTCGTTTCAGAACAATGCGAATGCAACCTGGTACAGGCTGCGTCCAAAGTGGCATGGCCTACTGGTAAAGCTACCACCTAGTTAACCATGCAGAGTTATGTGAACTCGTTATCCATGATGCCTATAACAAATTGATAATTTCTCACTGCTTATCCTCAGTTGTCATATGTAATGTCATGATTTGTATAACTAGCCTTACAAGACTGATGGAATACTGCTTTTTCAATAAAAGTCTATTTAAAAACAAAGTGGCATGGACGAACTGATGCATGAGTGTCAATTATGCTAGCTTTCCTTACAAACTACTTACCCTGGCAGGGTGCAAGGGCACTAAAGGGAGCATAACTGCTACAGTGGACTTTTTTTTTTTTTTCCTTTTTCTTTTATGAGATGCTCAAATTTCTTTACTAGTTATAGTAAAGAGTTAGCAAATTTTATTATAATGCTATTTAGATAGGGCAGTACCTGTCTTGCTTTCCAGATTTAGATTCCTGGTGTCCTGCATCCAGGGACAACAGGGAATTGTCATTGGACAGCATTAGTGGGCAATCTGACCATACAGAACTCTCTCCATGGCCCTACTTGCAGGGGGGTGGCTGGGATGCTGCCTCTCAGCCAGACATGCTTGATACCAGGCTGGAACATCCACATCAGTGGATGGGCATGCCAACTTACCAGGAGGTCCGTCCTTTGTGGTTGTTGCCAGTGATGAAAGTTGCTTCATTGGTGATGCCCCCTAGAAGGGCCACTCATTCAACCTGACTGCAAACCTCAGAATGTTGGGAGATATGCTGTTCTCTGTATGTTTTTTCTATTGACGGGAAACTAAGATGGAGGTGCCCAATTGCAGGATAAAGAGGTTTGGATTTCTACATTTTATTTTATTTTTCACACCTGTGAAATATATATTTGTTAAATATAGGGATAGGGCAAATAATATTATATTATTGGAACTGGCAGTATCCCTTTTAGTACTAGCGTTTAGAAACCTGGAATTGTATTTGTTGGATTATCTTAGGGTTTAGAGAAGTGGATAGATTTAATGTCTTAAATGGCCTTAAATCAAGTTTCATATTTTTAGATCAAACGCACTGCACTGACCATTATTATTATTAAGGAGTAATTTATTAGGCAATTCCCAGGTGTGAAGCACACAGCAAGTTATTTGATACTAAGTTGATTGCTCATTGATTTCACTGAAGACTTAGATCAAGTCCCAGCTCAGAACTGACAAGGTTTATGTGACTGTCCCAAGGTCATATTTGCTTTTGAAAAATCATGCAACTTTTCACATACGTTTAGCACAAATATAAAATGATGCATTTAAGTTTCACCCAGCAGCAATTAACACCTTTACTTCCGGAATCATGTAAAATGTTTTTAATTTTATATACTTTGCAAAATGAAACTAAAGCCTGCTTCCAAACAGTACAGGACATTTCAATGGGTCCTACATTCCAACAGTCAGGAAGGGGGAAGGGGTGAATAAGCTCTCCCATTTCACTGTCAGCATTCCAGAGAATCAAAGTAGGATTAAGAACTCACAGGGCCCTAGGCAGATTTTCAATTTTGGTTCCTATTTATTCTTCACATATGAATGGTAAATGGGACCAAGCAAATTCATGGTTCTGTGAACCCTGTCAAACCTCTGGGTCCTAGGAATCACCAGAGAGTGATAAAGATTGTTATAGCACTTTTAAATACCTTTATTTTAGAAATGTATGATTTAATTGTAGTACATGTGTGTGGGCATTATGCTCAAATACAGACATTCATTTTAAATTATGTTGCCATTTTCATTAAGGTGTACTGTTAGTAATATATTCAGGGTCCTTACAAACAGCTATAAGCAAGCTATGTGACCATCTTTATTTATCAATTTTTTTCATATGTGAGAGATTCTTTATTTTTATTTGATACTATTATTTCAGACCTTGTGTGAAATATTTCAATGTGAAAGACACTGTAAACTGTCAAAAGATTTTTCTTCCCAAAAACTGTATATTAAAGGATCACTATAGCGTCAGGAAAACAAACGCGTTTTCCTGACACTATATAATCCTTGGGGGTCCCCCTCCCGCTGGGCTGAAGGGGTGAAAACCCCTTCAGCCACTTACCTTAATCCAGCGCTGGGCTTACTCTGCGATGGTGACCTTTCCTCCCCCACCGATGTCAGCTCCTGAGTGGAGCAAGAGCCGCGCGCGCATTCTAACAGTCCATAAGAAAGCATTTCTCAATGCTTTCCTATGGACGTTCTGCACGCTGGATGCGAATTTCACATCCAGCATCGCAGAAGTGCCTCTAGCGGCTGTCAGGAAGACAGCCACTAGAAGTTGGATTAACCCTGCTATGTAAACATAGCAGTTTCTCATCTTTCATATTATTATTATTAATACAGTGTGACAAAGTGCCCTTCGCCACTTGTGCCTTTTGGGGGCTACTGGCTAGCCTCCTGCCTTACGACTATGGCCCCTGTGCTGATAGCTGTATTTTACCCTGCAGAAAGGTTTATTTGTGTATTTGTGGGACTTTCAGTATGTGAGTAGTGCTACTCCAGATAGCTATGCCATGGAGCCTATTTGTGTTACGAAAGGCTATGGAAAAGACTTTGGCCCCATGGCGATTTAACTGTATGTATGTGATCTGAGCGCCATTTGGTAATAATGTGCGCTCAGATCTAAGCTATCTGGGGATATGTTGCATGGATATGTTTTATGTAGTAATTGTAACATTGTGTAATTTTATGTCTTTTTGTAACCATGTGGTTAATGGAGTCTTGCCTCTGTCCTGGGAGATAATTTGATTACTTCCCAATTATCTCCAGGATAGAGAGGAGGGATTGTGATGTCACTGTGGGAGTGTTTTGTTTGTATTGTCTGTGATTGGCTAATATCCAATATGTGTCCCATTGTTCCATCAGGTCCCCTAGGGGAGTGTCCACCTGGTGGACACTTGCATAAATACCGGGCAGGTAGCCCTCAATAAACCAGACCTACTTGAACCTTTCTTGAAGCCTTGGCTCATGCTTGGGGGAAGGGATACCTACACTCTGGGGATTGCTATAATCACTTACTCCCCAGAGTAAGCTCTTGTAAGAGCTTGATTTGTTCCTGCTATGCTCTCTGGATTTAGGAGAGGTACACCCACTGGGAGCTGGATCCTGGTTGTGGATCCAGGGTGGGTGAGAGATGGCAAGACCCCGGCGTAGCTGCATCGCTGGAAGTGGGGTCTGCAGTGCTGATGGTGTCGGTTGGAGTGCTCAGAGTCCTCGGCAAGCGCTTGGAGCATCGATTGGCGGAGGTACTAGGTCGGAGTGCCAGCGGTCCGTCACATACAGTGCTTTGCATTATTATAAAGGTGGAAATTTAACAACAAATAAGGCAAACTATTACATATTTTAATAGGAACAATTGGTTGATGAGGATCCTGCATGAATAACTCTTTCTAAACTTACTCTCTTACACCCAAAGTTTTGAAATGCTGTAGGGTACGTGAAATCATGAAGAATGGCGGGAAGGCTTAAACTCTGAACATCGGTCACAACTAAAGGAAGGCGTTGACTGCTGGACAGGGAGGGTCCGGTAACCAGCTGAAGAATGCATCTGTCTGTCGATTCAGGCGGAACGCAACAGATCTAGGATAAACACTCCTTATAGAAGTGGAGACAGGGAAAATTTGTGGGTCCAATTGCCAATCGCTGGAGTCTCCAGTGGTGGGAAACCAATCTGCGATGAGATTGTCGGAACCTGGCAGATATTCCGCTCGAAGAGTGATGTCTCTGCCTAGGCAAAACTGATACAGTTCGCTTGTGAGTTCCGTGAGTATCTTTGAACTGGAACCTCGTAGGTGATTCACATAGCAGACTGTTGACACATTGTCCATCCTCAGCAGTGTTGTAGGCATCTTTGGCGAAGCTGCTAATTGCGAAAGAACTAGCAATCCATTTGAGGCAAACGGTATGCAGTTCAGGCTCCGATGGGGACCAAAGGCCTCTGGTTTAATGTACAGTGCAGGTCACACCCCAGCTGAATAGGCTGGCGTCTGACTCCAGAATGAAATCCTGTTTGCGATCCAAAGATAGCCCTCCGGTTCCAAGTTTCCATATGGTGTAGCCACCAGTAAAGTTCCAGTAAGACCTCGTCCGTTAGTGAGATCCACTGATCGTAAGATGTGGAGTGATGCAAGTAATGTGTTTTCAGGTATTCCATCACCTGATATTATAATGGGGCTGGGAATATCGCCTGGATGGAGGCAGAGAGCATACGAGCCAAGTCGCGAAAGCTAAGAAATAGTGAGACCACCAATTTCCAAATGTCCTTTTTGATAGATTTGGTTTTTGTAGAAGGAAGTTGCAGTCCTGAACAGATTTTATCTAAAATCAGAGCAATTGAACCGTCTGAGACGAAATGAGAGATGATTTCTGGAGATTAATAATGAATCCTAGATTCAGTAAAAGGGCTGTGGTCATGTTCATGAAGGTGCAGAGTCACCGGCTTTTGTGCCATGAGGAGGATATTGTCCAGATATATCATGGATCAAACTCCTTGGGAGTAGAGCAAAGCCATAGCGTGTTTCATCAGCTTGGTGAAGCACCAAGGTACGGAACATAGGCCGTAGGTGAGGCAGATGAACTGCCGTAGACCTTAACACCAACAGAACTGTAGGAAGCTGCAATGACCCGGTGTTACTGATACCGTCAGGTATGCTTCCTTGAGGTCAAAATGAAACGAGAGAACCAATCTCCCTCGCAGAGTAGGTTGCGTAACAGATGGATACCCTCCATCTTGAAATGTCCACAATACTCATGCATGACTTAGAGATGATAATTGGACGTCGAACCCTCTAATGGGTCGAAGTCATGTTGGAAAGTGGGTTTGATATTAAACAACTTTGGGTTTTTTTAACGGCAGAAGCACTATCGCCCTTCAAAGGGTGCTTGCGTGGATCTCATCATGATCCGAGCCCCGGGAGTCATCAGAATCCAATAGCTATACGGGCACTGGCTGCTTGCAGAAAGCCACTAAGGCTTTGGGGATGGACTTAGCAATGCCAAGCTGTAAGCTCAGCTGACACTGCAGGGTCTGGTTGATCAGACATAATGAATGAACAGGAAAAGTAGTGGAGTCACCACACTAAAAATACAATCAGGAGAATTTTTATTTATTTATTCATTTTTTTAAATTAAATTAGGACTGATGCAGACTTAACTATTTACACAACTAACTATAGAGTAAGAGGACTTGTCTTGGGGATCAACCAAAGAAAAATGTAGACAAGTGGCATCAGCTACATATATCATAAAGTGGTGGTCAGACACAAAAGTGTATTAATAGGGTTTATCCCCTCCCCCCTCCCCCCCCTAAATGAAGACAGTGTAATTGTCCACAATCTTTAACAGGATTCACCTGTGTGTATTACTAATAATCAAGTATTATAGGGGTTCACCCTTATAATGAGGCAAGAGAGGGTTACCCTCAGTAATAAGGCAAAATGGGGTCACCCACAGTAGTGAAGCAAGGATTTTGTTAGGAGAGACCTGTAAGAAAAAACAAATGGGGTCCTTAACTGTAAATTTAGAAAATACTGTTAGCCAGAAATATAATGACCAGATATAGGGCTCAAACAGCGATGTTTATGGTACTTACGCTGTACAGAACCGATCCGGATGACTAACGAGAGCCTAAGAACACCGCAGAGAGAAACCTCAGAGATGCGACTAACAAGATGCGCGGACGGACTAAAAGTGTGCAAATAAGTACAAATGTCTGCGGGCCAAAAGGAGGAAGGCGGTACGCTATGAGGGGAAGGGCGGGAGAAAACAGCCTGACTGACAGCCATTCGTGAGCGGTAAAACTGCAAGCCACAGCTAGTTTAGTAGTGTCCCGGCTTAGAAACACCAAAGGCAGTGAAAGGCACCCAGTAAACCTAAGAGCCCTAAAACGGGGAGAAAAACTGAAATTATGCACTACTAGAGGAAGGCCGGCCCATGGGCAACAGCACAGTCCCTGTTTTTCGGTCCCTACAATACAAAATTATAAATAATGACAGAAGACAGTAATAATAGATTTTTTTTAGTGAGAGATTTAAAAAAGTAACTATTGTTAGATTTAATACCAGAATAGACTCACCTGGGAGGCAAGCAGCAAAAAAAGAGGGGTTGGAAGAAGTCTCACAGCCATTAATGACATACATTCTGACTGGTTGATTCTTTGGTTATATGTTTAACTGTTTCTTTGCTGCTGTGAGCTTTAGTAAAGAAGATTAAAGCGAATATGAAGCCTCCTGTCTTGCCATAAAATTTAAATTCCACTGCTAAAATAATTTAAAAAAAATCTAATTGAAATAATAACAATGTTAAAATGCTAAAATATCTATAATATTAAACAAAGTATATGTAAAAAAAAAAAAAAGGAGAAAAACTCCTCCCTACCTTTAGTATATGACAGAATCCTTTGGCCATATGCCAGCATCTTGGGTCTGGCAGTGTTTTAAAACCAAGAATTAGTCTCTATGGTCTTCCCTGCTTCTGCAGAAATCTATTTCCTCTCAAAACACTATTCTTGTATTCTAAAATAGTTTTGAGGTGACAGTCATCCTATGAGGACTAAATTTATTATTTAAAGGTTTTTAATTTAACCCTTAAACCTTGGTTCTAAACTTTCTATGTTGAAAGTCCTTGTTTCTTTATCTTGATTGCTGGCAGACCTCAGGTTACCGTCAACAATACACCAAGTAAAAGCATTTTACGAAGATACATTAAATTATGTGATATTACAAGAGTGAGAAGGAACCTGAATGCCAATTACTATACTTCACAGCAATGACAGGAAAATGGAACAGAAACCCCAACAAATATAAACATAATAAGGAAGTGCATTGTGCAAAAATATAACAGAACAATGTATCAGCTTTACTCATTATGGTTCTTCCCACAGGTATATTTAACAAAGTGAGAATTCAAAGTGAATTTTAAATTGAATTCCCAAGTAGACGAACTGGAAGTATTTCTGACTTGGAGAATGTTTCGAATTTGCCAATTTTTACCTTAAATTTGAAATTCACTTTGATAATCTATCTCTAGATATTTGCCTTTTAATGAGTCCCCTTCCAAGTGTTGCATACAGCTACCAGTGATATTCTTCATATAATATGATGTTTCTGATATGTTTTGATAGTTCATATAAATGTATATTTCTATGTTTTGATATTCTTCATATAACATGTTTCTGATATGTTTTGCAGACCAATATAATTACAGAGACACCAGCTGAAGAAGGAGATGTATTAGGTTTAAGACGTACTAGTGGAACCAATTTAAATATATCAGAAATTGATCCAGCACACCAGTTGGAGTGCAATCAAGCTAGTTGTTCCAATGCGTTATTTGCTCAGATACAAGAGATACAAGAAGACTATGCTCCTTCTAGTCTACGAGAATACAATGTGTCTGTGGATCCATCAGCACAAAGTTTTCTATTTCTCAACTCTCCTGAAGATATTTACTCAGGTTTTGATATGTGTTATTCTGGCACTTCGAGCATTGAAGTCATTGAGGAATCTCTGCGGTCCAGGAATGTGGATATGTCTAATGAGGATAATGAAGTGGCAGAACCAAATGTTTTAAGAACTTAGGAGTTTGTAAAACTGAGAAGAACAAGTGAATGTACTGGTCCAGATTGCTCCATGCTGCTGTGCAGTGGTGTCAGCTCTGCAAATTCATTTACTTCATCACAAGTGAAGGGTTGGTTCTGATCTCAGCTACTATATGCCATATATCTTTCACAACTACAGACAAACGTTTACACTGTTAACCAGCTGTAAACGTATATTTTTATAGTACATGGGATATTGTCAATAGAGGATCAAATTCACAGTTAAATATAAACAAAGTAATAAGCGCTGGTGCTTATTCACTAAACATGGGAATTGTAAAAAAAAATCCAAAATTTGCCGTGATATTTTGGTCCAGATTTGCAATTCCAAAGTAGTCAAAACGTTATCATAAAAATGATGAATAAAATTGTATATTTTACTGTTTAACACCTATTGCTTTCTCTTCCTCTCTCAGAATCTGTTTTTTGTTTCCCTATGTAATCTAGTTCTCTTTAAAACTTAAGATAAAGTAGGAACTACTTTGTCTTATGTATTTTACCTACGCTTGACCTTTTTTGACCAAAGGAGGAGCTTAAGTTCGCTCCTTTTTCTGTGGTCAAAGAAATGTTCCCACAATACTCACCACTCCTCCATGTCCTCACGTTACTTCATTCACCGTTTGAACGTCCTGTAATTTAGGCAGAGCGCTGGCAAATTCACAGAATTTTGTCCTAACAGAATGAGTGCAGTTTGTCCATTTGTGTTAGGATGAAATTTGTGTATTTTGTTGGGTTCGGAATTTCATTCTCAGAATAAAAATCCAATCAGTGCCGCGGTTGCAGCCACTTAGTAGATAGCTCCCTTATTCACACAGTATTAAGGAGTTATCTACTAAAAAGCTGAAAAACCTAAATTGGTCTTTCAGCCACATTTACTAATACTAAGTAAAGATTACTTAGTATTAGTAATAAAGGGATATTAAAATCTTCCTCCTGCCCCTACACGCTATGCCGCAAGTATACTAAACAGTGAGCAGCTTGTGGCTGCTCACTGTTTTTAAAAAAAAAAAAAAAAGACCCTCACCCCCAAATCTAATAAAGTGTACCATGGTGGGGCACCTATTAAAATAATTAGCAGGGGGGGACACTATGTCCCCCCTCGAGCCCCCACCCATGCCCTGATAGTGGTAACTAATAAACTAAACAGGAGACAGAGTGTCCCAGCCCCCACCCATGAGCAGCGGGTCGGGGCCCTAAGTGATAAAAGGGGGGGGGGGACCTACTGGCTCCCCTCCAGCCCCCACCCATGAGCGGTGGGTGGGGGGCCCTAAGTGACAAAAGGGGGGACTTACGGCCTCCTCCCTCGGCCCTCACCCACGAGCTGTGGAAGTGAACCCTAAGTGACAAAAGTAATAGGTAAAATGGGAGGCCTAGGGGTATTTGGGGGTGACTAGTGGGACAATAAAATGTAGTGGTCGGGAGGGGGCTTAAAAAACAAAAACAATGTGACCATGACAGTGCCACCTTAAGGGCAGAGGTAATTATCCATATTCTAAACCAAAATAAAACCTAGAATCTGCGCTGTGTTTGATCCACTGTAATGTAAAAGTTTCATTTTAACTGCTACCGTACATATAATATATTGTTTTTTAAAGGATGGAAAGGGCTTTCATTTGATATCCTATATGTATACCTAACACAACTTTACATTCCCCTGCATCTTTGCTTGTAATAGGTTTTACACATCCAGTGCAATTAATTAAAAATAACTTAAAATATATTCATATATCAGTCCTGATTGTTACATAGTTACATAGGCTGAAAAGAGACACGTGTCCATCAAGTTCAGCCTTCATCACATTGTTAAATGCTTAATATGTCTAGAATCTTATTATATTTGTGGTACTTAACTTTAACCTTATACCAACCCCCACACTAATGCTTTCCTAATGCTTACACTAACTCTAACCGTATGCCTAATCTTACCCTTAATCTTAATGCTATAGTATCAAAAACCGCATTTACCCAAACCCAACATTAACCCTTACTTTACCCTAACCCTACAGCTAACCAAAATCCTACCCAAACCCTAACTCTGCCCGTACCACTAAATATAACCCTACACCTACTCTAACCCTAAGGAAACCCTTAGCTAACATAAATGCTGATATTAGAAGATGGGTTTCCTAGTTAAGACAGTGGCTAGTGGTCTGTGACATTCAATGAATGTAGCCTGCTTCCCAGCCGATTACACTGTGATTGGTACTAGGCAGCTGACAAAGTCCAGCATCAATCGCAATCAGCTGGGGACAGGCAGGAAGATCCTGACTGGGTCTATTAAGACATTGGGGGTCTCCCTTAACAAGTCTGCAGCCCAGAAACACCACAGCTGGCACAGTCGCTCAGCCACAGCGTTATATATAAAAAAACGTGATGTGTGTACAGTATAACCAAACGTGATAGGTAACTGATATTTAAAAGTAAGAATACGACAGAGAATGATTACTTCGATTGAAAAAGCCCATTTGTTTGGCTAACGCATCTCGAGGATCATTACAGCGGAGAGGACTTTTAATAATTTTATTATTTTGTAATTCATGTATTTGATTACTTTTTAACACTTTTTTATTGATTAATAAATAGATCATTCTTTTTGATCATATATATAGTCAAGTGTCTGCTGCTGGCTACATCTTAAAGAAGGTTAACCCCCCTGAGTGGGTTATAGCGATTCCAACCAGAGCCAGGTTCACCTCATTGGCTCTGAATAAGGTGAGCACTTTACCACCTATGTCTGTGTATATATATATATACTTACCTGCAAAAATACTACACTAGATAGAGATCTCTTCCTGTCTTTATATATCTCCTTGACAAACCACAGAGGAGGAGACTAAAGAAGGAGGGTGTCTCCTGAATGACACCAAGTGAATGAGATTAGAGCCAGTCCCCCTTTGGCTCCATACTTGTGAGTTGATAATCATATATTTTTTATCAACCAGACTCCAGATTTAATATACTCCACCATTGGATGATTTTCTCTCAACCCCCCTCCCCTCTCCCCCCCCAGCCCCCATCTGTGTTTCTTGCATATACATTGAGTCCCATCTCGCAATACTCCTATTATTAGGGGTGAGTATATATTTCTTAACGTTCCACTGTTTGGGGATTTCTTAGGTGGTTGGTATCTTTCACTAACCTTCTTTTTAAATGTCCCTACCTTTACCACAGCGTTATATATGGGGATAATAACAGAGCTCAGCTGTCAGTTTGTGACCACTAAAAATGGCCACGGCTGACAGAGGGATTTAACCATGCTTACACCAAAACTGCACGGTATTAATACCTAAAGGTATTAAAGCCCACTCGTCCCAACGTTGGGAAAAAAGATGAGTTAAAAATTTTAAAAAGAAGTTTGTTATCTCCACAAACATTTCAGTACAAAGATTGTTATTGAATATCATTTTTTTTTTTGGTAAGGAATTGTGCATATGTATATATATTATATAACTGTTAGCTGTACTTCGCTGACAAGGCTTAAAAGAGGCTAGTTTGTTGACTGGGATTACTGTGTTTATCATGCAGTGAGGATTTGTTTTGTTTTTTTATACTCAGATGGAGCAGTGTTTTTTCTGTAATGGTACAGATATTTAAGAATGTATTCTCACTGCACAGCTCCTACTCCTACTCCTACTAATGCCAATAGGCAGGTAGTTACATCATCTCAGCAATCTGTACAGTCTGTGCAATTATTGCACAGACTGATCCCAGTAGCAAACCACTAGACACCAGGGATAAAATAATCAAAATCAAATGTGTGAAAGTGTATGAATGTGAGTGTATGTGTATATGAATATTAGTGTGTATATGAATGTAAGAGAAAGTGTGTGTTTTTTTTATAATCTGCACACAGATAACACAGGTTTGCCTCTGTCCCTGATGCATAAATAGTACTCTCCAGCATACCATATCACACTGCGAGGAAGAAACTTCTGTGTAACCTCTGTAAATCGTTAACCAACCTTGCAAAGAGACAAATTGATTTAGAGGTTTGCCAATAATTTGAGGCCAGATGAGAGAAAAACATGGCTAGTTACATATTCTGGCTTTTACTGCTATGCAGTGTGTGTTACAATGCCAAAGGTAAGATTAGTTGCTTTGAGTAATGTTTTACAATCTATTAATAAATATAAAGTGATACATAGCACGTCAACAGAAACTATTAATCTGGTCTATAATTCCATTCCTATCTAATCTTTGGACATGCTATTTGTTCAATCTTATATTTTATTAAGAGAGAATAAAAAAATCATTCTTTATTAACGTATAACCCCACTATATGGAGCCTATAATTTAATCCTGCTTCAAACTGTATAATTACCTATTAAATCCCTTCATTGAGTTCCACTTCCAAGTGATAGAAAAGACACGGTCACATTTACTACAACACATTGTTTGGTTAAAAACTAGCAAAGCAATTATTAGAAACAGGAAGCATAGCTAGAACATTAGCAATTTTGGGTATACATTGTTGTTCAGGGATATCTTCAAAAAGATTAAAAATTTATCCATTTACACATATGATTTACATGTATTTGTATATAATATTTGCTTAAGAGTGCAGAAATATTGTCAAATTACCTGCTCTTTAGTATTTTCTAAAATGATGATGGCATTTCTGGAATGCCAGACACACCTGGATATCTTCCTGGTGGATTATTTTGTATGTTTTACTGACACCAGAACCAGTCTAAGAGGACCGTGTAAGGTAGTGAGGTTTGTGACCACATACGTTTAAGATATTTCTTCACCCATAGTCTCTTCGGTCTTGACATTGCATATGGCAGATTAAGATTCTTATTGCTGTCTAATTTGAGGATTTACTCTGGACTTAGGTTATGTATTCCTCTAAACCATATTGAGAGTTTGATGTCTTCAATCCTTCGATTTGGCAATTTTGTTTTTATTTTCTTGTTCCACATTGTTGTTTCGTTTTTTTTTTTATAGGACAATTTGTGCCAAGCATTAGTTTCCTTTTGTAGAACGTTGTATATTATCCTCAGCCTTGATTTGGCTTGGAGGTTTACACAGATACAATTCACACAATACTTTTGAACAGTCTTCTTTATTTACTAACTACTTGTATACACACTGACTGATGATGCAATTTTTGCGCACATTAAAGGTTTATATTTTATACAAATAAAAATTGGTTTAAAATGGTTCAAGAATTATGCACTTGTTTTTGTTAAAACAGTGTCAAGTATTACCTGAAGCCGATTTGGAGGCAAATTCTATGATTAGCTCCAAAATTTGTCACATTGAATTTACCTCAAATATGGATCACATTCTGGGGTTTTTGATAGTCTGGTGAAAGACCAAATTTAGGATAGGGATCGACCGATATTGATTTTTTTAGAGCCGATACAGATACCGATAATCTGTGAACTTTCAGGCCGATAGCTGATAACTTACTGATATTCTGTACATTTACCATTTTGAAAAAATAAAACTATTTCTAAAGGTAAATGCACAAAATATACATGCCACGTGTAGTGGATGCAGTGTGTTTAGACAGCGGAGCTGTCTGTGTTTGTGTAGTGGATGCAGTTTGTTTTTGTGTAGTGTGTGTATATAATGAATGCAGTTTGTATTTGTGTAGTGTGTATATATTGAATGCAGAGTGTGTTTGTGTAGTGTGTAGACTGAATGCAGAGTGTGCTTGTGTAGTGTGTATATAGTGTGTGTGTGCAGGGTGTGTAGTGTGCGTAAAGTGAATGCGATGTGTATAGTGAATGTAGTGTGTGTATATAATGAATGCAGTGTGTTTGTGTAGTATGTGGATAGTGAATGCAGTGTAATTTGTTTGAGTGTGTGTATATAACAAATGCAGAGTGTGTGTGTGTGTGTGTTTCTGTAGGTATGTAATTTGTGTAAAATGGGGGGGTAGAGGCATTTAAAAAATATATATTTTTTTTAATTAACTTTTTTTTTAAAGGCCAGGGAGGGGGGATATGCCATGGACTGTGCAGTGGGGGCCCAGCAAGCGCTTACTTACCGTCCCGGCAGCTCCCTTCAGCTCCCCTGTGTAAATCTCTGCGGGACTCGTGAGATTTAGACAGGGGAGCTGAAGGGAGCTGCTGGGAAGGTAAGTAAGCATTTCCTGCGGGCCCTCCAGGACCGCCGGGCTTGTTATGGGCCCGGCGGTCCTGATCTGTATTATCGGCAATATCTATATGCAGATACCGATCTATATATATGGCAATCTCTATTTGCCGATAACAATATTGCCAAAAATACAGAATATCGGCCAGACTGATAATCGGTCGATCCCTAATTTAGGACCCATTTCAGCTTGAGAGAATGAACCCACCATTATCTTCACATTATAAAAGGTGTCATGTGAAATATGTTTTTGCTAAAAGATTGATAGATTTAAGATTTTCAAGAATGCGTTTCACAATTTTGGTTATATCATATTCAGTCTTTAGTATATAACCCCCAAATTATTTGTGTTTATGTAGTATTCCTTCTCAAGAAAAGAAAACATATTTGCAGAAAAAATAACATTACTGTTGTGACACACAATGTCGGATGGTCTTCCTCTCGATGTAGAACTGCAGTCTCCACTTTGAAAGTGGTCAAATATCTATCTGTCTTCATTTTGATGTCTAAGGGGGTTTGTGAACAACTGATCCTCTGAATAAGGTTCAATGTTTGGTACACAGTCAGTGTAGTTGCTTGCCCAATAAACAAACTTCTATTCTATTGTGTCCATGTTTTAAAAAGCATCAAATTAGGGAACATTCTTCAATACGCAACTTGTGGACGCTTGCAAGGAATATACAGTCATACGTTTGACAGTAGGTTCTCAGTTGACCCAAATTATATTTGTAGACTCTCTGTTTGTGAATATAATGTTTATGTGGAAAATTTGTCTGCCATCAGAAATAGTAAGTCCTCCTAAAAAAACACATTGTGGATGCCCTCTGGCTCACAAATCCAAACATGTACACAGATACAAAGGTACAGACACAAGAAGATTCCCTGAAATTCACAGAGATATGCTCTGTCAGATAATGTAGTTGGTAATCGGCAGCAATAATATAACCAAAGTAAAGAACCAGTAGAGGCAAGGCAGAGACCTAGACAGAATAGCAAAGGATCAGTCCCGACAGCATGGGTTTATAAATGGGGAGTCAGGCAGAAAAGTCAGGTATCAGAAGGTCAACAATAGCAAGAGAACACTGGTTGTAGCCCGAGGGGGCCCAGTACAACTGAGCAAGGAGGACTCGGCAACTGGCAAATATACAAGAGGGCGAGAATCACCCTCCCTGTTCAAAAGAGTCTAGAGGTAGAGAGGCAGACTGCAAGAGAGAATTGGCAGATCTGGGCCAGTCTGCGAGCCTTTCTTTGATGGCTCCCAGTGCTCAGAAGAGCGACACAAAGTTTTGCTAAGCTGACCTAAGTCGGAGGCCTTGACATGTGCAGGCCTGGCGCCTCATGGAGAGAGGGGAGAGACACAAAACCAGTAGAAACCAGTATGGGCTTTCATATCCTCATGGCATCACTCAGCAGAATATACATGGGTGGAAAACAAGATACATGTATAAAAAATGGATGCACCACTATGCAGTCACCATATTTATTGCATGCTAGGATGCTGCTCATGTTAGACTTATGTTGGCTCTGCTTTCGCCAGATGGAGTATACTACATATATGGTGGGAATGTCCTGGTGTACAGACCTTTCGGAAGGTGGTTTATAAAGTTAATTTTTAGATTGTCCTTCTCTGTATATCCCAGCAGCACTGCTCCTGCACCACACCTCTCAGCCAGCTAAGACGTGCACGAAGTAGTAATACGCTTACTAAATGTAGCTGAGGTTACCCATTACATGGAGCCACAAGGACTCCCCTTCCTCGTCCCCCGTTTGAATAGCACATGCCATGTGTCCTCCTCTGTGTGTTGAAGATATCCTTTCTTTCTCCCCCCCCCCCCTTATGGTTTATTTTCTATTGCCATCCACTCACTTTTCTTCACCTCTCTACTACTTCTTTGAGCATGTTCCCTGCCTCTGCTCTATCCTTTACTTCCTTTGAAGTTCACACTGTCTGCATATTTAACATCTATATACATTTCTGCTACAATCAAGGAAGAGATCTTTAACCTCTCTCCCTCCCCTTACAATACATCACCCAACCCCACTCCCTCCGCTGTTGTATGCTCATTCGCACCAACTGAAACTGGAGAGGTTTCTGCTCTGCTCCAGTCCTCCCGCCCCACAACCTGTTCCCTTGATCCTATTCCCTCATATCTCATCCACACTCTGTCTCCCTTTTTTGCTCTTCCTCTCACTTAAATGTTCAATTTCTCCCTTTCCTTTGGCACATTTCCTTCACCCTTCAAGCATGCAACCATAACGCTGATTCTGAAAAAGCCCAACCTTGACCCCAACTCCCCATCCAACTACTGCCCTATATCGCTACTGCCAAGATCCTTGAGAGTGTTGTGCATGCGAGATTGACAGACTTCCTTGAATCCAACTCCGTGCTTGACCCGCTTCAATCTGGATTCCACGCTCGTCACTCTATTGAAACAGCCGTGACCAAAGTATCCAATGATTTAATCGCTGCTAAATCTCGCGGCCATTACTCTATCCTAATTGTCCTTGATCTTCCTGCTGCCTTTTACACTGTTGATCATCAACAGCTTCTTCTCATTCTCCGCAATCTTGGTCTACGAGATATTGCTCTCTCCTAGTGCTCCTTCTACCTCTCCCAGCGCTATTTCAGTGTTTCTTTCTCTGGCTCTGCCTCTCCTCCCCAACCCCTCTCTGTTGGAGTTCCCCAAGGTTCTGTCCTTGGTCCCCTACTGTTCTCTATCTATACTGCTTCCCTTGGTAAACTCATCAGCTCCTTTGGCTTCCATTATCATTTATATGCAGATGACACGCAAATCTACCTGTCCTGATCTCTCCCCACACAACTTGACTCATGTCTCTGAATGCCTCTCAGCGATTTCTAACTGGATGGCTGCTCACTTCCTTAAACTCAACCTGTCCAAAACAGAACTTCTGGTCTTTTCCTCCCTCAAGTGTTGCTACTCCCGTGTCTGCCTCCTTCCAAGTCAACAGCGCCACCATCACCTCTACCTCGCAGGCTCACTGCCTAGGTGTTCTCTTTGACTGACTCCGACCTCTCCTTCAACCCTTATGTCCTGTCGATCGCCAATTCCTGCCACATGCATCCCAAAAACATAGCTCGCATCCACCCTTATTTAACACCAGACGCAGTTGCTGGTCCATGCCGTTATTCTTTCTCGCCTTGACTACTGCAATCCCCTCTCTGTCAGTCCCTACATTGGCTTCCAGTTAGATATAGGGCTGAATTTAAGATTCTGGTGCTTGCTTACAAGTCCCTACGTAATGCTGCTCTAACCTACTTATCCTCCCTAATACACAAATATGTCCCGTCGAGGCCCCTACACTCTGCTGAAGACCTACACCTATCCTTTGTCTGTACTCACACATCTGATGCTCGCCTCCACGACTTCTCCAGGATTGCCCTTTTTCTGTGGAACTCAATTCCCTTCTCCGTTAGACTTTCATCCAGTCTCCACTCCTTCAAAAAAATCTTTGGAAACACACTTCGTCAGGACAGCATATGATCTAAACTGTTAGCGGGTTTTCACCTCCCCCGTGCCCCCATGACTCCTCTCCTGCAACTATCAAAAATGGATACAATTGCAGAAAGATAAGTCCTGCGCCCACTCCCATCACCACTGGGCGGCAGCAAAGACAACAGTACACATCATCCCCAATATATAGTAAAAACCAAAGAAAAACAAGTTACCTGCGCTCTCTCCTTAATCCCTATGTATTGTTAAACAAATGGAGGTTTTTTAGTTAGCTCCAATGGTCCCCCCAGGTGGCCATTGGAGGTAACTAAAAAAACTCCATTTGTTTAAAAATACACAGGGATTAAGGAGAGAGCGCAGGTAACTTGTTTTTCTTTGGTTTTAACTGTCAAAAATAACCTACTAAGCTCTCAGTGAATACTTTTCAAGCAACCTATTTCATTACCCCTACTTATACCCTTTGTGTCACTATACGCCACTCCCTCTAGCATGTAAGCTCATTGAGCAGCATGTAAGCTCATTGAGCAGGGCCCTCAACCCCTCTGTTCCTGTGCGTCCATTTGTCTGGTTACAGTTATGTGTCTGTTTGTCCACCCATTGTACAGCTCTACAGAATTTGCTTGTGCTATATAAATAATAAAATAATAATAATAATTAGTGTTTTTCAGTATATGCTTGGAGCTAGGGGCCCAAAGGTGTTGATCTTTGTTTATGACTCTCATTGCAACACCAATTATCTCTATGGACTCAATGGTATAACTGTTCCTTTGCTATCCGTCTCAATTAACTGTGGTTTCATTGCAGGTGAAAGCTGTGATCTGCCCAATGTGGAGAATGGAAAGATTGCCCAGTATTTTTACATTTTCAAAAAGTTTTATTTTCCCATGGAAGTAGGGAAGAAGTTATCTGTGGCTTGTACTGCTGGCTACACCAGTCAATTGGGAAAACAGGAGGAAACTATCACGTGCACTTTGCAGGGTTGGGAACCTGAACCAATATGCTTCAGTGAGTTGTTTTTTTTAGCTAAAAATATTAGTTTTAATTCTTCATAATATACATACAATGTCCATCAACAGGTAGCTCACATTCAGCTTAAACATTTTCACTTAAATGCTTTCTATCATATTATATATTTAACTCATTATAGCTGGTCTAAACTAGGATCCATAAGTGTTTTTGAAAGTCTTGATCCATAGTCTGATAGTGGTTGATTGGGACCATTGTATTGACGTAATCGACATTCACCGTTTACTGATGATTTATTCATCAAAATTAAAATGGGGGTCTGAGAAACAATGGGACACAGTGTGGGTGATTAAATATAATAAGTTGAAGGACACAAGTAAGGTTTGAAAGACACGGGACATTAAAAACATTAGGAAATGAGAGAACAGAACCGAGAGATACAGGAGATAAAAGACATGGGAGATGAGGATCATTAGGGAACAATGTGAGACACAGGAAGGTGGTCAGAGACTAATGGAAAACTGACAAAAACCTCACTGACTGACTGACTGAGAATGGGTGTACTGAGAGACATAAGACAGTCTAAAAGGGAGAGACATACAAGTGTCCCTATTTTGGAGGAACAGTCCCTATTTTGGGTCCAAATTGCTCTGTCCTTTTTTCGTTCCTAATGTCCCTCTTTCCTAGGAGTTCCATATTGTTGGTGTGTCTGTTTGTATAACACAGATCCATGGCTATAATACTCATAGTAGTATGTCTTTAAACTACCGCAAATGTATTTAGAAATCAGGCTGCGTGAAGAAGATACATTGTTCTTGTTCTAAATTGTTTTAGATTCATAAATTGTTATTAGTAAATCAGCTAAAAATTCTCTTAACACCCTGGTCACACCCCCACTCACACCCTCAAAATTAAGATGTTCCACTTTGTCCATTTGAAAAGTTTAAAGGCATACATTCAGGCAAAATGGCAGATAAGAGACTGAGAAACACTTAGTGGATTTAGAAAGATTTAGAAAGATGGTAATGAGAAACAAAATGGCCTTAGTCACATTTGTACTGAGTCATAAGAAAATGAGAGGCCCAAGCCCAGTGGCAGCACTGAACATTATATGGGACTTGGACATGACCTCTAGTCTACATATGGACTCATCATTAGTTGTGCACTTTGCAACATGGAGCTATCCCATCCACCGCCAGATGTCCTCAAATCTGGAACCCTAGCCTTTGGCTATACATTTGAATATTTTTATTCAGTTTTACTCCCATAAAGTATTATATCCTGGGAATTGTACAAGTGTGATGAACTGAGTCGCTCATTGACTAAATGGGAATATTTTATGCCATTTAATAAACTAACCTGCATATCTGATAGAGCCCAAATGCTACTTCTGCATTTCAGTAGGACTGTACCAGCATCCTCAGTTTGAATTCTGACAGGGTCAAGCACATTAGATACCCGTATGAGTAAACCTGCACTGTATCCTAGTTTAGTTCTATGAACTAAAGATATAATCGAAATCATATATACATTACAGGAAATAAATAGTGACTGTGATTTATATCTTAGTCCCTTGAGATGATGTCAGTGACCACAAACACATAATGTGCATCTCTCACTAAGCCACCAAATATATTCATTATAGGCATGACATACAATGACCACGATTTATCATTTTATTTGTTTATTAGAAAAGTGCATGAAACCTTCCTTGGAGAATGGAGTTGTATTTAACGCTAAGGAATTGTATAAAACACTAGAGAAGGCACAATATGAATGCTTGGATGGGTACACTACATCATCTGGAAATAAAACTGAAGAAATAGTGTGTTCATCCAATGGCTGGGCTCCCCAACCACAATGCCACCAAATATCTGGTATGTATTTTTTTGTTTGATTTGTGGAAAATGCTAACATAACAATAAACCACCAAGAGTAAACTGAAAAACTACAAAATGGAAAAGGAGCAGTCAGGACTGTAATTTGCAAAGTCACCTGACTGTGACCTTGCTGGTGGGAACCGGTGGCCATAGGGGGCAGGTAAAGGTGAGATTTACTTACCTGCTCCTGTCTCTCATGATTGCCGCCATCCTATGGTCCTCTTCAGCTCCTAGTGCTTCAGCTGCCAGCTGTCAGAGTCAGTGCGGTACTCTCGCACATAATCAAGAGTACAGTACTGAGGTCAACGGAGGATCCAGAAAGAGATTTTTATGACATAAATTAATGTGGGAAATGACAAGCTTGACTAAATGTAACTCTGCCTTTTTGTTAAGCTTGTCAAGCATAGGAAAAACCCGGAGACAATGCAATCCCTAGTCTGTCTCAGCATATCTTTTTTTTTTTTAAATTCTTTATTTTCTGTTGTGCATGAAATAACAACATGCTTACTCAGCCACGTTGTAAGCGGTAACAGGCATAACATACAAAACATGACCAAGTAATATACAGCACAATTTTACATTTTTTTGAGAGAAAACCCACAGTGTGCAAGTTTGTTTTCCTGGCACTATAGTTTCCCTTTAACTGGTGAGTACTAAGTACCAACTCATTTTTACCAACTCTGTTAGCGTTTTGTCAGTATTTTCTTTGCAATATTCTTTCATACACTTGCCCTCTTATATTGTGTTTCCTAATTGCGTAAATAATATGATACCAGGTATGTTTGTTTGTTTGTTTACCTGTCTATCTATCTATCCTTAAATTTTTGCTAATTGTTTTTCCTGTTCAATTACATTTAGACAGGTGTGAAGCCCCTCTTCTTGCCAATGGACACTATGCTTCATTAAAAAATATTTTCCGTGTTAAGGATGTCCTAGAATTTAAGTGTGATGAAGGATATCGAACTGCAAGTGGAAGAACAGCAGATAGGGTAGAATGCCTTCTAAGAGGATGGTCTTCTGTCCCTCAGTGCACACGTGAGTTAATGAATACAAATATGGTCGGATGAGTCTGGGTATTGGCAGTCCAATCATTATTTTTTTGTCTATTCATGATTCAACTTGAAAAAAATCTAAAAACAAGCTGCTGTATGCATATCACATCTAAACTAACACTTCTTTAGCAGCTACCCTAAAAGCTAGCAGCTAATAAAATGTGTAAAACATTAAATACCTATTAATGTAATTTTACCAGGAATATCCTGCATCGTCAGCATACAGCTGCTGAACTTAAAAGGACACTATAGTCACCAAAACAGCTTTAGCTTACTGAAGCAGTGTGGGTGTGTATATCATGCCCGTGCAGTCTCACTGCTAAATTCTCTTCTATTTAGGAGTTAAATTACTTTTGTTTTAGTTTATGCAGTCCTAACCACACCTCCCGTGGCTGTGACTGACACAGTCTACATGAAAAAACAATGTTTCATTTTCAATCAGACCTAACTTAAATCACACACAGGAGGCTCCTGCATGGTCTAGCAAGCTATTAACAGAGTAGGAGATAAGAAATTCTAAATTAAACAGAATTTGCGATAAAGGAAGTATAAACATTAGATCTCGCTTTTTTTATTATTATTATTATTATGATATTTATAGAGCGCCGTCAAATTCCGCAGAGCTTTGCAATGGGTGGACGAACAGACATGTAGTTGTAACCAGACAAGTTGGACACACAGGAACAGAGGGGTTGAGGGCCCTGCTCAATGAGCTTACATGCTAGAGAGAGTGTAAAATGACACAAAAAGGTAAGGATAGTATTAGACTAATGACAGTTGCAGAAGAGGAGTCAGTCAGGAGCTATTAACAGTTTAAGTGATACGCTTTTATGAAGAAGTGGGTTTTTAATGATTTTTTGAAGGAGTGGAGACTGAGTGAGCATCTAACGAAGGAGGGAAGCGAGTTCCACAGGAACGGTGCAGCCCTCGAGAAATCTTGAAGGCGAGCATCAGAGATGGGAGTACGGACAGACGATAGACGTAAGTCTTCAGCAGATCGTAAGGGCCTAGACGGGACATACTTGTGTATAAGGGAGGATAGATTGGTGGGAGCAGCATTATGTAGAGATTTGAAAGCAAGAACCAGAATTTTAAATTTTAAATTGAGCTCTATATTTTATAGGAAGCCAATGTAGGGACTGACAGAAGGGTGAGGCATGGGAGGTGCGGGCGGACAGGAAAATGAGCCTCGCTGCCGCATTCATTATGGACTGTAACGGCGCTAGTTGGGAGCACGTAAGACCACTGAGAAGCGGATTACAGTAGTCAAGGCGAGAAAGGACAGTGGAATGGACCAACATCTTAGTCGCATCAGGCGTTAAGTAGGGGCGGATGCGCGCAATGTTTTTGAGATGAAAATGACAGGATTTGGAGATAGATTGAACATGAGGCTTGAAGGAGAGGTCGGAGTCAAAGAGAACACCTAGGCAGCGAGCCTGCGTGGTGGAGCTGATGGTAGCACCGTTGACTTGGAGGTAAACAGACACAGGAGTAACAACACTTGAGGGAGGAAAGACCAGAATTTCAGTTTTGGTCAAGTTTAGTTTAAGGAAGTGGGCAGCCATCCAGTTAGAAACAGCAGAGAGGCAGTCAGAGACACTAGTCAAGAGCGACGGGGAGAGATCAGGAGAGGACAGGTAGATTTGCGTGTCATCTGCACAGAAATGATATTGGAAGCCAAAGGAGCTAATGAGTTTACCAAGGGAGGCAGTATAGATGGAGAACAGTAGGGGACCAAGGACTGAACCTTGGGGGACACCAACAGAGAGGAGTTGGGGAGAAGAAGCAGAGCCAGAGAAAGAAACACTGAAAGAGCGCTGGGAGAGGTAGGAGGAGCACCAGGAGAGAGCAGTATCTTGTAGACCGATATTGCGGAGGATGAGAAGAAGCTGTTGATGATCAACAGTGTCAAAAACCGCAGACAGGTCAAGGAGAATTAGGATAGAGTAGTGACCAGGAGGACTGGAGCAGAGCAGAAACCTCTTCCAATGTAGCGGGTCCGAATGAACATAGAACAGCAGAGGGAGTGAAGTTAGGGGAAGTATTGTAAGGGGAAGAAGAAAGATGAGAGATCTCTTCTCTGATTGTAAAGATCTTGTCAGTGAAGTGAGTTGCAAAGTCTGAGGCGGTCAAGTTAGTAGGTGGAGGAGGAACAGCAGGGCGAAGAAGAGAGTTAAATGTGTGAAATAGTCGTTTGGGTTCGCGGGAGAGTGTGGTTATGAGGGTATTGAAGTAATTAACCTTTACAGAGGAAAGAGCCACGCTATATGAGCTCAGCATAAATTTATAGTGGAGAAAGTCAGATGCACAGTGAGACTTTCTCCAACAGCGTTCAGCAGTTCTGGAGCATTTTTGGAGGTATCAAGTGAGCTTGGTGTGCCAGGGTTGTTGTTGGGGGGGCCTGCGGCGTTTAAATGTACAAGGTGCCATGATGTCTAGTTGAGAGGAGAGGGTGGAATTGCAGAAGGAGGTTGCAGAACTAGGACAGGTGAGGTTTGAGATAGGTAAAAGAAGAGTTTGGAGATTAGTGGAGAAATGCTCTAGGTCAAGACATTGGAGGTTTCTGTGAGAGTGATGTTCAGACGGTGGTGTCAATTGGGTCTTAGGTATGCCAATGTCAAAAGCTTTTAAGAAAGTGAAGGCTGTAAAAGTCACATGCAGGGAGGTGGTCTGACTAGGGCTACATAAACAAAGTGATTTAACTTCTAAATGGCAGGAAATTAAGCAATTAAACTGCAGAGGCATGATCTATACACCAAAGCTGCTTTATTAAGATAAAGTTGATTTGGTGCCTATAGTATTCCTTTAACCCCTTAAGGACACATGACATGTGTGACATGTCATGATTCCCTTTTATTCCAGAAGTTTGGTCCTTAAGGGGTTAAATACATGAATAGTATGTTCTTGTTATTTTAGTATTTTTTTTATGCTTCAACATTATAAAAGAGGATATATATACATGTGTTTTAAAACACGTGACTCAATATCCCCTAATCCTTTTACTGACAGGGCCGAGAACCAGTGAATTAGACATCAAATGGCCTTCCTTATGGTTAGACTTTATAGAACTTGAGAATGACTCAGCTTATTGCTGTGCTTGACTGTAAGAGAACAAAATGCAAAGACTCTAATGTATCTTTGTTGATGGTAAAATTTCCTTGCTGCCACCTGTGCCATAGTAACTCTATATTTTAGCACAACTGCAACAAATTTTTTAGAAAGGAGTTTAAAAAAAAAAAAAAAATATGTACTTAAATGAATCTTTTTACTTTACTTCTACTTTATGCATGTTTATAATGTTTTTAACTTTTTAAAGTTAAATGTGAAAACAATAATGTAAATTGAAATTACCCTTAACTGATGATTAATGAAATCCTTGCAGCGAGACTAAATATTTGATATCTGGTTTGATTTCGTAAGGAACAAATGAAGGTCTAACCTTTTCAATTTTTTTTCTATTCTATTTTTTTCTGTGTGTGTATGTGTAAAGCGTGCAGTGTGTGTGTGAAGATGCAGTGTGTGTGAGAGATGCTGTGTGTGTGTGTGTGTGTGAAGGGTGCAGGGTCATGTTTAACATGGGGCAAAAGGGGCACAATGCAGCTGCTCCTAAGGCCCGCCAGCCGACATGGTGCGTGTCCATATGCCTTTCTGTGTGTCTGTATGCATATCTGTTTGTCTGTATGTGTATCTGTGTGTCTGTGTGTGTATTTGTCTGTATGTGTGTCTGTGTGTATATGTTTGTATGTGCGTCTGTATGTCTGTGCATCTGCATGTGTGTCAGTGTGTATATCTGTATGTATGTCTGTGTATCTGAATGTCTGTGTGTGCTCCTGCATCTCTGTGTGTCTGTATGTGTGTCAGTGTTTGTATCTGTGTGAGTGTCATTCTGTGTATCTGAATGTGTATCATACTGTGTCTGTGTACCTGCATGTGTCTCTGTGTATCTGTATGAGTGTTAGTGTGTGTCAGTGTGTGTATCTGTGCATCTATATATGCATGTGTGTTAGTGTGTGTCAGTGTATCTGCATGTAGGTCCATTTATGTATCTGTATGATATTGTGTGTATGTGCATGGATCTCACTGTGTTTGTCCATTTATCTGTATGTGTTAGTGTGCCTGTTTATCTGCATGTTTCTCAGTGAGTGTATCTGTGGAACTCTGTATCTCCATGTGTCTCTCTGTATGCACTTGTGTGTCTGTGTATTTTTCTTTGTATGTCTGTACCTGTGTATGTGAGTATATCTATGTATGTCAGTGTTTGCATCTGTATTTGCATCAGTGTGTATATTTTGTCTCAGTGAAAAATGAGTGCGGCTAAGTGTGTGTTTGTTTTTTTTGTTTTGGTGTCGAGGGCGTGATTGCATTCTAGGAACTGGGAGGGTTAGGTCCAGGGGACCCAAGCAAATGCTTGCCCAGGGTCCAATCAGTATTGAAGACGGCCCTGGAAGGGTGCAGTGTGTGTGAGGAAGACAGTGTGTGTTTGTGTGTGAGGGGTGCAGTGTATGTATGTGTGGGGAAGTCTGTGTGTGGTAGTGTGCGTGAGGGGTACAATGTATGTCAGAGTGTGTGAGTGGTGCTGTGTGAGACAGGTGCAGTGTGTGTAAGAGGTGCTGTGCGTGTGAGGAGGCAGTGTGTAAGGGAGGCAGTGTGTGTGTGTGTAAGGTGCATAGGTTGTGTGTGGGTGAGTGAGATGTGAGAAAATGTATTTTAATATCTCCTCCTCCAGTCTTCTTACCTTTGGCCGGGGGGGGGGGACATGACGCTGTAAGCCCTGGTAGTCCAGTGATTGCACGTTTGCATTAACCTGTAGCTCCTCTGGATGCAGGCTCACTCTTCTGTCCTCTTGCGAGCACAGCACTGTATCAAAGTCTTGCCATGTTAATGTGTGGCAACGCACTGACCAACATGCTCATGGGAGGAAACTGCCAGCGGGCCGATAAGGGTGAGGCCAAAACATTCCACCGCCCACCATGAAGTTTGAATTGCCCACTAGTGGGTGGTAGAGACCAGGTTGACGACTTCTGCTCTGCTCTCTGTTTTTCAGTGGGAAACATTGGACCATGGCCCATTGTGTTATCATGCAACAGAATCCCAGACAGACCCTTCTTCAAAATACACTCTCCTAGACTGCAGTATAGCCTTTATGAAGTGTTGAGAGCTCATCCTATGTAGTTGTAGTAGAAATGTGGAACTGCACTCAATCCCAAGTATTATGTATCTGGCTGCAACCAGGCCTGTCCCAGTAGAAAATAGAAGAAAGGTCCAGGCACTCTAAGATACAAAAAGGCAAATTTATTATACCCACTGTCACTCACAACGTTTCAACCTATACGTGACATAAATTTATAGATGAGCATATTGAATGTATAAATCCTTAATTACTCATACAAAACAGTATCAGTTCTGAGGGATTAGAAGAGTAAGTATTACTTGTAAATAAATCAGACATGCCTTCCATGAATTGTTGTTATGATTGTATATAATTTAATACCTTGCACCAGAATTGTTCCATAAACACATTTAGAATCTCTAGTACTTTATTTAAAGTGAACGAATGACACTGTAATACACTGGCACGACTTTGTAAAATATATTAGAGTATTGCAGAAATCAATGGTATGAAAATATCATTATTTTAAAATGTAATTTTATTTTTTAGAACTGATCTGTGAAAAGTTGTCACTGGTGGAAAATGGAGGTTTTTACCCTTTGAAAGCATCCTATGCAGACAAGGATGTGGTACAGTTCTTTTGCAGGGAAAACTACATCCTTAAAGGTTCAGAACTGATTCAGTGTTACTCCTTTGGATGGTACCCCAGTCCCCCTATATGTGAAGGTAAAGAAGACTTTTTTTAGAAGAAATTATTTGGTTGAATTCTAAAGGTTTCTCCATTAACCTTACAAAGTCACAGATTATCAGGCTATAAACTCAGAGTCTCGGATCATATGTGCTGGGCAGGTTAACATGCTATATGTATGCACAAATGGCAGGGCTCCTGCAAATTTAGGATGCTGATTTCCATAATATATCCCCCTACCATAGAAAGGAGGATGTCCATGATTTTCTTAAGAATAGCAAAAACAGTATATAATTAAATGTTGATAAAACATTAATTGCACCATAACCATTACAACAACATACCTCCCAACTAGACTAAACCTAATGGGAGACCCACATTTTTTACCTGTTTTCTAGTGTCTCAGGATAGAAAAATGTTCACATAAAGCACAGCACAAGACAATTACAAGACTATTCCAGGCCATCCCTGTCCCCAAAAGAGCATCAGTATCACACATATGAGGCTATAACAGGCAATTAAAAGAGGAGGTAAGAAATTCTGAAAGAAACAGAATGTGCAATAAAGGAAGTTTAAAAATTAGATCTCTCATTACATGAAGTGTTTAGGAAGGCTGTGTGATTATCAGGCAGAGGAGGTGTGTCTAGGACTGCATAAACAAAGTGATTTAACTCCTAAATAGCAGGGTATTGAACTGTGAGGTTGCAGGTGCATGATCCATACACCAAAATTGCTTCGTTAAAACAATCCACTACCCCCCCAAAAATAAAAAAATAATAATCACTATTTTATTGATATACCACCGCTAAAAACACACATGCATTTAAAGGGACATTATAGACAACCAGACCACTTAAGGGTATTGTCCCTGTCTCAATAACCCTGCAATGTAAAATATTGACATTTTTTAAAAGTAAGAAAGGAAGATAACATAAATGCTATTTAATGAAATCACTCTAGGTTCAGAATTTAAAATAGCACATAAAACTACAATTCAACACTGGATGAAAAATTAGGCCAATGTACACTTTAAAAGTATCTTTAGAAAATAAATTTAAACTTTAATCAAATGTATGGGTTAGAGCAGAGAGTATGACTGCAGTGCAAGATATTATTGTCATAGATTTGCATTTATATGCATACATAATTTGGCTATTATTAACATATGGTAATATACTTAGTTAAAATTACAAATTCACCACTTAAAGTTTCAAATATACTGCTATGCAACATCTACATATAATATAAAATGGGATAAGGCAACTATACGTAGACTTGTAAGCAGACAGCAAACACTGGTAGTAAGGGATACCCCCAGCCCCTTACTGATTAATACAAAGTAAGATAATACAAAATATATGTAAAGGTTGTGCCTAAATAAAAAGTCCAATAGAATATCAGATGCTTGGAGTACTCTTCACTTGTAAATCAGCTAGACTTCTAAAGGTGGCAGGTTGTGACGATACCTTACCTGTTCCACTCAGACCCGCACGGCACGGCTTCCTCTCCTCGCACTTCCGGGAGGCGGCACATTCCTTCTGACGCTGGTCGCTCTGAAAATGCCCCTTTTTATAATGCAGCGCATGCACGCCGAGGTCAGATCAATTCTGCCGCACCTTTTGGGGGCGTGGATTTAAAGTGAAAGACACTACACTATAAAAGGGCGCCTTTTACAGTTAGTGAGCACCCTATTGTTGTTCTAGTTAGTTCCCTTTAGTGCTCTTGAGATTCTGTGTTGTATTCTGGTATATTGACTTTTGGCTATTCCTCTGACTATTCTACACTCTGGTATCCTGACTTCGGCTTGTAATTCCGTTTATCTGTCTTCCGTACTCCCTGACTTTCAGCTATTCTCAGACTACTCTTTGACGTTTAAACCCGGCCATTCTAAGGTCCGGTAACATGTCTCTTTCTGTATTACTTTCTGTGTGTTGGGGTCACTGTCGTGACACAGGTATATGTAATAAAGAACAAGATAACCGGTAATGGTGCAGAGTATCTAGTACCAAGTGCACATCAAACAACAAAGAGGTCTATGATGTAGCACTCACATTTAGTAGAGTTATAAAACCAGCTCTGAGTATAACAGCGTGCAGATGTACAATCCCCACTGACAGATATGTTGTTCTAGGAGTCTGTCACTCGGCATATAGGTGGATATATACAAAGATATAAAAGGCAAAAAATAGTGATCTCTGTAAACTGTACACTAGTAATTATACAAGTAAAAGTAATTACTAACATTTTATGGAGCAATATACACTTGCTCATGTATTAACGCTTGGGTGGTACAATGCCCACCAAGGATATAATGTAGAGTAGCTCCTCCAAAGGGTAGCTCTTCCCAGGATAGAGGTAGCAGGTAGGCATTGGTGGTATAGATGTGCGAGAAACCGTAAAAGATAGAAAAAGAATGAAAACAAACAAAAAAAAAAAAGGTAAAAGCTTAAAAAATATAATAAATGGTCAGACACATAAATTAGGTGAATGCCAAATATATTTAATGCTTAAAATAACTGGTATAAAATAACACAACGCGTTTCGTCTACTAAGGACTCTCTAAAGGGTTATTACAAAGGGATCATACAGAGTTTTAATATGACAGTATAAACTTTCTTTTCTTTACTTCTGTACCTATCCCAAAATGCAATGCACAAAAATGTAAGTAATCTTATATAGGCACTGTGCCTGATGAAAGTTTTCTAAGTTTGCCTTCTAATATGTAGACAGTGCAAAGCATTATATATGTTTGTATTGCACATTACCAAGATGTTTGTCTTGTGACAGAGAGAAGAAATAGGTGTCCGCCCCCTCCCAGACCATCACACAGCATCATACTCACAAATCTCACCAGACATGGAAACGGTGAAATTGTGCGCTACGAGTGTGACCAAAACTATAAGTTAATTGGATCAGAAGAAATAAAGTGTGAAAATGGTCTTTGGTCAAATCCTCCAAGTTGTGTGGGTAAGTAGTATAACTCTGTACAAATAATGTGCAAAGTATAGTAATTAATGCAGGGCTAAATGTATGGTTTTAAATCAGAACCATCCCTTTCATGGAAGTGATAGCTGTTCCTATATTCCAGTAAATGTTATTGTAGTATTTAGTAAGATGAATAAAGCAGTGGAGGGAAGTAAAAAAACAAACATACATTTGACCACTGAGTTGTAGTCATCTTTGTTACCCCATGATCCCTTGGGTAGCTTTCATCTTTTCTACATCTATTATCTCTGTCTACTTCCTATATCTAATATGGTACAAAAACCAAAAAAGTGTTGAGTGAAAAAAGTACTTAACTTAGTACAAAACAGCTTCCCAAGAGGCCTTTCCCGTCAGCGCCCCTTTGATAAACAGGTGGATATATAAATATGGGATACAGTTTGATAACTAAAACACAAAAAATAAACACACAGCAATGTATTGTAACATGGATTGGAAATGGAAAATACTGGTTGCACTCACAAGATTGTAGATAAAAGAGCACCTGGAAGCCAAAAATGGCCATGATGTTCCCCTCTCCTCCTTTGCCTGGAAGCAATGACTTTTGTAGAGCAGGAATCAGGGTCAGGAATCAATACAAAATGATTTATTAAGGCAATAAAAAGCCTTTAAATGATAAAAGGTATAAAATCAACAAACATAACATTCATGATATCTAACGCGTTTCTTCCACTCAAGGTGGACTTCCTCAGAGATAAAATTCAATAAGCAATCATAAGCAATGCAATGTATAATAACAATCCCCCCACACAGTGTCTCTTATGTTGTACCAGTCCTTAATGTTGATTAAAGAATCATCCAGGAGGTTAATTGGGTCCAGTCTCTGTCAGATTTCCTTTGTGGTTATGCTTAGACTTGTGCATTCAGTTTCAAATGAATTGCAGTTTATCCCAATCACCTAATGAATGAACCACGAAACAGACAATGGGCGAGTCATTTCATTTAATTCAAATTCGGAGTGCAGTATATGGTGTCAAAAAAAAGAGATGATTGATGAGAAAAAAAGGTGACTGATAGTGATAGGGGAGTGAGAAGTGACCATTTTTACAGATCGAGTGAGAAGTGACCAACTGAGGGGAAAAAGTCAGAAAGCCTGTCTGTCTGTCTGTATATCTATCTATCTATCTGTATCTATCATCTATCTATCTTAAGTAGTAATATATATATATATATATATATATATATATATATATATATTAAATTTTTATTTATTTTTTACTGATTCTCCTCTTTTTCCTTCTATTGATCTGTGACCCAAATGGCAGGAAAATGCACCTATCACTGCAAAATATACACATAATTGTGGTCAGGACAACAAAAGCTGTAACATGGCTCAATAACCCTAAACCAAAGTCGGTTGAGGTGTGTCAGAACTGACAGTCGGGATGGGCCTGTAAAGAAAAGAGGGCAAAAAGAGAATTGAACACTAATAACATTTTATATGTTATAATACATCAGAAAATGGTCAAATGACCGTATGTGTGTCTCTTGCACAGACGATGGAATATACCTTGTATAAACTGCAGATTTCCAGCGACACATAGGTTTAATAATGTAAGTAGGGGCATTGTTTTAGGCTACTGCAGCCACCCCAATCCTAAATGAATGCCCTTAGGATTAAGCCTTAACCTGATAACCAAGCACCTAAAATAGAATATAAATTTACAGGTAAACTAAGAAGGGGGCAATTAAATGGTTTCTGCACCAGGTATAACTTTAATTTAATTCATCCAGAATTTTAACAGGGCACCACTGTTTCTGGGTAGGCTAATACTGGCTATGCCAGGTTCAGTCTGATTGGTCTGTGTGTGTGGTAATGTAAGATTGCAGAAGCCGTCTACTTTCACCTGGTCAAGAGCAGAGAGCCCCTGGCTAGAATTATTACAGACTATGAACTTGCGTGGCTGGAGGAACCCATAGAAAGCCAGGTATATGGCTGCGTGAATGACGGTTTTAGTGTAGTGCTCGAAGGAGGATTTGTCCTGGGTGAAAATTGAAACATCTATCGGTAAATGTCTTGTGGGACGCCTAATTTCTATATACCATGAAGAACTGACTTTGCAGGGTAAAAGGGCATAAATGCTGCGTGATTGAGGAAACATAAGAGCATGAATTGTTGTACCCCCATGACATAGAATTTAACTGTGATATGTAAGAGACTTAAAGGGACACAATAGTCGCCAGAACAACAGCTTAATGTAGTTGTTCTGGTGAGCATAATCATTGCCTCCAGGCATTTTTATGCAAATATTGCCTTTTCAGAGAAAAGGCAGTGTTTACATTGGCCCTTGTTGCAATTACCCAAAACGTTTCACCACATTGGTAGATCTGCTTTAGCTGGGATGTCTAAATTAACCCTAGTGTCATCATCGGGAAGAAGTAAAAATAAATCTAAGAGTCTAGAAACAAAGGCTCTTCAAAGCAAAGACTGGAGTTGTTTACATGTGCAGTGGTTTGAAGTATGAAGACTGAGTGTGCTGGGCCCCCTTTGCAGTATACAGGCACCCGTGGCCTCACCAGACCACCAGGGAATGCAATTTTCCCCCTCCCTTGCCACAGGTAGGAAACAGGAAGGGGGGAATAATATTTATTAAAATAAATGTGGAAAAAAATGCTCTTTTTTCTCGCCTAATTTTCACAACATTTACACAAACTACATTCACTACACTAACAAACACTCTGTATTCACTACGCAAACACACACTCTGCATCCACTAAACAAACTCACACTTTGCATTCACTAAACAAACTCCCTCTCTGCATGCATTCACTATAAATATACAACATCCACTACACACACTATATACACACACACACATGCAGATACACACTCTGCATTCACTATACACACAGCATCCACTACACATCCAAACACTCTGCATTCACTATGCACAGACACTGAATCTAATACACACACTAAAGAATACAGGCAATGATTGGTTCTGGCTCAGGACCAATGATCTTAAAGGACCACTATAGGCACCCAGACCACTTCAGCTTAATGAAGTGGTCTGGGTGCCAGGTCCAGCTAGGGTTAACCCTTTTTTTTTATAAACATAGCAGTTTCAGAGAAACTGCTATGTTTATAAATGGGTTAATCCAGCCTCTAGTGGCTGTCTCTTGACAGCCACTAGAGGCACTTGCGTGCTTCTCACTGTGAAAATCACAGTGAGAAGACGCCAGCGTCCATAGGAAAGCATTGTGAATGCTTTCCTATGGACTGGCTGAATGTGCGCGTGGCTCCTGCCGTGTATGCGCATTCAGCCGAAGAGGAGGAGAAGAGGGAGGAGCAGAGCTTCCCGTCTGGCACTGGAGAAAGAGGTAAGTTTAACCCCTTCCTCTCCCCAGAGCCCGGCGGGAGGGGGTCCCTGAGGGTGGGGGCACCCTCAGGGCACTATAGTGCCAGGAAAACGAGTATGTTTTCCTGGCACTATAGTGGTCCTTTAACTGGTGGTATATTTAAACCTCCTGTATCGTTGGCTAGTTCCCCCTGAAGAGCCGCCCAAACCGGCGAAATGCATGTCGGGGCTCTACCTTGGACACTACAGCTATTGATTTTGCTACCTTGCCGCCAGTTAATCTTTACCCTTTCCACAAGAAGGAAGGATCCTCCTAAATTGTTAATCTGGTCCAGGGGTAATTAGATCACAGTGCTGCTACAATAGTGATAGTTAGTTTTGGCTTATCTGAGCCCAGGTGCCCTCGAAGGCACAGGACAGACGTTCACACCGATAGTGTATTGCAGCACTGCCCTCTACTTATACCAATTCTCTTTTTCTGGTATTACACTTACCAATATACTTCTTGATTACTTAGGCTCTTTTAAAGAGCACTATTTAGTTAATGCTCCCCCATTTACCTCCTCTCTCGGAGTGAGTTTTGCAAAACTGTTGCTCTTCAGCCAGTAATTGTATTATATTAGCAATAGCTTGGACTATTGAAGGTTGAGCATTACTCACTATTATGATACCTTTGTGAACGATCATTTCCAAGTTAGAATCACTTGGTGATTCAGAGCTATAAATTATTTTTAGACCAAGCATTAAATACGATTTTGTTGCTTGGATTCTGACTCACCTACGATTATACCATATTTTGACACCAGTGTATATACTTTATAAAAAAATTTGTTTTATTATTCCTTTTTCTCATTCATTACACTTTAGGGTGCGCAAGATTTCTAATCTTATTGTTATTTTTATGTATATATATTTACACATTGTTTTTTTGTTTTGTTTTTAGTGATCCACTAACTGACCTAAGTTCTGTTTATTACATATCTACTCTTTCTCTCTTAATACATATCCAATAAAGGTTAAGTTGTATACTGGCATTTTGTGGTGAGGGCATTTAGTCAGTCTAGTTCATTATCAATTTTTTTGTAAATAAATATTTCTATTTTGCATTTGGCAGAACTTAAAGGAATTCTGAAATGTGGCAAGCCACCTCCTATAGAGAATGGAGACATAATTAATGATCTGGAAACTTATTATAGTGGTGATATGGTTAACTATCAGTGTACACATGGATACAGAATAAACGGAATGAATAAAATAATCTGCAAACTGGGCAAATGGCCAGAGCCACCTACGTGTGTTGGTAAGTAGCAAAAAGGTAGATACCAAATCAGATATGAGTGGTTTATCCACATATGGAAAGCCATATTCCTATTGTGCTTTTATACCCCACCACCTCTTGATTGTAAGCCCGGTTTGTCTCATTTGTTGTTTAAGTCCCCTTAATAATATTGTAATGCACTGTGGAATAAGGTGGAGCTATATAAATGCCATTAACAATAATACCACTTCCTTCATACTGTTGGTGAACATCACTTTTCCTACAAAGTATGTTAAACTACACTAAAATAATTTTTGCCTAAAAATACAAAAACTATTAGATTTTTCCTAAATCTGATACTTATAATGGATCCATTTTTTTAAATTTTTTTTACATTTAATTAGAGAGACCAATAGATCATTTAGGAGGAAAGTTGAGCTTCGATCCATAAAATTACATGTACACAACCATTAAGAAGGTTTAACTAATGATCTTTCTTCCCTTCTCATTTTAAACACCGGAGATGAACCTTACTGTTATCCATGATATAGACATAAGGGGAAAAGTGAGATTGTGGCTGCTGTTGTTCTATGTAATGACTTCCAATGATCTTAGAAAGTACTGAAGGAAACTTAATTTGTTTGGCTTATATTGTGGTTTGCAAGGTTTGTATTTTTGGATTATCGATCACAATTTCTAGATCCCTTTTTTTTAATTGTTATGTAGTCAGAATTAAGTACTGCTAGATGCCAAACCACTGTTCTTTATCATTTTTTAGTTAGCGATGAGTACTGCCCGATGCCTCCATCAATCAAAAATGGGGAGCCTTTTGACCCTCCATCTGCAAACTATAGTGTGGGCTCTTCAGTAGAATACATGTGTCACAGCTACCACTTAATGGAGGGGTCCAAGACTATTACCTGCTTAGGTGGTTCCTGGTCTCAACTGCCAACCTGTTTAGGTAAGACATGTTTATCAGTTTCATAAGTTTTATTGGGTGTAATTGTCTATTGAATGGACATATTTTCCACATTATTGATCAATTTTTGTTGAGAAGATAACCTTGTGTCACTTGCTACATATGTACCTTATGTCACTAAATGACAGAGAGTACCAAAAGTTGTACAGTTACAGTGAGGGAAAAAAGTATTTGATCCCCTGCTGATTTTGAACATTTGCCTACTGACAAATAAATGATCAGTCTACAATTTTAATGGTAGGTGTATTTTAACTGTGAGAGACAGAATAACAAAAAAAAAATCCAGAAAAATGCATGTCAAAAAAGTTATAAATTGATTTGCATGTCAATGAGTGAAATAAGTATTTGTCCCCTTCCACTTAGTACTTGGTGGCAAAACCCTTGTTGGCAATCACAGAGGTCAGTTTCTTGTAGTTGGCCACCAGGTTTGCACATATCTCAAGAGGGATTTTGTCCCACTCCTCTTTGCAGATCCTCTCCAAGTCATTAAGGTTTCAAGGCTGACATTTGGCAACTCGAACCATCAGCTCCCTCCACAGATTTTCTATGGGATTAAGGTCTGGAGACTGGCTGGGCCACTCCAAGACCTTAATGTTCTTCTTCTTGAGCCACTCCTTTGTTGCCTTGGCTGTGTGTTTTGGGTCATTGTCATACTGGAATACCCATCCACAAGCCATTTTTAATGCCCTGGCTGAGGGAAGGAGGTTCTCACCCAAGATTTTGACGGTACATGGCCCCATCCATCGTCCCTTTGATGCAGTGCAGATGTCCTGTCCCCTAAACAGAAAAACCCCCCCAAAGCATTATGTTTCCACTTCAATGTTGGACGGTGGGGATGGTGTTCGTGGGGTCATAGGCAGCATTCCTCCTCCTCCAAACACAACTAGTCAAGTTGATGCCAAAGAGCTTGATTTTGGTCTCATCTGACCACAACACTTTTACCCAGTTCTCCTCTGAATCATTCAGATGTTCATTGGCAAACTACAGACGGGCCTGTACATGTGCTTTCTTGAACAGGGGGACCTTGCGGGCGCTGCAGGATTTCAGTCCTCACAGCGTAGTGTGTGTTACCAATTGTTTTCTTGATGACTATGGTCCCAGCTGCCTTGAAATCATTAACAAGATCCTCCCGTGTATCTCCCATGTTCTGGGCTGATTCCTCACCGTTCTCATGATCATTGAAACTCCGCAAGGTGAGATCTTGCATAGAGCACCAGACAGAGGGAGACTGACAGCTATTCTGTATTTCTTCTATTTGCGAATAATCGCACCAACTGTTGTCACCTTTTCACCATGCTGCTTGGCAATAGTCTTGTAGCCCATTCCAGCCTTATGTAGGTCTACAATCTTGTCCCTGACATCCTTGGACAGCTCTTTGGTCTTGGCCATGGTGGAGAGTTTGGAATCTGATTGATTGCTTCTGTGGACAGGTAACGAGCTGAGATTAGGAGCACTCCCCTTAAGAGAGTGCTCCTAATCTCAGCTCGTTACCTGTATAAAAGACACCTGGGAGCCAGAAGTCTTGCTGATTGATAGGGGATCAAATACTTATATCACTCATTGACATGCAAATCAATGTATAACTTTTTTGACATGTGTTTTTCTGGATTTTTTTTTTGTTTGTTTTGTTATTCTCTCACTGTTAAAATACACTTACCATTAAAATTATAGACTGATCATTACTTTGTCAGTGGGCAAACGTTCAAAATCAGCAGGGGATCAAATATTTTTTTTCCCTCACTGTTTTAACTTCGCAAAAGGCAGATTCAGTTATTTAACTAAGTTTTCACCTTCATGACACTGCCATTCGGCTGTCATGTAACATACGACATCGTGATTTGGCTAATTACAAACAGCAGAATTGCAACCAAACTGTCTTTATTCGGTCTTTAAAATTCTCTAACTCCCCTTAAAGCTACAAAAAAATCCCAATTACCCTAAATGGATTCCTCAACTCTAAACCCCCTCTCCTCAAATCTACTCTTACACTAGCAGTATTTTATAGGTTTATTATAGCAGGAAATTCAGTTACAAACCAGCTGGGATTTAGTTGAAATTCCCTTGAGCTCATTTGAAATCAATCTAACTGCAGAAATGAGACCCATTTTAAATTAAAAGGGATGCATTTGGCTCTGTCCGATTGCTAATGAATACAGTGAAACAGTGTTAATTTTGTCGACTAACAATTTTAGTCAATTAAAATGTTTGAGATTTAGTTGACTAAAACTAGACAAAAACAATTCAGATGATTAAAATATGACTAAGACTAAACTGAAATTTGCTGCCAAAATTAAAACTGAAGGGTGTAACACATGGCGGAGGGAGGAGCATAAATTAGACACATGGGGGCCAAGGAATTAAAATACATGAAGGACTAAGGGAATGAGACACATGGGGAGGCTGGGGAAATGAGACACATGGTGGCCTGGGAGAATGAGACACATGGAGGTATGGGGAGAGAATGAGACATGTGGAGGGGCTGGGAGAGGAATTGAGACAAGTGGGGGAATGAGATGCAAGAAGGGGCTGAGGGGATACAATGCAACATAGAGGGGCTGGGGAAAAAAGAGACAAGGTGCTGGGGGGTAAGAGCCCCACTAATGGGGCTATGGCGAAAAAGAGACACACAGACTATAATGTTTGACATTTAGTCGACTAAAACTAGACTAAAACTAAAACAATTCATATGACTAAAATTAAAATGGCTTTTTAGTCAAAAGACTAAAACTAAATTGAAATTTGCTGCCAAAATTAACACTGCAGTGAAATGCACAGGAATTTTAACAGACGAATGCAGGGGAACTGAGTGAAATTACAAGACCTTTAGTGAATAGAACCAATACTTCTATGTAATTAGAATGTTAGTTGCACAAATCACATCATTTGTAGGATCTTTCTAAAGGTCTTTCCCAATATGCCATACAGTTTAAATGCAAGACTCATATTTAAATATATGCCTACAACGTATGTGTTACAAATGATTTAATTTTCATTGCAGAGCCCTGCACTGTGACTGTAACCCAGATGAGACAGAGGAATATAGAACTCCGATGGAGCTTTGAAATAAATTCTCCATTTATGCATGGTGAATTGGTGGACTTTAAATGTATAGAAGGGTTTGACATGTTGCAGTCTTCTGGACTAAAGGTGCTGTGTCAAAGGGGACAGCTTCAATATCCCTCCTGCAGTAAAAGAGGTAATGTTACTTTGCTATGGCTTTCTGTTTTGTTCCTACTAGTTCTGTTTGTATTGAAGCCTAATATCAGGACTTACTGTAAGGGCATCCCCCTTCAGATCCGTTGACATATCAATTGAGGGGAAGGTGTGGGGCCGTAGTGCATCCTCATGGCTGCCTGTGTCCACCAGCAGGAGCCATATCATGTATTCAGGGCAACCTGATGCATCAGGATGACGTGCATGCTCGGACCACCCAGGGTGCATGGTTAGGCCCACACCTTAGTAACCCCAATCCTCCATGTATGTTATGAAGGCTGAGGGTGGTTCGGAGGCTTGACATGGGGGGCATAGCTATGCTAAGGCACCCTATTTAAACTCAGAAGAGCTTTTTTCTTTTTAAAGATTGTTTATTTGTGTGTTTTAATTTACTGTGAGTTCAGTGAGATATATTTATATTGGTACAGAAATAACTTGTAACAGAAGATTGTAACGTAGTCTGGAGCTACCAGTTTCGGGGACTTTTGTGTCTCAGGTTGTTACAGTACCCTTCGGTTAAACCTGTTCAGTGTCTATGGGGCTCCCTTGTGTCCCCTTGAGGAGGGGTGTGTCATAGTCCGTTAGACAGGGCACCTTCAGGGGAGTACAGCCTGACCCTGGTGAACAGCTGAGCTTTGATTGCTAAGTTGGTCTTTGCATTAGCTGTGGTCACTTGGCTGCATATGGACTTCCTGGTACTTGACCCATGGCTTGGCTTAATGTTAGTGACTCTTGCTGCCTGGATTTAGAATCCTTGAATTACTTGACTATGTTGCCTAATTTTCCCTTATTGGATTTGTTTGCCTCGGACGTTCCTTTGCCTCAGACTCTCCTTTGATTTACTTCCTCTTGGGTTCCACTCCCTACAACTTCCTGACACCTACAAGGATCATTCATACAGCCGTTTAAAGACAAATAATCTTTTAACAAAGGCAACAAATAGTGTGGTTTTCACCTGAAATTGTCCATACAGTGATGTGCGGCAGAATTGTCAGATTGACTGAGCTGTACGACAGACTTCCAATACAAGGCAGGAATCTACATATCACTTGTTAAATGTATACCAAACACAGACCTTACCCTTCTGAAGATAAAAAAAAAGATTTAAGCAAAAAGAGACAGTCAAAAAATTAATGATCTCAAGAAATTAATAATGTGCTCCTCAGGCCTCAGAAAGGTGCTGAAATTAATGTGACAACATTTTCTGAGTAGCTACTCTGATACAATAGACAAGTTGCCTTCTCAGGGAATGAAATATACATAGCTTGAAGCTTCCATATGTGTTCACTGTGTCCACAATGTTTCTCTGTGTTTCATTGGACATTGTTCAGCATGAACATTTGCATAAAAGTGGTTGGACCTTTCCAGAAGGGTTTGGATCAGCTTAGCTGCAGAACTTGAAGAAGAGGAAGGATTTTAGGGACATGTGGAAATTATTTTGAAAAAACAATAAATGTATATTTTAAACTTTAACTGCATTGTTCAAGTGCTATGCATATTTCCTTCCCTGAGAAGGCAACTTGTCTATTGTATCAGAATAGCTACTCAGATGCCTTGCTGACAATGCAGGATTCAAAGAATTAATTTTTCCTGCCATGTTTTGATTTCTTTTTTTAATCTAACTAATCTCACACAGGAGGCTGCTTTGCACTAGTAGGTAACTGGAAGGGATGAAGATACAAATGTCTAAAGTAAACACACTCTATTAAGATAGTTTTGAAAATTAAACCTTTTTTTCAGGAAGTGGGAAGGCAGACTGTGTGAATCACAGCCAGTGGAGATGTTACTAGAACTACAGGAATAGTTATTTATTTGCTGAACTAAGCATTGAGACTATAGGGGCACGATTTATGCACCAAAATCACTTCTCTAAACTAAGCTTGTTTTGGTGCTTAGAGTATCCTTGAACTCTGGCTACGAGTACACTATGACAAATGCTGTTAGGAGTACTTATCTGTTTCATTTAAGCAGTTTAACTATTTTTTCTTTCCCAGATAATGTGAAAGCATGTGGATCCCCTCCTATTGTTCGATACAGTGAAGTCAATGTAGCGCAGGAATCCTATGTGTCAGGCTCATCGGTTATATACAGCTGTTTAGAATTTTATTTTCTAAAAGGCTCCAGGACTGTGCATTGTTCCAATGGAGAATGGGAATCTCCACCAACCTGTATTGGTAAGTATGTTTTTATTAATTATCTTTGGCCTTCCATATTCCACCAAAGCATAATAAATCAGTCATAAATTTGATCAGCCAAATACTTTTATGAAAATTTTCTAGTCTTTTTTGTTGTTCATTCTTCCTTTTAGTTCTTTATACCCAATGCATGAGAAATATTAATGTTCTTGATAAAACATAAAAATAATAGGTTGTTTCTGTGATTTTTCTGCTTTGGACATTTGGTGGATTAGATATAAACTAAAATAACCCTCTCAGCACTAATCCTCTGGCAGAATTAGAATTCAATCTTACATTAACTTTACTGATCAAATGTAAATCACTGCTAGCCACAGAGGCAGATGTATATCTCATGTGTGCCCAAGATCTCAAACATCGCAGATATTACATGTTAAAATTGAATGAAAAGTAGACTAAATAATGGCAGTCTACCCTGAAAATGAACATCACTATAAAAGTCAGATACCCACAATTAAACAATCAATCCCACTGCAGCAGATGGAAAATAAATGGTGCCCAAATAGAAAGGAATGGAAGTGAGCTACCCAAAATGGAAGTGTCAATCCCACTGCAGCAGAGGTACCAAACAAAGGGTGGATCAACAAATGATCCACAGCACCTTGGCTTGATGTGTGCATTGTGGAATAAACCTTTCTCCACTATAATCCAGTGAGAGGTGCCTGAGAGGCTCTGCTTAGCTCAGTGGAGCTAACCAGAATCTCCCTTCAGAAGAGTCCAGAAGCAGAGCTGCAGCTGTGGGTGCCCATGGGGAACAGGTAAGTTGTCAAACTGTTCTTAACCCTTTCACTACCAAGTAACTTTAGTTTAAGGGATACTATAGTGTTAGGAATACATACTTCTAGGCCTAACACTATAGTTTCCTCTGCTTCCCTTGTGCTTCCCCACCCCTGCCTCCTCTGAGATTATACAACAGAGAGGGGCTAATGTGCATGTGCGGCGAGCGCATTAGGCGCTCTTTATAGGAAAGCATTAAGTCAATGCTAAAGTCCGGTAGAATCTCTAAATCAGCTCTAGTGGCTGTCTTAGTGCTACAATGGAAACATTGCAATTTCTCTAGAACTGCATTTTTTTATATTGCAGGACAAAGGGCAATAGGGACACTGTACCCATACCACTTCAATAAGCTGAAGTGGTCTGGGTCCCTTTAAAAAAATATTAGCATAAAAATTTATTTGAAACAAAGGATGCATAGCTGGCAAATAAGAGTTTACTGAAACAGCAATTGTGTGTACATATTGCCTTTCAGATATAAATACAATTTTGTTTATAGAAATATTTAGGGATTAAAAACCTTTAGACAGTATAAATATTTAACACAGACTCTGAAGGCATTACTAGTACTACATTTTAATGAAAATAGCAACAGAATGTAAAACAAATATCTACATTTTAACCTAATACCCAGATATAGTGAATACAGTTAAATCATATAATTCTAAAATATATAATATATATATATATATATAAAAAAAAAAGTTTCTTAAAAATAGTAACTCAATTATTTATCACTCTCTGGAATGATAAAGTAACCATTCATTCCACCCCTTTCCCTGAAAGCAAGAATGGTATCACCCATTCTTTACTGCTTGGAAGGATGTGGTGAGCAGGTGAGCTGAAATTTTCAGCACACTTGTAGGCATTAAGTGAGTGACCAGCGGTTTCTGGTAGATAAATTCATTCTTCTACAGGCTGGTAATCATTCCTAGACTATAAACGAGGGAGAGCAAGACTTGGGCTAATGTGAGTATGGACTAAATTTTATCCTCCAAAATACAGGAAAGTAAATGTTTATTCTCCATTCTGACGGTTAAGGGGTTAAACAGTTTGGAGTTTGTTTTTAGTTAGGTACACTGGTAGCAGTAAGGCAATGGATCCAGTTCTTACCATCCTGATCCATTTTGTTTACTGTGGATTCTGTAACGGTGCATTTGCTTTACAGTTTTATGTTGGATGTAATCTTCTCTCTAATGTCCCGATATTTTTTTTTATTCCTGTACATGCCCACTCCTGCCTAAATAATTATAAAAATGTGTGTGTGTGTGTGTGTGTGTGTATATATATATATATATACACACACACACATTTACAGTGCAGGTGCTTATCCACATTTAATTAACTACAAAGTAGCATTTTACACTAGTTATACTACTGAATACAAAGTATTTTTCCCTGGTACAGTTTTCAGTACACCAGCAGTCCTTAATTTTGTCACTGTCTGAAATTGAAAAGTGGCCAAGTGATACATTTAGACAGAGGCAAATATATTACAGATACCTTAAAGCCACTGCACTAGCAAACTAGATGCTTGAAAAATGGTACAGATCAGTAAGTGTCTTTTAACTTTAGCACTATATTTCTACACAACTATATACTACAATTTGTGAAAACCAATGTTTTTTTCTTCTAGTAATTCTTAGTGACCACTTACCACAATATAACTATTATACACATTTCAATTGCAGAGCCATGTATCTTATCCAAAGAAGAAATGGAGAGAAAACATATCAAACTGCGGTGGAGTTTGGATAACAATGGGAAATTTTACCATGGAGAATTTGTTGAGTTTGTATGTAAAGAGGGGTATAGAAATATACAAGCGATTGCAATGTTTTCACTTAGAAGCCAGTGTAACAATGGAAAGCTTATATATCCAGAATGTGAACAGAGGTAGATCAATAAATAAAAAGGAACCTGCTACCACTTACCTGATCCGCCGCTCCCCTGCTTCTATCTCCTTACAGAGGTGGGTGTTACACTAATTAAAACACACCTCCAGTCAAACTTTGCTCTTCCTGGAGTCTTTACTTTTTAGCCCTACTTAGGGACGCTTCCCCAAGCAGGGCAAACCACCTCCATTACGCCAACACATTGCCAGCAATCCAGCATCTAAACAAAGTGACATGAGTCACATCGTTTCTTTACTCCATAGCCAGCGCTAGCAGCTTCGACTAGGGAGTTACCATGCCAGCTACAGTACATGTGCTGTGGTTGCTATGGGTGGAGAGAAATACTAATGTATGCAAGTGGTCCATTCTGCTCTCCCTGTCAATCAATTCTTCAGCATTCAGTCTATGCTAAAAAAAAAAAATAAAAAGGTGGCCGAAGAAGAAATATTTTTAAATAGGGTTTTCTTTCAATCTATATATTTGCTAGCAAAACTGCTAGCACAATGTTTAGATGAAATGTCACGCTCTTTGCAAAGAGCATGAGTGGTTTGAGGAAGTGACAGATCCCCTTTAAAATCCAGAATTGTTGCTGAGTCAAACACCCTCATTCGAGTATTTTGTGGACATTACATTTGTTTCCTTGAGAGCATAGCTATGCACGTCTCATTTCCAGTAAGCACAATAGAGAAAAAAAACAAATCATCAAAAGCTAGATATAAATGCAGAGTAGGGTTGGCTTCATATCTGCGGAAGGAAATGGACTAAATTGAGTACTCGAGTACAACTTAAAGGAAAAGGTCTCAGATGGAAAAAAATAATAAATATATATATATATATATATATATATGACAAAGAAAACTTCAAGTGTAAGGTGAGATTTTCTTTGGTCTTTATACTCCAGCGAAATGGTCCACATTTTATATAATAGCACAAACATAGTTAAAGGACCACTATGGTCACCCAGACCACTTCAGCTCAATGAAGTGGTCTGGGTGCCAGGTCCCCCGGGTTTTAACCGTGGAGCTGTAATTAAACGTTTACATTGCAGGGTTAATCCAGCCTCTAGTGGCTGTCTTCCTGACAGCCGCTAGAGGCGCTTCTGCGACGCTAAATGCGAAAATCGCATTGAGCACAAAGAACGTCTATAGGAAAGCATTGAGTAAGTTTGAATGCGCGTGGCTCTGGCTGCGCATGCGCATTCGGCTCCACTCGGGAGCTGACATCAGAGAGGTCACCAGCGCAGGTCTGAATTATGGTAAGTGGGGAGTGCGGCCCTGACGGTGGGGGTGGGGGGACACCTAAGGACTACATAGTGGCAGGAAACTGAGTTTGTTTTCCAGGCACTATACTGGTCCTTTAAGATAAATACATATTTGAATTACTTTCAGGAAATCCATTGTTATGTGATATATATATTTATGAGAAATAAAGGTCACTTTTGAATACAAAATAATTAATTTTCAAGTTCAGTCTATAATTTTTTTTTTTTCACTGTAAGCATTCTTAAAATGTGTCATCTACAGCCAACATTGTTTTGGCAAATTCAGCTGTCTCAGAAAAAATAAATAAAAACTGGAAGCATACATAGTAATAATTATAACAATTACTATAAGGATCCATACAAAACCCTAAGCTTTTTATTAATCCCTTTTCCATTTGACCCGAAGATAGAAATAGTGGAACAGTGAACATTAAAATAATGAACGTTTTAAACTATATAACATTCTCATACACATAAGTAGATAATTAAGTTTTGTTGCAAGTTTTTATACCACACATGAGGCAAGATACAGTTGAAATAATGTTTTCATATAAATGTAAAATACATCCTTACTGTTTTGTATATGCACTTATAGAATATTTTATGATTAAAATATTTAACAAAAAATAACATTCTAATGAGCGGTGAGAGTTTCTCTCTCTCTCATCTTTGCTTTCCCTTTTTTTCCCTCTCTGTCAATTTTCTTTTCTTACTTTTTCTTGGCAATATTGTAAAATCTGAAGGGTAATAATCTTATGTATAGATCACTTGAGTCTGTAAATTAAATTACTTTATTAATGTTTACACTCATGTAACCTTTTTGACCCTTCAATGAACATATGATTTAAAAAAACAAACAAAAAAAATTTCAGCTGTAACATCTTTATTTACTGTGTAGTGAACTTTGTAATCCAGGGGAAAATAAAATACCGTCTTATAACAAAATAAAGTTAGCTCTTCAAATAAACTATCCATTTATTATTATTGTAAACCTGTAATATCGAAATCGTTTTCCAAATCTACATCAAATAAAACAGAATTTTCATCACTGGTCACAGAATCATCTTCACTAATCATTCTTTTCAGAACTTGAAAATTTCCACAAAGCTCCTTTACTTTTGGGTTTCGGAAGAGTATTTCCATAGGAATGTGTACAGTGCTTCCTTGAAGAAAGGGTTCTATATATGTGCCCTCCTCTGCAGGTTTTTCTGGTTCATGGTGGGAGAAGTCGCTTGATACAAGCCAAGATGTATTCTGGCCCTCTATAGACACAGTCTCTTCTTGCTCTTCCTCTTCTCTGGGAAAAAGACGACGTAGTAATTCTCTCTTCATGTTATAAGCATATGATATAGCTTTTTTCAACACAGCTTGTTGTAGGTACTTTTCATCTTGAAGGCTTGGGTATACTACATTTAAAACCTTTTGAAAATATAATCTTATTTTTATTCTGCACAAATAAGCATTACGTGTGTGTTTGTTTACTTCATTAAAAAAAAAAAAAAAAACATACATTGAATCACAAAAAGAAATTCATTTAGCCTTTTACTGGACATTCCACTTACTACAAATGGTTTAAATATTTAAAGAACAACAATTTGCTTCCATGGGAAGCCCATACCCCACTGTTTAACTCCTGGCAGGGCTAAAGGGTAACAGAGCATATAAAGGTGCTATTCTCTCGAGTGCACTTGGATTTTTTTCTCCCAAATTGCCTATACAATGATTCTTTCCAGACTTTGTTTGATGAATTTGTTGTTTTACAAAATAATCTCTTATTTTGTAACAATGTTTCTGGGAGAGGTCTGGAATGCTAACCTCTCTTTTCTTTTTAGCCTTCTGTGCCTCTTCCCAAATTGAAAATAAATATGCCAGAGGGGCAAGTCTCATTTACTGAGAAAGTGTAATATTCATGACCTAGCCTTTTCTACTTTTTCTTTGCTATACCTTCAACATTCTTACTGTTCCTTTGATCAGACTATATCATAACCTCAATCTGCCATGACAAGTTGCAGTACAGGAGTGCACACTGCTGACATTGTGTTTTGTAAAGCCAGTGTACGTAATACATAATACGAAGTTAGTTTTCTAGTGTGGCTAGTCTATTAACAGTGCTAAAAGGTATGACATGCACAATCAGTCTCAAACAAAATGTCTGACATCTTCAGGTATCCATCAAAGGGTGACTCCAAGCATCATAACCACTAGAGCCTGCAGTAATGGTTATGATGCAAGAAGCACCATAGCGCCATTCCTGGTAATGGGGCAAACTATTTTGCTGTGGTTTGTCCTCTTACCTTCCGGGTGCCAAGGGTCTTATAACCTCATTCAAGTTCTTTAGAAATACAAAAGACAGATGCCGATTTTGATGCTGATTCACTGAGTGTCAGCTGATGGTTGTTAGCCAATTAATTACTTTCTATTGAATGGAACATGCACAGAACTGACACTAGCCACTAATGATGTACTGATGAGGCTGTCAGAGGGGGAATTACAGTTCCAACATATAGATATCTCGCTATTAAAGATCGACCAATATAATTTTTTAAGAGCCGATACAGATTATCAGTCACTTTGTCAACTTAAATGTAATTGTTATTAATAGAAATTAATAAAAAAAAAACTGATCAAACTCTTCCCACTGCAAATGGGGTATTTTGCATTGCAAGAGACAATATAGTTTTGCTACAAAAAGGCAATTTTTCTAGACAAGTGCCTGGGGCCTTATGAATATGTGTTTGTCTAAGGGGGAGCCTCTACAATAGCACCAGATTCCAGATTAAGAACTATATTTCTGAAACTTTATCAATGTTTGGTATGTAAAGAAACGTACTACATATGTTTAGATCCACAATAGCTGGAGAACTGCTTCAATGGTAATTTCATGTCTTGCTGGGAAAATTTTCAAGGGCTCATAACTGATGCAACTTGGCATTAAATAAATACATATCAAAGTACCCTGATCTTAGTCTAAACCTCTGAAAACATGGGACCTATGAGTCTATGAAAAACTGCATTAATGTGTAATTACTTGTATGAGGGAAACGATAGGGATGCTTTAACAGTGTGCTGATATTTCAGTGGATCAGTATGTATATTTATGAAAAAAGTGCTTGTTGACTTTGTTTACAAGTTAGAAAATATTGTGATCCAATTGAATACTTACTTTTTTGTAAATGTGCTTATACTCTCTTTTTTCCTTTAGAGATTCTTCACTCTCGGTGTAGTTTCGAGTAAATATCCCTATTTGGGAACAAAACCCAACATCTTTGGCATTTGCTGGTGGCTCTCCAACACCAGAGAATTCCACAGAATAATTGTAACATTGGGCAATATTTGTAGCCCTGCAATAAAAATAAAATGAGAACATTAGACTTGAAGGCAAGATAAACTGAACAGGAATAAGGATGTGATGTTAATACTAGAATCGTGACTACATGTGAAAGATTTATTTTTAAATAAAAGTGTGAAATGGTGACTTTGCAATCACAGACATTTACATTTTGTATTTCATCAACCATTTTATTGTTTGCTACTTATGCATTTATGAACTTTTGTTCTACTTTTCATCCTTTAGAACTGCTGTGGATGGAGTGTTAGAAAAGTGTTTATGTAACGAAAATGTTTGGAGAAAGTGGCTTGTGGTTATCACTGAGCAGCTATGCTTGCTCCTGCTTAGCTCTCATTGGTAACGGTAACAGGAATACGTTAGGAATTATGTACATGATGTGGAACTACCGTATATACTTGAGTATAAGCCGACCCGAATATAAGCCGAGGCCCCTAATTTTACCACAAAAAACTGGGAAAACTTATTGACTCGAGTATAAGCCTAGGGTGGGAAATGCAGCAGCTACTGGTAAATTTCTAAATTAAATTAGATCCCAATAAAATTACATTAATTGAATATTTATTTACAGTGTGTGTATAGAATGAATGCAGAGTGTGTGTTTGTGTGTATATAATGAATGCAGAGTGTGTGTTTGTGTGTGTATATATAATGAATGCAGTGTGTGTGTGTGTTTGTGTGTATATAATGCAGTGTGTAAACTGGATGAGGGGAGGGCATTTTATTTTAATTTTATTATTTTAATATTATATTATTATTATTTTAATATTTGCATTTTTTTTTTTAAATTTTTTTTTTGTCCCCCCTCCCTGCTTGTTGCCTGGTCAGGGAGGGGGGACAAAAAAAACATTTAAAAAAAAATAATGCAAATATTAAAATAATAATATAATAATAAAATACTATTAAAATAATAGAATATTAAAAATAATATTATTTTATCATTATATTATTTTAATATTTGCATTATTTTTTTTTTTAAATGTTTTTTGTCACCCCTCCCTGGCCAGGCAACAAGCAGGGAGGGGGGACAAAAAAACATTTAAAAAAAAATAATGCAAATATTAAAATAATAATAATAAAATAATATAATATTAAAATAATAATATTATTTTAACATTATATTATTATTTTAATATTTGCATTATTTTTTTTTAAATGTTTTTTGTCCCCCCTCTCTGGCCAGGCAACAAGCAGGGAGGGGGGACAAAAAAACATTTAAAAAAAAATAATGAAAATATTAAAATAATAATAATATAATTTTAATAATATTTTATTATTATTAAAATATAATAAATATTAAATCCCTGGTGGTCCAGTGGCATTGGCTGTTCAGTGGGGGGGCTGGCAGCGAGCTGTTACTTACCTTCCTGCAGCTCCTGTCAGCTCCCTTCTCCTCCGTGCAGCTCCCCTGTCAGCTCTGTTCTGTTTACAGTGCAAGTCTCGCGAGACTTACACTGGGAGCAGAACGGAGCTGACAGAGGAGCTGCATGGAGGAGGAGGGAGCTGACAGGAGCTGCAGGAAGGTAAGTAACAGCTCACTGCCAGCCCCCAACAGGACCGCCGGGCTTGTAATGAGCCCGGCGGTCCTGGTCTGTATTATGGCAATGTAAGTTGCCATAATACAGACTGACTCGAGTATAAGCCGAGTGGGGGTTTTTCAGCACAAAAAATGTGCCGAAAAACTCGGCTTATACTCGAGTATATACGGTAGCTTAAATTTGCAAATTCTTCATCAGTTTCTGAAATAATAAAGGCTTCAATTTGTAATGTAATGTCATCTCAGAGAGGGGTCAATCTCTGGCCTCTTCCTTCCAGGCAGGTAGAGACCACTTTGCCTGTCCAGCTCCTACCAGACAGATTTTGACCCCTCTACCTGCTCCCTTTCTCCTATAGTAGGTAACAACTTCTCTGCCTGCCCTCTTTCTGAATACTGCATTACAAAGGCATTTGCAGCTTTCAGGCCTAGCTCTTTTTTAACACGTCCCTGGTACCAGTGCAGCCTGCAAGCAGGTCTGAAAAATCTGAAATCCCTGAACAAATCAGGACACTTTTTATTTTTTATTTTTTTTACAAGGACTACCCCTTTTCCGACTTGTCCTCAAAGGAGCACTATAGGGTCAGGAACACAAACATATATTTCTCTCCTATAGTGTTAAAACCACCATCTAGCCCCCCTGGCCCATTCTTGCCACCCTAAATGTAGTAAAATCTTACTTGTATTCAAGTCTGCAACTGCTACTTCTGCACCTGTCTGTTGACATCATCAGAAGTGGTGGTCTGAGCCAATCACAATGCTTCACCATAGGATTGCCTGAAGTTGTCAAGGAGGCAGATCAGGGGCAGAGCCAAAACAAGTCAAATACAGCCCTGACCAATCAGCATCTTCTCATAGAGATTAATTGAATCAATGAATCTCTATGAGGAAAGTTCAGTGTCTGCATACAGAGGGAGGAGACACTGAATGGCAGTGCTGCACATTAGGCAGGACTGCTTAAGGAAGCACCTCTAGCAGCCATCTGAGGAGCTGCCAGTGGAGTTATCACTAGGCTGTAATGTAAACACTGCATTTTCTTTGAAAAGACAGTGTTTACAGCAAAAAGTCTGAAGGGAATTGTAGCTGAGAGCTAGCTATAGCAGGACTTCTCCGCTGGTTACTCCAACAGCTACTCAGGAACATACAGGATACTTCAAGAAGGCAGGCATAAGCATACAATAATCCACGAATATCCCATCAACCTTCCCAATAACTGGATGACACTCAGTATTAGGAGCAGAACTGAACTTTTAATGGCCAGGCTGGACTTTTATGCAGGTTTTTCCCAAAAGGTTACCACCCAGGTGGACCTTGTTGGGCACAGGTAAAAACAGTACACAATCAATAAACACAGAGGCAGGTAATGAGTCACTCCCATTCATTCCACACAATCCCTCTGTACTGTATCAACTCAATTATCTCCAAGCGAAAAAACAAACAATTTCATACATTTCCAAAAGTACATCCACTGATAGTCCCGATCTGGGGGAGCAACATACTGAAAAGTCACCCAGATCAGTTCAGGGGTTCGACAATTTTATGGAGGTCTTCGTTTTACCGACCGCACACAAGGTGTAAGCTGAAAATAGTTCCATGTGGTGGGCTGTGTGGTCGGTCTACGTTCGAAATCCACAAAATTGTATATAAAGATGGTTCGTTGGAATCATCCCGTTCGTGTGATTCTTTTCCCTGAATGCCTCTCTGTTCCCTTGAGTTTACACGAACTTGCACGAAGATGGAAGTCTCTGCGGTGTTCGTGCCATTGAGCGTCCGATTTGGGTTCCAGACACTCGACGACAATGGTGCAGTTCGTATTCTAAGATGGCCGCCACCATGTGTTAGCATATATACGAACGGTGGCCCATGGAATCACCCAGTTTGTTCGTGCGTTTGTAGTTAGCAAGTGTGAACAAGGTTAGGAAGATTAATTGGCGCCCCGCTCCTCTCCTGGGTGGCCTGGTTGTTCGGTACTTGGTTCGTTTGTCAAACCATATGGGGAGATTTAGCTGAAAAAGGGGTTATTACCGAACAACCAGACAAAATTATAGAATATAATATAATAATAAAATATAATAGTTTGTTACTTGTTTCCCCAAGTAACAAACAGTAGCAATCAAAGAAAAATAAAGGACAAAGGGGTATGGACAGCCCCTAGTACAAATAGGGGTACTGTGGCAAAGTACATTCCGCTACAGGAATGATTCTACTCACCAGAACAAATGCAATAAGCTGTAGTTGCTCTGGTGACTACAGTGTCCCTGTAAGCATGTGGTGAAAATCATATAAATTTAAACAAACTTTCATAACCTAAAGAACAAACACCACAACAATGCATCATATATAATACAATCATAACTTTTTAACATATGCAAAAACAGATTTAACATGTTGAAATTATACGAATCAATGCAATTGTCCGTTTCACCAACAGAGGGCACTGAAGAGTCGTCACATACAGGGTTTAAAGGTTAGGGTTTTAAGGGGTTAAAGAGGGCCAGAAGGCATATTATCCATAATTTTCAAATAGGCATGAAAAAAAGGTATTTAAAGGGTGCAGTTTAGGCAACATAACTTAATTTAAATGAAGTTGTTATGGTGCAAGGAGGCTCCGGGAGATCTCTTATCTCAAGAGGTTAAACCATTTTTGACCAGTTTAACCTCTAAATTGCCTACAGTGGAGCATCTAACATTTGAAATTTCAGTTGCAGGAAGCGTGGAGTGCTGCCAGGCAGTGTCGCCTCTTATTGGCTGAAAGAGGTCAGCTTCTACTCTCAATCAATCACTGACTTCCCATTCACAAAACTGGCTTGCAAATAAACGTAGCATTTGTGAATTTGTTTTGTGAATGGGGAGTCGATGATTGGCTGCACCCAGGGGCCTTCTGGCACCATAAAAACTTCATTTAGATGAAGTTGTTTGGTGCCTGGAGTGTTCATTTAATAAACTGGAAAATATAATAAAATGTTTAGTACTTAGCTACACATTCATATATATGGTACAAAAGAGAGAGCAGGTTTAATGCTAATCAACCAGATAAGGCAGGGCAGGAAACCAAAAAAAAGGGGATACCTCCAACCCTTTTCAGAATCAACAGAATTAAACAAAAGCAAAGAGGCTGAGCCACAAGAATACAATAAAATACTGTTGTCAGTATTTAAATGAAATAGTCCAGAATAAAAAAGGAACTACCTTTAAATGCAATATAAGTTCTTGGGTAGATGGCAGATTCTTCTACTAGAAAGTAGGTTCCTTGGTAAGATCCATATAGATATGTAAAACAGAAAGAACAGGAAATCCAACAGTGCAAAAAAAAAAAAAAAAAATCAATATAACTGTGAAGTATATAATAAAACAGTGGTATCTCACTCACATTTAATGGAGTTGCAGCAGCATACAGTGGAATAATCCCCACTTACGGGATAAGTGTTCAAAAGAGAGGTAGTTTTGTTGAACCCAAAATGAGAAGAATATAAAAAGGCAGATAATAGTGCTCTCTGATGCAATAAAAAAAAATGCTAAAATAATAATTATAGTGAATTGCTCTATGGATAAGGCGCCGGTGGTATGATCCCCACCTGGGATTTCTTTGAAGTAGTCAGGAAGTAAATAGGAGAAAATAAATGAATCCAAAACAAAAGGTAATTTGGCACAGTACAAAAGTATAGTGAGCAAAAATCCTTTATTCAAATAAAAAAACAAGAAAGTAATAATTTCCATATTGCGTTTCACCACGTAGGGCTTTATCAAATGGAAGCAATACAATCATCCTGGCTACATGTATTTTATTGTATTCTTGTGGCGCAACCTTTTTACATTCATATATATGCATGTTTATTACAGGTTTTTGTATTTGACCAACGTTTGCTTGGAGTACAACACATAAAAAAAACTTCAGGTATCCCTATACATTTTATGCCAACACCAAATTGAACTCACCAGTTCTGGAATTCTTCCCGAGTCCACTCAAACTTGTGATCCAGATGCCTGAATCCAGTAAGGTTGGGAAGTAGGACATTAAATTCTGAATTGGGAGTGCTAACAAGTACTGTATGTGGAGCCATGAACCCAAAAAGTGTGTCCTGGAATTTATCCAGATCATGCGTTTCCAGGTGTTCAATCCTGTAGCAGGAAAACAAGGCAAAGGAAAATAAGGTACTACTGTATTCCGTGAGGTAGTCACCAAGTTCCAAAGCATACATTAAATATATATTTCTGTCATAATTGCAAAATACAAACAAGATTTAAAGGGGTCCTATAACCAATGCAGCTCATTCTATGTTTATGGTGCAATGAGTCTTTGGGCAAAATGCGTTGGTTTTCTGCCAAACCAAAGTCTAGATTCTCTGGAGTCAACTGGATATACTTCTGTCTTATTTCTCCTTAAATGGCAACGATAGGCTTAAAGAGCAGAAAAGGTGTCATAAGATCTACCTTGAGTCTCCCCATCTGGCTCATATCTAAACAAAATATTTCTGGGCAAGCAAATAAACGCAGAGACACCCAAGGATGAAATTGTTGGTGGCTGGAAATGTAATTTCTAGCTCTTAACCTCTGCTAACAGCTGACATGGTTAAACTTGCAAAGTTTGCAAATGGAAGATTTTCAGTGGTATTTTCTGACAAAAGAAGGACATGAAACTTGCAAAGTAAACTCAGTCCCAAAGAAAGAAAATCACCCACCGCTTCAAGTGATAGATTCATTGGAGTATAAAAAGCACCCTCCAGCTAGAGAGGTTGATGCATGCTGCCCAACATAAAATATATGTGAATAGAACAGTAATGGGATACATGTGAATGTGAAACAAACCTTCACTAACATGATCAGGCCTACAAGAGTCCACAATGAAAACTAAACATGTGTAAATGTCATACATTAGTAAGCTGTGAATTTCAGCATAGATTTTATGCTGTAATAACGGTTTTTATAAGTGACATTAATCCTCATTCATTAAATATTTGTAACCTTTGGGGAGACTTCAAGGTACGTATATTGTAAAAAAAGTACAGATAATGAAAAATATTCTCTAGGTGCAATCTAACAAAATATGTATAAAAATTGTCATTTTGTGAGGGCGGAGCCAACTAAGAAGCGGAGAAGTTGCACTTTTGAGAGCTCTGGACCATAAACTCATAAAATGGGTGATTTTGGCATGGATAATCCACCCCACCTTACTTTCACTACCCTGTCGCCAAGTGAAAGCTAAGGGGAGCAAACACAAAAAAACAAAAGCCGACAAAGGCCAGAGATTTCGGGGAACTTCTGCAGAGATAGCAAGCAGCCGCATGGGACAAAATGGCGATGGGAGACGAGGGCTCTACTTACTCCTCGGAAGATAACTGCTTCAACATAGGAACGGAGGCCTCAAGTGCACCAGTGCCAGGCTCTAAGCCCAAACAACCCACTACCGACAAGCCAGTCACTGCCAACCAGCTCAAGACCCTGTTTGCGGAACAGAGAGACAAAATCGCGGCTGACATGGCCTTCTTTAAGGACGCCCTGGACAGCGCTACCTCCCGCATCGCCTTGCTGGAAGCCGCATTGAGTACCCACAACTCACGACTGTCCGCAGTGGAACAGAAACTCAAGGAGCTAGACAAGCGGCGCCTGCTGAACGGGTTGACGCCATAGAGGACCAATGAAGGTGGGCCTTCCTGATGTGCCTCACTACCTCCAAAGGCTAATAGCCCAACTGCTGCCGCCAAAACAGGCCAAGGCGGTGAAGCTCGACGGTATGTTCCGCCTGCCAAGACCAAGAACAGCCCCTGCAGGCGCATATGCTAACCTAATCGTCCGCTTTCAGTACCTGCAAGATAAAGCTCTATTAATGGCCGCGACCCGGTGTAAGACCCTCTTACTATCTGAGGGCTCAACCCTGGCCTTGTACCCAGAACTCCCCAGAAGCACCATTAGCTGGCAAAGTTCACTGCAAACACTCCTACAACACCTTTGAGCAATGGACATTCCATACAAGTGGAAACTGCCCAAACAGCTTCTGTTCACCTACTCGAGTGCCACCTATAAGGCACGAAGCCACAGGGAACTCAAAGTCCACCTGCGTAGCCTGAGCTACTGAGAGCGGATGGTACGGGCCTAATCGGCTGAAACCCCTTCACGGTCACAGAGTTAATACCCTGGACCGCCCGGCGTCTCCACATCCTCAGACCTGAATGGTCAAAACTTGACAGCAGCCAAATTCACCTGAAACTGGACTACCACCCAAGGCTACTTACCCTCTATTGCACGGTCCTCAATTTTATGTTTAGCTGTCTTATTTTTCCTTGCGCATAACGTGCTTATGTAATTGGGGAATAGCATCATTAATATCCTGCCGATAGACATCTAGGCTGTGCCACAGCACCACCATTATGAATGGTTTCCTTCCTACCCCTCACCCCCTCCCGCCTGATCGTTTGAGCATATACTCTGCCAACCACTAAAATACCAGGAAGATGATATCTCACAGAGGAACAATGCTTTTAAGTAACAACCCTAGCCAACACTACCACCGTGATGGAATTGTCTGTTAAATAATAATTTGTTCTTTTTACACTCTTTTCTCAAAACAAAAAGTATTTTTTTTTTATCGTTATTTTGTGTCAGGATACTAGTTGATCTAGCACTCAGAATTGTGTCACATCAAGGACTAAAAGTAAAGTCTTACCGGGCCTTAGAATGGCCGGACTTAACGTACCAGAGAACAGTCAGGATACTTGCCGAGATCAGGGATACATAGGGAGACAAAACGATGAGGGAAAAGCCAAAAGTCACAGATACCAGAAGTCAGGGAAGTCAAATCGAAGCCAAAGTCAAAAACCAGAAATAAACGCTCAGGAACACTCTCTCAGATAACCTACTAAGGGAAACCACGACAGGGCAATGAGGAAAAGGGAGTTTTAATAAGCCTCCTTCAGATCCGATTGGATGTACCCGGCCTTTGACCCCAGAATGTGCGTGCGCGTCCCTTGCGTGACGTCATACGCACGTTGACGTTGTCAATACCGTGGGTGGATGTGAGGTTACAAATTGGAATGGATCCGCAGCGGCCAGCGGCCTTTAACATGCTGCAGGAGTTAGAAACACTGGTACAGGCCTGCTGAGTGGACTACTGTCAATGCCAGAAAGGCATTTGTCATTACAGACACTACGAGGTGAGGCAGAACATGTGACATTTTGTTTGTTTTAGTGCTAGCTATTTACTGAGTTCACACTACATGGCACTATAACATAATGTTATGATTTTATTTTTCGCAATATAGGAGTGTAACGGATCGACGGGCACCCCGACTGGGTACCTCCGTTGAAGGATGCTCCTAGCGCTTCCTGAGGACTCCAAGCACTGCAGCAGACACCATAACCACTGTAGACTCCTCCATAGAGCAAGGCAGGAACAAGCTCTTACAAGAGCTTAGTAGTGATTTAGCAAGGGAGTACGACAAGCATAGCAATCCCTTGTAGTAGATTCCCCCAATAAGAGACGGCACTTCAAATTGAGGGTGAAGTAGAACTGTTTTACTTGGCACCAAAGGGCCTTCTTTTATGCAGGTTTAACACATACAGGACCGCCCACAGGGTTTTTTAGAACGACCAATAAAAACATTACAACACATACACAATAAAGTAAACCACTCCCACCAGAAATCCTCCCCTCTGCCTGTGATACAATTATCTCAAGACAATAGACTAACTTAATTAGCACAGGCAGAAAATATACAGTTTTTACACAATTCTTATAACTTTAAAAGTATGCATGCAATATTACATATTTGAAATAAGCGTCCTTCAAATATAAATATACTTAGGTTGAAAGTCCTTTGTGACCACTGAAGCATGGCTTTTCCAGCCCAAACCAGTTCCACAGAGTCCTCTATCCTGGAGAAAATTGGGAAGTAATCCGATTATCTCCCAGGACAGAGGCAAAACTCCATTGAACACATGGTAGCAAAAGACAATAAAATACATAAAAATATATAACTGTGCAGCTATTGCATAAAACTGGTACATTCAACATATCCCCAGATAGCTTAGATCTGAGCGCACATTATTACTGAATGGCGCTCAGATCACATACATACAGTTCAATTGCCATGGAGCCAAAGTCTTTCACATAGTTTTTCGTTATACGCATGGGCTCCATTGCATAGCTATCTGGGGTATCACTGTTCAAATAGGGCAAGTACCGAATGACCCGGGTTTCGTGTCTTTGCAGGGGAAAATCAAGCATTTCAACATGGGGCCATAGTCACAGGACAGGAGGCTGGCAATCAATCTTCTACAATGCCCAGTGGCGAGGCTGGTTCCGCCAGAAGGAGTTAAGATGTTCACAAATTAAATCTTCTTGTATTTATATTTGCTACTGCTTGCATATTAACAACTTTATAACTAAGGCCTTAAAAAAGAACAGATGATCTATATCACATTAATTGCTTTAATAAAAAAATAAATAAGTAAACAAAGTACAATTGTGCTCTTAAGCAAACATTCTCAACTCCAGTTTATGAAACTAAATATCAGAAAAAAGCCCTCCTGTAATACATCAGGCTTTTTTTCATAACAATTAAGTATAAAGCAGAGATATTAAAGGTAAAAAAAAAAAAAGGTTAAAAAAAAGTATCTACATGAAATATGGATTTTTTTTTAGCGCAACTCATACCCAATGAATGTATTAGGAATACTTACAATTCGATACAAGTTATTAAATCAAAACCAATCAATGCAGGATCTTTCTCAGTCACAGAGCCGTGGTAAAGAGAAACAGTCAGTCGAGTTTTTTTGGGCTCCAAGTAGCTGATTAGGAGTGGTTTCAATGATTCCCTAAATGATAAAAGACACAGTGTGGTAAACAATATGATCAGCACATGTGACGTTATATAACAATTTTATACATGTGGCCACTTGTTTGGCAAATCCTACATTTTGAAGTTACTGTATTTGCTGTAACTCTCCATGATCTTCAGCTCTAAGATTTTCTGCAAGCAGGAAGTTGCATAAATCCTCAGCCAATCCTCATTCTGTCATTGTTATTAAAGGCCATGCTGATGATTAGGCCAGTTTCCAGAAGTGAGCAAGCTGGGAAGCTGCCTGGGATCACGCCCTAGATGCACTCAGGATGTTGTAGCCCAGTCCACTTGTCAGTGCTGAACACTTCTTTTCTTTTCAGCTTTAAAAACAGAATCCTTATCAGCTCCCAGCAGACCGACAGATAAAGTATATAACATTATATCACAAACTCTGATTCCCCACATTGCTGCCAGTCACGTGGTATTCTAGTGTTGAGACCGAACATAAAAAAAGTTGACCACTGACAACTTAGCAACGCTGTGACGGCCATGCTACCTTTAAGGTATATTACCCAGGTAAGGTGAGATGGGTGGAATAAACACTGAAAGATGGAACCAAAGAAAAACACTGGGTGTGGGCATTGACAGACACTATGGGGCGCTAGGGAAAGACCCTTAAAGGGAGAGGTCAGTAGAGGCACTTAAAGGAACACTATAGTGTTCTCTAGTCCTGGAGTAGCTTTTTAGGTCACCGGCTCCCTTCAGATTGTAGTGAAAAGGTGATTAAACTTACCTTTTCCCCCCTCCCCGGATTGGCTGACCCAACCTTCGCCAATCTTGATGACCTCTGTCAATCCAATGTTTCCCATAGACAAGCACTGGGAGGCTATTGTGTATGTATGGCAAAATGCATTTCACCTTATAGAGATATATAGAAACAATGCATCTCTATGGGGAACATTCGGCATCTCCATGCATACTGCAGACTAGAGAACCACTACAATAAGCTGTAATGGTTCTAGGGACTTTAGTGTCCCTTTAAGGAGGCTAGAGAAAGGCACATAAAATACTAGAAAATGACAAAAAAGTGGTTCGGTAAGACATACTAACAATAACTCCCAGTTGATATGGGAAAGAAGTAAACAAATGGTGATAAAGGACAAAGCTTGCACTTAAGAAATGAAGGAGTTCCTCTTGTAAGATCCTTTACAAACTGCCCACTTGAGCATATTCCAAAAAATCCATGACAGTGTGTATTACGTTACCAATAGCTCCATTTAACAATGACAAAATGTGAGGTAAGTGATATGGAAAATAGACAAACTAATTAAATGAATTATATTACAGTGTCTGTCACATTCTAAGTTTAGATATGGTTACTATATCAAGATGTACCCATTACTTTAAAAACAAATGTGAGCAATGGACTAATGTTGAAGTGTAATTAAACTCTAATCACTCTACATTTTGACAGAAGATCCTAATAACATTACAGAGTAGGAGTTTCTTATCTAGAAAATAGCACTTAGAGCTGAACACTGTTTCATAAAATAATCGAATAAATAAATTACTTCTTGTCTGTCAGCAATCTTTGATCAATGTCCAGGCCTACAAGCTCCTCAATGCAATCACAAAACTTTAACCTTCTCAGAAGTGAACAATTGCTACAGCCCAGGTCTGCAACCTGCAATGCAAAAAGACAAACAGAATGTTCAAATACATTGTATAAACATGCAACCATTTCCAATATAATATTATGCAGGTGATTAAACAAGTAGCAAAAGCAAAATGAAATGATACCTTTTCAAGTATGAATAGTAATGTGAGTACACATTCTACATACAGCACAGATTACCACCAACTGATGTTCAGTGGATGTGCAGCCTGTCTCATGCTGTCTCTGCTCATTAAAAGCGTGTCAGGCGTCAGGATATTACGTCATGTTGAATACTGGTGGTCATGAATCTTGAGCATTGTGAGGAGAGGCTGGTTGCTGCCGCTCCTTACTCCTCCCTGTGAGCTGCCGAAGTGAGCGACAGAGGGTCTGGTTCTCCTCCTGCCGCAGATACACTCCATGCCAGCACCAATTCCCTCAAGACAGCCCTGCCACTTGCCCCCAGCAGGACTAAAAGAATGAAAAATCTTCCTGCCAAGAACTTCATGTCGCGGGCAATATGAATTCCACATCCCTGTGGGTTAATATGGAATACCTGCTAACAAAAACAGTGTTACTCTTTAAAGTAACTAGTTCCTAAGTAATAAAGTGGAAAAAAATTTAATATAACAGTCTCGATCAAGTGATCGGCACCGTTTTCCATGTGCTTCTCATTAGACACAACTTGCTGTTTCGCATGCGTGCCAGTGTTATTGCACAAAAAGAGAGGCTCAGAAGACTGACAGGATTGTTTGCTTTCCTTTTACTATAAAAACAACATATAAAACATTTTATCCGGCTTTTATGGGACGAGAAATAATTATGGTACAAATTTAAATAATAGATACATCAATTTTTCATCACATCACATGATGCAGCAATGGCATATATTTGTTCAAATTATTTATATTTTCTTGAGACTACTGGTGAAACAACAACTTAAAGGACCACTATAGGCACCCAGACCACTTCAGCTCAATGAAGTGGTCTGGGTGCCAGGTCCCCCTAGTTTTAACCCTGCAGCTGAAAACATAGTTTCAGAGAAACTGCTATGTTTCACTGAGGGTTAATCCAGCCTCTAGTGGCTGTCTCACTGACAGCCACTAGAGGCACTTCCGCGATTCTCACTGTGAAAATCACAGTGAGAAGACGCTGGACGTCCATAGGAAAGCATTGCAGACCCAGGCAGGGAGAAGCAGCAAAGAGGCCCAGCCAGCAGTGAGCCAGGAGCACCGAGGGGGTCCCTACGTGGCGGGCTCAAGATCCTTGACGCCCTCCCCGACACCCCGTTCAACCACCCATATCAGCGTTTAGCCATGGTTCCCACATCTTTTTGTGTTTCTGCAGGGATCCCCAGGTAATTGCAGTCAGTCTGTCCAGACAGGTGTCTTTCATTTTATGTATTACTACGGAGAGAGGTGGGGTGTTCACTTGAAGCTAGGTTTGTGCCAGGGCTCTACACACCGCTAGGGTTAATTTATGGAGGAGTTTTTGGTCTGATCTCACCCAGTCGTCCCGTGTTCTAGAGAGCAGAAAGACCCAGGGGTCGATCTCCACCCTACGCTGAAAGATCTGTGCCAGGAGTTTTCCTACCTCTTGCCAGAAAGGTTTTACTACTGGGCATTCCCCCCACAGTTCCTCCAACAGAGGTCGTTGGGGGTCTGCTGCATGCGGTAGAGCTGTACCGGTGTTGTTTACATAGTTTTATAAGCCTGCTCTTGGACCGTTGTAAAAACTGAGACCGAGTTATTGGCTTCCCAGATTTCCTGCCACTCAACCCCCTCTAGTTGTTCTCCCAAGTCTGATTCCTTTTGATCAATATATGTGAGGCTGCCCCATTCTGTTGTATTAGAGGCTATGTGGGTGTTGATGGATGAGATCATGCCCCTGTGTATTGATTCCTTCAGGCACATGCTTTCTAGTGAAGTAACATTTTTGCTAGCTAGTTCTTTTATGTTGGGTTGGCCGATGAAATCTTTAAGTTGCAGGTACCTAAAGAAGTCTCCAGGTGTAAGAGTCACCCTCTCTTTTAATTCGTCAAAATGGAGTATGCGGTCTCCGTTAGTCATATGGCATAGCCTTTGGAGTCCAGCATATTCCAAGATTTTAAAGTCTCGGGGTTTCTTCCCCAGGGGGAATGTTCTGTTCCTAAACAGACGTGTCATTGGGGAAGGGAGCCTCACTAGGCCATATTTCACTGCGTATTTGTCCCAGACCTGGACGGAGTTGAGTATGGACGGGCAGTCCGATCTGAGAAACGCCCTGTGTTTCTTGAGTAGCCAGAAGTAGAATTGGGGGAGATCTGTGCCTGTCATGAGAGACTCTAGATCTACCCATCTCCTCCTATTGGGAGTGCAACAGCTGGGTCGCTAAGTAGTAATAAAAAAGATTGGACATTCCCAGAACCCCCGAGCACTTTGAGCGATACAAAACGTTTCGAGATACTCTGTGTCGTCTGTTATTCCATATAAAGTTCGCTGTCGTCTGTTGGAGCAGTGCCAGATCAGTTTAGGTGATAGGGATAGGCAGGGCCAGGAACATGAATAGGATTCTGGGGAGTATGTTCATTTTAATTGTGTGGACTCGGCTGATCCACGATATAGGTTTATTAACCTACTTAATCAGGTCGCCAATCAGATCTTTAAAAAGCGGGATATAGTTCTGCACATATAATTGGTCAGGGGAGGCCGTTAATCTGACTCCTAAATATTTAATGGCAGTGTGGTTTAGTTGCATATGGTGCGTTGTGGTGATAAAGGTGGCGTCTATGTCTGTCATGTTGAGAGGTAGGGCACTGGACTTTCCCAGGTTAACTTTATAGCCCGATAAGCCGCCATATACTTCTAGCACCTGTACGAGGATCTGCATTGAGTCCTCTGTGTGAGTCAGTGTGAGGAGTATGTCATCTGCGTAACCTGCCACTTTGAATTGTTCCCCCTTAACCCCCCCAATGGTCACCCTGTGAATATTAGGATGGTTCCTGATTTTATGTAAAAGCAGTTTGAGGACAAACAAGAGCGGGCAGCCCTGTGTAGTCTCATTCCCGAGACCGAAGGGTCTGTTCGGGGCCCCGGTGATCCGAATCTGAGCCTTTGCATCAGTGTACATTGCGGTGATTGCTGTAATGTATGGGGCTGGGAAGCCCAGATAGGCAGGACCCTGTCAAATGCTTTTTTGGCATCTAGTAAGCGTATCAGAGACGGCTACCCTGTCTTCGTCTGCCTCCAGATAATGTCAATATTGCGTTGTGTGTTCTCGAATAGTTGTCTATCGTGAACAAAGCCTACTTGGTCCGCGTGGACCAGCCGTTATAATAACGAGTTCAGTCTCATCGCTAATACGTTTGCTAATAACTTACCGTCGTGGTTGATCATGGATATGGGTTTATAATTCTCAGGGCTAGTGTTGTCTTTGCCCGGTTTCGGGATTAGGACTATGTTCGCTAGGTACATGTCTCGGTCCGTGCTGCAACCGTCCATGAGGTCGTTGAACCATGTCGTCAGGTGAGGGACCAGTTCCTCCCTAAACGTTGTAAAGTAGGCCCGTCAAAGCTGTCCGGTCCCGGGGCTTTGTTATCCTTTAGCGATGAGATTGGGCATCTATTTCATCTACCGTGATTTGGCCTCCTAAGACTTGGATGGTCTCTCCTGTCAGTTTTGGTAAGTCTTGTTGTTGTAGGTATGTGCTGACGTTGTCCTCCTCCTCTAGTTCCCGGCCCCGCTGAGTAGGGGAGTGATTGTATAGGGCCTGAAAATAGTCGGTGAAAACCTGAGCTACGTCAGTTGGTGGTCTGTAGGTTCCCTAGCCTGTCTTTGATTTTAGTTATGTGCGCATGTTTCTGTTTGGGTCTTAGCGTTCTGGCTAGCAGGGAGTCCATTTTGTTTGCCCTGTCATAGTAGGTCCTTCTCGTCCAGTTTAGTGACCTAGCTGTGTCATCTAAGAGTGTTTCTTTGACCTCTAAGCACCTTGCTCGCGGTTCTTGCAGTTTGGCTGGGGTAGGGTTTTGTTTGTGTTGTTGTTCTACTCTGCGTAGGGTGGCAAGTTGGTCCGTTATTACGGTTTCTTTTTAAGGGTGGCTTGTTTCACTAGGGTCCCTCTAATTACGGCCTTATGTGATGCCCAAATGGTAGCTGGGGGGGATGTTATCTGTGGTGTTCAGGGCGAAGTAAGCTTTCAGCTCCTCCTTTATTGTATCAACCACTGCCGGGTCCCTTAGGAGTGCTGTGTTAAGCCTCCAGCTCCACGGGGTAGCCGCACAGAGGTTGGTCAGTGTTAGCGCTATGTCTGCGTGGTTTGTCCACGATATAGTGCCGATATGTGAGTGGGTCGCTCTGGGCACCATTGCCCCATTAACTAGGAACATATACATAGGCGAGTATGTGTTGTGGGGAGCAGAGTGGAATGTGTAGTCCCTTGTGCATGGGTGATGTGCTCTCCAAATGTCAATGAGTCCCGTTTGTTGTATGAAGCCGTGGAGTAGTCTGTCATGGGTCCCTCGTCCCTGAGAACGCAGCTGTCCGTCTCTAGAGCTCCTATCTATCGCCGGGCATGGGGCTGCATTGAAATCCCCTCCAACGACTACGAACCCGTGGGGAAGGTCTGCAAGTTGGGTCATTAATGCCTTGTTTCCACTGAGCGTAACGGTTTGGGTCAGTACAATTTGGAAGGGTTAGAATGGTCCAGCCTATTCGGGTGAGCTTTTCCACTGCAAGTCGGACCACCAGGGGCCATGTGGGGTTTAGAAAAAATGCCTAGAGTGTCATTTTTCGTGAGCATTGACGTTTTCATGTCCGCCAATCAATGGATTGTATAGTGTGACGCTAGTAGCGCCGCCCTAACCGTAACGTACCATTTCCTATGGCCCTATATCTGAAAGGGGACCATGAACGGTGCGGTTCGGTTGTATGGGCCCCTTTCATAATGGAAACACTCAAAATAGCGTACCATACCGAACCGTTACGCTCAGTGGAAACGAGGCAAATAGTCGTCCCAGAAAGCTGGTGTTGGATCATTATGTGCATATATGTTAACAAGGTGCAGAGTGTGTGAATATAAGAGTATGAGGAACCTCCCCTCCGGGTCTGAGACAGCCTGTGTGACTTGAAGTGGGCATCTATTGTGTATTGCTATGGCTACCCGTTGTGCTTTCGGAACGCTAGTGCCTCGAAAACAGAGCAATAGATGTGATCTCTCAGGGCCACATGGGAGCCATGGGGCAAGTGTGTCCCTTGTAAGAATGCAACATCCGCGTTCAAACGTTTAAGCTCGCGGAACATGAGCCTCCGTTTTTTGGGGGCATTCAGCCCCTTTGCATTAAGGGATATTAAGTGTAAGGACATTGCTCAGCTGCCTGGGCCTTGCCACCAGCAGTCCCCCAGCCGGGCGCCGAGTCCCCCGCCACCCGCCCACTCCGGTGCCCCCACCAGCGGACGGCCGAGTGAAGAGAAGATAAGGGAGAGGGAAGGGAATAGATGAAGGAAGGAAAGGAAGACGTGGTCTTAGCTTTCGCCAGGTATTATCGGGGCGTGTGTCTCGATGACTCTCCTACACTGTGTACGTGCAAGAGGTGTTGGGGTATTGATCAACTAGTCGATGTCACTCGGTGGAACCACTAACTCATAGTAAAGTGTGACCAGAACGTAAAACTTAACTGTAACCTTTAGTACTTGAGAATGTGGTATGTAGGATCACTAGCGCTATCAGTAGGCGCGTGTGTGAGGAGGTGACATTCCGCACCCACATGTGTAGGGAAGCCCTCAGCTCCATATGTTGGAGGTAGAGCGACGTGGCCGTCTGTGCTACCGTAACTGTGTTCACAAAGTCTTTACTAGGCGTTTGGATAGGTGTGTGAGAGTATATAGTGGTAGGCACAATTATAAAACATATATAGACAGTAACATAAAGGGGCTACGGTAAGCAAGGAAGTTCAGATGAAAGTCCTGAGTGTGTATGCTGCCCCGGCTACTCAGGCTACGGCCTGCAAGGATCTCTGTCGGGGCAGCAGGGCGACCCCACCAGCCTATTAACGCCAAACCCCGCCAATAGCACATCCCAACCCTCAATACGGTGGCTCAGCCTGAGCGAGTGCGGGTCCAGTAGTGTGCCTTTCCCCATGATCACAATGCAGGCCTCCTAGTTTTTGTAGGCCGCGGCCAGCGGCATAAGATTTCCATCTCCCCCTCAAATGTTCAGCCACTCAGCCCCCCAGACAGGAGCCCCAGTACCTGTGCCTCTAGTGACCCCAGTGAAGGCGGTTCGGTGGTCGTTACCTGCACACGGTGTGCCACTCTCTGGAGTGGGTAGTTCAGATATGTCCGCTGGTGCCAGGATCTGGACCAGAGTCTGGATCCCCAGGCTGCGTAGGAAGACTCCCGGATCACCGGTGAGATGCAAGGTGTGAGGGCGGCCATCTTTGAAGGCGAATGGATGGCCCCAAGCGTACTTGATGTTCTTCTATCTCAGTAAGTCAGTGATTGGTCTCCATTCTCTGCGCCACTGGAGGGTGATTGGTGAGAGGTCTTGGAGCAGCGTCAGTTCCGCGCCTTTATAGTGGATTGGGCCATCTCTGCTTTTAGCCATCAGGGCTTCCTTGGTTTGGAAGAAATGGAAGCGGATGATGACATCCCTGGGTTGTGAGTCGTCGGCTCTCCAAGCTCTCAGGGCTCTATGAGCTCTGTCAACATGCCACAGTTCTCCCGGTATGTCAGGGCATAACGGTCTCAGGATGGGGAGCCTAATGTCTGTCATTGGTACCTCTCCATCTCTATCCGGCAAGCCTCTCAGGCGTATATTATTGCGCCAAGACCTGTTAGCTAGGTCTTCTATGGTGGATTCAGCGGTTTGGAGCCGGACTGTGAGTGATGAGACTATCGGTCACCAGATCGTGGGCTTGTCTCTTCCAATTTCTGCTCCAGGATGGTCGTTTGTGCTCCCAGAGCATGTATTTCTGCTTTGACTTCGCTCGTGGAGCAGGTGATCTCCCTTGCCAGGTAGGAGCGCACTTCTGACAGCTTCATGAGGATTTGGGCTGTGTCAGGCTGCAGTGAGGAGGGTCCAGCGTCCTCTTCATTATCTGAGGCAGTGGTGCTCGGTGGTTATCGCCTGCCATTTTGGTTGCCAGCCTGAGCCACGCGGGAGGCCGCAAACAGGTCAGTCACTTTCACGCCCGTTTCGGACGCTTTTTTAGGGTGTTTACGTGGGGTGCGCTTATCCATGTGGACAGTGGGCCAGTACCCATTGCTTTTGTGTGCTGTTAGCGGTATGTGCCGAGCAGAGCTTCACACACACACACGTCCAGCTCGGTCGACGGTTGGACCACACCCCCTCGGGCAAATGGTTCTTATCTGCCGACACATTCTATATATTTCTAAGTCAGGGACGGAGGCAATAGTCAACATTCTGAACCAAAACAAAACCTTGAATTTGAGCAGAAGCTTTGTTCCACCGTAATTTAAGGTTTTTTTTCTTCAAGTACCGGATACAGATTATAAACCAATTTTTAAAGGACAGAAAAGGCTTTCATTTAACATTCTATATGTATACCTAACACAACAGTACTTGTGAAATAAATGTTACAAATAGGAAATAATTTAGAGAAAACAATTCACACTTTGGCTTATAATAATTTTTACACATCCAGTGCAACTAATTAAAAAGAACTCAAAATAGATTAATATATCAGTCCGGATTATTAAATAGCTAATTTGTTTAGGACCTAAATTAATTTTTGATAGTTAACGCTAACCCAACTATACCCAATGCTTACATTAAAGGACCACTATAGTGCCAGGAAAACATAGTGCCCTGAGAGTGCCCCCACCCTCGGGGTCCCCCTCCCGCCCGGCTCTGGGGAAAGGAAACGGGTTAAAACTTACCTTTTTCCAGCGCCGGGTGGGGAGCTCTCCTCCTCCGCTCCTCCCATTTCGGCTGAATGCGCACGCGCGGCAAAAGCTGCGCGCGCATTCAGCCGGTCTCATAGGAAAGCATTCATAATGCTTTCCTATGGACGCTTGCGTGCTCTCACTGTGATTTTCACAGTGAGAATCACACAAGCGCCTCTAGTGGCTGGCAATGAGACAGCCACTAGAGGATTTGAGGACTGGATTAACCCATTTATAAACATAGCAGTTTCTCTGAAACTGCTATGTTTATAAAAAAAATGGGTTAATCCTAGAGGGACCAGGCACCCAGACCACTTCATTAAGCTGAAGTGGTCTGGGTGCATAGAGTGGTCCTTTAACTAACTTTTAGGTAATTTACTCTTAACGTCAGCCCTATACTATCTTTACCCTAAAAAAACATTAACCGAAATCTTACCCTAATAAACCTGCCCCAACACGAAGTGTAACTCTACCATACTCTTACCCAAAAATCTAACCCCACCACTAACCTTATGGTGACTTCCAATGCTGCACAGAGCTTATTGAACTGACTGAGTATACTACAAATTACTTACAAGAGCCCCAGGTATGGTGGATACCTAAGGTTAGTGGTGGATTTAACCCTGCTCACGTTGCATTATTCACATAGACATTTAAATACCTATTTAAAGTGCTGCTTCCAACACTGCAAACAGCGCATCAAAAAGTGTGGGGCCACTAAAACTGGCTTACGCACTTTAAGGAGAGGCCGATTATTCATTGACATGTGGGGTTAGGGGTGTGATCAGGGATTTAATCCTGCTCACACTGAAATCACTAGGGCATTTAAATGTCAAATTAAAGAACTGTTTGAAGCACTGGCTCCCAGTTCATCTAAAAGTCTGGGGCCCCAGCAGACAGAGGGAATCCCTAGATTCCATCGATTGAGCAGGGATTTAACCCTGCACACACTAAATATGCAGGGTGTTCTATGACCCCGTACAACAAGCATGTCAAACTCAAAGGCTAACACGGGCTAAATAAACAAGGTTTAAGTTTATGTGGGCAGCAAAAAAACAAACATTTCAGTTTTCATAGAAACGTAGGTTTCTTTCAGAAAGTACAGTCTAAAAAGAAAGATGCCTAACTGACACTGGATGTTCTCAAGCTCGTAGAGCTTCAAAGTAAACAAAAGAGCAAATTCATTTTAAGGAGATAGGTATTTGCATATAACCAATGTTTCAGTCCAACTACCTTGACATATTATGGTAATGGGACTGAAATGGTGAATGTATGCTGCTGCACAGCTGTAAAAAACAAATGACGCTATCCTGTTGATTTTGAAGTCCTATGAGTGTGTTCTTCACTTTGGCTGAGATCAAACTTGATCAGCTCAGCCAAAAAAATGCTTTCCAATAGGAAAGCATTGGGAGGCTATTGCGCATGTGTAGCAAAAAGCTGCGCAGCCAATCAGCATCTCCATGGGGAGCATTCAGCACCTCCATGCAGACGCAATCTAATACACTCCCCCACCCCCTATTCTAATACCGCTTTGGGGGTTTTGTAAAAATGCATGTTTTCTGTGCCTGGAGATAACAGAGTTTAATACAGTGCTGACTCAATTATCTCCCAGGCACAGGAGAGGGATTGACCTACTTTGTATTGGAGGGTCCTGGACCTGAGAGCCAATGCAATCGTGTATGTTTTTACTGTAGTCTACTCTCAGGTCCCGGGGGAGTGCCCCTTGCATGGGGACCTGCATATAAGGCCAGTTCTGGCTGCCATTAAACAGATTCGTTTTATCCTCCATGAAGTCTAGGCTCATGTTTGTGGAATTGGAGAGCTATATTCACTCTGGGGATTGCAATAATCACTATACTCCCTTGGATTACAAAGATTGCTCTTGTAAGAGCAGCCTGCTTTGCTCTATGGACTAAGAGAGGTCTACCCACTGGAAGCTGGATCCTGGTCTTGGGCCCAGGGTGGGTGGAGGACAGCGAGACCCCAACCAAGCTGCGCCGGTTTGTGGGGTTTACAGTGGTTATGGTGTCAAGTGCGGTGCTTATGGTACTAAAGGATTACTAGGAAGCAGCGATTGACGTGGGTACCCAGTCGGGGTGCCAGGCATTCCGTCACAGTGAGATACTAAAACATAATTATTATAATTCTAACAGAAGTAAAGAGACAGACACTGACCTTTTTAGGTTTGTATTGATCCACATAGGACACCACAAAGTTGTATCTCTGCTGGTACAAACGGGGGGTGAATACTATCGGTTCCATTAGTTCTTATAAAGCAATTTTCTAACCATGAGCTATTAAATAAAAAAGGAGAAGTTGTAACTGCACATTATGAATGAAACTACCAAAACTATTATTTGTTGCACTTTGTTGATAGCGAATACGGATGATAGAATACCTTAAACCAGTGGTTTTTAACCCCTAGATTGAGAACTAGAGCTTTGCCCCATGTTTTTTAAGTAGCACCCAAGGAGTTGGGGGAGACACACCATAACTACTATAAATTGGTCTCTATAAAAGACATAAGTAAGCTAATAAACCATGCAAAAATAGATTTGCTAAACCAACCAAAATTTATACAAAAAATGAAAGTGTAGGTACATTGAAAACTGAGATAGGGTGTTAATACAGATGAGGTAAAGGCAGAAATGTTAAATAACCATTGATCCTCAGTATATAATAAGGATGGCTAAAGATATGCAAATGTTTGCTGCAAAAACTTGTAGAAAATTTGTGATTGGATGACAAAACAAAGTGCTGTAGCAACTAAAGAAAGTTAATATAAACAAAGCTCCAGGGGCCTGATGGTATTCACCCAAAAGTACTTAAGAAGCTAAGTGTGGAAATAAGTGAGCCTCTGTTTTTAATCTTTCAAGATTCTTTTCCTTCAGGAAAGGTACCTGAGAATTGGAAGGTCACAGATGTGGTTCCTACATCCGAAAAGGGTTCAAAATCCTTGCCTGACAATTATAGACCGGTAAGCTTAACTTTTGTGGCTGGGAAAGTATTTGAAATGTTAATAAGGGATAGTATTCAGGAATTCATTAAGAAGAACATTATTATCAGAAAATAATCAGCATGTTTTTTTGAAACATAGGTCATGTATAGAACAGGGTGTTGCAGTGGATGTGATCTACTTGAATTTTGCTAAGGCGTTTGACACGGTTCCACACAATAGGTTAGTGTTCAAACTCAAAGAAGTTGGTCTCGATGAAAATTAATGTTCTTGGGTAGAACATTTACTTAAAAATAGAGTACAGAGAGTTATCATTAATGGTAAATTTTCAAGCTGGACAAAAGTGGTAAGTGGTATCCCTCTGGGTTCTGTTATTCATAAATAATCTTGAAATAAGCATTGAAAGTCATGTTTCAGTGTTTGCAGATGATACAAAACTAAGCAAAGTAATACAGTGTGAGCAAGATATTACTTTCCTGAAGAGGGATTCCGATAGAATGGGGGCCTGGGCACGCAAATAGAAGATACAATTTAATATAGAAAAATGCAGTTATGCACTTCAGGGTAAAGAATGCATAAGCAACTTACACCCCCTTTCCCATTAGGTAGAAAAGGCACTGACGTACGGGAGCCTGTCCTATGGGGTTGCTTGTTTTCAGCATTTATAATATGGCTTTTTTGAGGTCAAGTGGGCTGATTGGGAGAGATAAGTATATGGAGCTTTGGCCAGTGTCCTCTTTAATCCAGACAGTCTAATTAAGTATGATAGCAGAGCTGCATGAACCGTTATATGAGTGACGTGTGTGAGGCTGGACAGGAAGTTGAAGGGATCACTCCACATCTGCCTTTCAAGGAAATGCCTTGCAGGAGGAGCAGGGGAAGCACTTAGTGATGCATATTGTACAATAATTAATGCAGTTATGCTATTAAAAATAGGAGTGTCACTAGACTACAAAAAACATAGGAGGATGAGTACTTTGCAAATAACCCTACAGACTCCATATGCCCTAAACACCCTTTTTCCCAAAGTCTAAACAAACCCATTCCTTGGTCCCACATTTAAGCTCTCAAAGCCTAAACTTGAAAAAAAAGCCTTTATCTTAAAAGAACACTATAGGGTCTGAAATACAAACACTATTTAGGTGGCCTTAAATTTGTAGAAAACATACCTTTATTCCTACACCATGTGGGTCCGCCGGCTTTTGCAACGTCTCTGATCTGCCTCCTTGGCTGAGATTATCAGAATTTTATCACATGACAGGAGGCTTCGTATTTTGCATAATCTTTCTTTACTATCTCCATAGCAGCAAAGAAATGAGTGACAAAACTTTTAACCAATCACAACGTAGAATAGGGTATAAGAGGTGAGACCTATGACATCATTTCCTCTTTCTTTGCTGCTCCATCACAAGTTAAGTAACAAATTTGTATTATCTATTCTACATACACTTTTCATTTTCATGCCTTTTGTTTTCACTGTACCTTTATATATTTGCCCTATTAATGCTCTTAACCCCTGTATACCAGGGGACCCTGTCTGGCTCCCTAACTGTCTTTCACGGTTTTCCCGCCGTCTGTACTTTCCCTCCATTTTCTCTGTTTCTCTTTAACAGTTTTTCTGTTCTTTCTACCGAACGCGTTATTCGGTAGTTTTGCGCATTCGCCTGTTTTACTCGAATGCCCGCGCGACCGCACATTGACTATTCGTTTCTAACTACCGAACGCTTCGTTCGGCAGTTTGACGCGATCGCCTTTTTAAACGTTCGCATACGTTTCTATTCGCACGTTCGGCAGTTCGCATAGATCTTCTATTCACGTTCGGCAGTTTTATGCGAATGGCAAGCTTACAGTTTGCCGCCCAAACTGGGGGAGGTACTATTCTCCACACACTGAGCCTGTCAGTCCGGCGGCCATCTTAAAGAGATAGACACTGCCTGATTTTTCTGCTCCTGCTAATCCAACAAGCAATTGAAAAGCCTTACCCTTTTTACTCAGTGGGACCAGGTTAGTGCCTTACACTTGGGGTTGGTTTAGCCAGTTGGTCTGCACCTTATTCTGGCCGGGGTGAGCCCCCATTTTACGCTGCTAAACGGTCCTGTTCATGCAGGTTCCGATCACCTGGGTGAGCCCCAGTGAATCAGCCCTCTCCTCTACGACCTACCGGTCTCTAACCACAGGTTATTTAGTCCTGATACCATACCACCCCGGTCCCCAGGCCTCTCCATTAATCGTGCCTAGTGCCCTCACGCAATTTACCGGGTGAGCCCCGAATCCTCATTCCTCATAATGGAGGAATCACAAACCCCAGACCTCCAGGCCATGATAACAGCAGCCGTGGCTGCAGCCATGGAACAAGCCGCTTCCAAGTCGCTCCAAACAAACTCTGAGGTTCCCAGGCCCACCTCTAAACGGGTTCATTATAAGGCGGACTCCGAAGACTCCGACTCTTCCAGGGAACACTCCCAACGGCGAAAACGCCATTGGAAGGGCAATGTAACCCCACGCAAGGCTAAAGGGAAAGCCCCTGCTGATCGCAGGAAAGCCACGGTTCGTGCTACCCACGATGCCACACAACTTTCCTCAGGTGAGGAAGATGTAGAACCCACTCAGGCACTAGCTGTGCTGGATGAATGGCAGGCGGCAGCCTCTGACCAGGGGGACTCCGACAGGGATTCCACGGCCAACTCTGACCCTTACTTCATAAGGGAACAGGGTCTGGGTGAGCCCCAGGACTCCATGGCAACATCCATTGATAACCCACAGGAGGGCTCGGAGATTTTCCTCGACAATTCGGGCCTCCAAATGTTCGACCCAAGAAACATCCGGCACCCCCGTTCGGAAGAATGGTCACCACCTGAGCATTTGGCAAGGTTTATGCACTTCTGGCTCAGAAAACCGCTAGACAAGGAAGTAAGAAACCGGATGAGATCCGAATGCCCTCGCCCTAGTCTACCGGACAAAGTGACGCACACCCCGAGTTTGACCCGCTCATGACTACGTTCATGTCCCGAGGGGGTCGGGATCCGCGCAAGGGCATAGAGCGCGGCTTTAAAGGAGCGCAAGATAAGCTGCTAGATGCCATTGGGCCACTAGCCAGAATCATGGATATGGCGGATGAAGCCTATGAGAGGGCTGACACTTTTACCCCAGATACGGTGCGTGAATGGGCACGAGATACCCGGGAATGGGCACAAAGGTGTTTCTGTTTCCTAGGGAACACCAACGTAGCCCTCTCTTCGGAGAGGCGCCGAGCAGCACTTTACCGTATCGACGAAAAACTGGTTGAACTGGGGGATAAGGAATTAGGACCCTTAGCACAGGGTAAATTATTTGGAGAGGCCTTCCTTAAGGAATTAAATAAAAGGGTCAACATATTCACGTCCCTTAACAAGGCACAATCTTCAATGCGGAAAGTCTTCCGCGGTTCCCACACCCGTGGTGTTTTTGGAAGGGCTGGACGGCAGAGGGGCCGTGCCGCCAGCCGTTTTTGGCCATCCGGCCCCCGTACAACAAGGACTCAGATGTTCTACCCAGACTCATCTAGTCGAAATAGATTCAACCACTTCAGGGGATCTGATCGTGGCCGAGGCACCCGAGGACGCTCACGAGCAAGATTCTCCAACGGTAAGTCGGAATCTTACTCTTCCTCTAACCCCCTGTCATATCGCAGGTCGTGTTTCTCTTTTCTTCCAGAACTGGAAAGAACTATCTTCAGATGCGTGGATAATCCAAACGGTGCAGGGCTATCGAATAGAGTTCGACTCGACCCCGCTCCAGCTGACCCCTCCACGTCCAATCCAGACTACACGGGCAGATGCCCGCCTCATAGACGCGGAACTCCGAGAACTCCGCTCCAAGGGTGCCATTCAACCGGCTCCGGATGCCACCGGTTTCTACAGCAATATCTTCCTGGTCAGGAAGAAAACAGGCGAATTTCGCCCCGTTATCAATCTCAGGGAGCTCAATTCGCACGTAGTATATCGACACTTCAAAATGGAAGGTATACATCTCCTCCGGGACTTGCTTCGACGCGACGACTGGTTCACTCGTCTGGACCTCAAAGATGCGTACCTTACCATTCCGGTACACAGAAGCAGCCGTCCCTACCTCCGCTTCTTCTGGCACGGGATCCCTTGGCAGTTCACCTGTCTCCCGTTTGGCCTCAGCTCGGCCCCGTGGTGTTTTACCAAGATTATGAAGCCGGTAGTGGCAAAAATCAGATCCCAAGGTATAAGATGCATCATCTACCTCGACGATATCCTGATCTTCGACGAGGATGCAGACACTCTGCGGAGACATACGGAATACGCACTACACCTTTTGGACTCTCTGGGTTTCGTCGTCAACCGTCCCAAGTCCGCATT